CGGAAGGAGCTGATTGCTGGGAAAGCCAGGGATAAAAATAACATCCCAAGAATAGCTGGGGCCCAGCCCCTTGTTCCCAGCTGTCACCATGCGCCCAAAACGGGAGATGTCCCATCCCGGGGGGGGGAACTGAGGCAGGGGGAAGACGTGGGGCTGGACCCTGCGTTGGGGCGCTTGGGGGGTGACCCCACTTTATGCACATATCTCACCCCACCCCAAAACCCCGTTATCCCATCCTATAGCAGCGTCACCCCCCCCGCAGCGCAGCCCTGGCTGCACGGTGATGGGCTGGGGCTGACCCGGGGCTCTGCACCCTCCTGCCTGCAGCAAAGCGCACCTCGGGGTGCAGGGGGGCTCCGGATGGGGGGCGCGGACCGGTTCCCCCTTCCCCATAGGGGGCCACGCGTTCCCCCCGCTTATTGCGGGTTATAGGGGGGGGGAGGCTCCATCCCCGCACCGCCCCGGGGCCGTTCCCCTTTAAGGAGGCGGGGCCGGGTTGGGGCTGGGGTGGGGGGGGTCCGTGGGGCGGTGGCGGCCGGGCCGGGCCGGGGCGATGCTCCGGGTCTTCATCCTCCGGGCCGAGAACGTCCGCACGGCGGACGCGGACATCAGCGACGCCTATTGCTCCGCTGCGCTCGGGGGTGAGGAAGGCACCGGGACAGGGACCGCAGGGGGGAAGTGGGGCAATGAAGGGGGGGGATCTGTTCTGGGGGTGCCATGGAGGGTACCGCGGTGTGTGTCTGTGTGTGTGTGTCCCCGTGTGTGTCCGGGTAGTTCCAGCTCCGTGAGTCCCGTTATTACCCGGTGCCGGTGCCGGTCGTACCGGGGCTGGGGGGGAGGGGGCGATGCTAGGGTGGTGGCGGGGGGGGGGGGTGGTGGCACGTACAGGCATAGGTATAGGGACATAGACATAAGCGCATAGACACAGGCACGGGCACAGGCACAGGCACATAGACATAGGCACATAGACATAGGCACAGACATAGGCACAGGCTCATAGACATAGATATAGGCACAGGTACATAGACATAGGCACAGGCACACAGGCACATAGGCATAGACACAGGCACATAGACACAGGCATAGGCCCATAGGCACAGGCCCATAGACATAGGCACAGGTACATAGACATAGGCACATAGACATAGGCATAGACATTGGCACACAGGCACATAGGCATAGACACAGACACATAGACACAGGCATAGGCCCATAGGCACAGGCCCATAGACATAGGCACAGGCCCATAGACACAGGCACATAGACACAGGCACATAGACATAGGCACATAGACACAGGCACATAGACATAGACACAGGCCCATAGACACAGGCACATAGACATAGGCACAGGCCCATAGACACAGGCCCATAGACACAGGCACATAGACACAGGCACATAGACATAGGCACAGGCACATAGACATAGGCACATAGGCAGAGACACAGGCACAGGCACATAGATATAGGCACAGGTACAGGCACATAGACATAGGCACAGGCCCATAGACATAGGCACAGTCCCATAGGCACAGACATACCGCACACAGGGGCATAGCTGAGCGGTGACCTCACTGCTGCCAGCCCATTTGTGGCTCTGCTCCATGCTGGGGGGGGCCAGGACGCTGCCACCCCCTCCCTGTATCCCCCCTATTGAGAGGGAACGTGTTGGGGTCTGGATCCCCCCCTTCACTACCCCCCCTTGTCCCCCTATGGTGGTGATGGACAATGGGCACCCCACTGGTACCAATGTGTGTGTGTGTGTCCCGGTATCCCCCAGGCTGCTCCTGACCCCATGTAAGGTTCACAGTGAGGCCAACCTGAGGTCTGGGTGCTGGTGGGTGCTCCTCACACCCCCCCCCCCCCCAGCAGTGGGACCCCCCCACCCAGTGCTGTTGTGTCCCCATTGGTGCAGCATCCCCTGGTCTGGGGGTCCCATCTTGGGGGGGTCACCCCCAGCTCACAGCATCCCCGGTGCTTGTGGTCCTGCACCCGCGGGGCCTGCAGCATCCCTGATTCCAGGTGATTCCATCCCTGGGGGTTGCTGCATCCCTGCGCCCTGTGCTCAGGCATCCCAAAGTCACAGCATCCCTGGTCCTGCTGATTCACCATCCCTGGAGCATTCCCAGAGCCGGGTTATTTATTGACCATTCCCAGGGCCTGCAGAATCCCTGCATTCCAGGGGTTTATTCACCGTGCTAGGGCTCGCAGCATTCCCAGATCCGGGTGATTTATTTACCATAGCAGAGCTTGACCCCTGGATCCTGGTGCTGGAGCATCCCAGGGTTTGCAACATTCCTGCATCCTGATGATTGAATTTACCACCCCTGAGGCTTGTGACATCCCCAGATCCCGGTGCTGGAGCATCCTCGAGGTTCACAGCATTCCTGGGTCCCAGTGATTTATTCATCATTCCCACTGCCTGCAGCATCCCCACATCCCAGTGAGTTATTTACGGTGCTGGGGCTCGGGAGTCCTTGGAGCCTGCAGCATCCCAGGGCTTTATTTACAGCACCCCTGGATCCCGGTCCTTTGGTACCCTTGGGGCTTGCAGCATCCCCAGGTTCCAGCTCTTGGACATCCCTGGGCTTCACAGCATCCCTGGGTCCTGATGATTTAATTGTCCATCCCTGGCGTTCAGAGCATCCCTGTGTCGTGGTGCTTTATTTCCTATCCCTGGTGCTCGCAGCATCCCTGGATCCCAGCGCTGGGCATCCCCAGAGCTTGCAGCATCCCCAGGCCCATGTGATTTAATTTCCCATCCCTGGAGCTTGAAGATCCCAATGCTCGGGGCATCCTCAGAGCCTGCAGCATCCCTTTGTCCTGATGATTTAATATCATCCTGGAAGCTTGCAGCATCCCTGGATCCTGGAGCTTGGGCATCCTTGGGGGTTCACAGCATCACTCTGATGACTCAATTTACCACTTAATTTACCATCCTGATGACTTAATTTCCCATCCCTGGTGCTTGCAGCATCCCTGGATCCTGGAGCTTGCAGCATCCCCAGATCCAGTTGATGCATTTACTATCCCCAAGCTTAGAGCATCGCTGGGGTTCACAGATGCTCTGGGTCCTGGTTCTTGGGCATCCTCGAGGTTTGCAGCATCCCTTGGTCCTGATGATTGAATTTCCCATCCCTGGAGCCTGCAGCATCCCTGAATCCCACTGTTTGGGCATCCCCAGAGCTCGCAGCATCCCCAGATCCAAGTGATTTAATTTACCACCCCTGGGGCTTGCAGCATTCCCAGATCCTGCTGCTGGGACATCCTTTGTAGCATTTATAGGTCCCAGTGGTTTTATTCCTCATCCGTGGGGCTTGCAGCATCCCTGGATCCCAGTGTTTCAAATCCCCAGAGCTCACAGCATCCCCAGGTCCAAGTGATTTAATTTCCCATCCCTGCATCCCAGTGCTTGGGCATTCCCAGAACTCGCAACATCCCTGAGTCCCAGTGATTTTTATCATCCTGGGACTTGAAGCATCCCTGGATCCTGGTGCCTGGGCATCCCCAGAGCTCACAGCATTCCCAGATCCTGGTGCTTTATTTACCATCCCTGGGACTTAGAGCATCCCTGGGGCTCGCAGCATCCCTGCATCCCAGTGCTTGGGCATCCCCAGAGCTCACAGCATTCCCAGATCCTGGTGCTTCATTTACCATCCCTGGGGCTCACAGCATCCCTGCATCCCAGTGCTTGGGCATCCCCAGAGCTCACAGCATCCCTAGGTCTGGGTGATTTAGTTTCCTATCCCTGGGGCTTGCAGCATCCCCAGATCCCAGTGTTGGAACATCCTTGAACTCACAGCATTCCTGCATCCCAATGACTTAGTTTCCCATCCCTGGGACTTGCAGCATCCCTGGATCCCAGTGCTTGGGCATCCCCAGAGCTCACAGCATCCCTAGGTCTGGGTGATTTAGTTTCCTACCCCTGGGGCTTGCAGCATCCCCAGATCCCGGTTTTGGAACATCCTTCAACTTTGCAGCATTCCTGCATCCCAATGACTTAGTTTCCCATCCCTGGGGCTCACAGCATCCCTGGATCCCAGTGCTTGGGCATCCCCAGAGCTCACAGCATCCCTAGGTCTGGGTGATTTAGTTTCCCATCCCTGGGGCTTGCAGCATCCCCAGATCCCAGTGTTGGAACATCCTTGAACTCTACAGCATTCCTGCATCCCAATGACTTAGTTTCCCATCCCTGGGACTTGCAGCATCCCTGCATCCCAGTGCTTGGGCATCCCCAGAGCTCACAGCATCCCTAGGTCTGGGTGATTTAGTTTCCCATCCCTGGGGCTCGCAGCATCCCTGGATCCCAGTGCTTGGGCATCCCCAGAGCTCACAGCATCCCTAGGTCTGGGTGATTTAGTTTCCTATCCCTGGGGCTTGCAGCATCCCCAGATCTCAGTGTTGGAACATCCTTGAACTTTACAGCATTCCTGCATCCCAATGACTTAGTTTCCCATCCCTGGGACTTGCAGCATCCCTGGATCCCAGTGCTTGGGCATCCCCAGAGCTCACAGCATCCCTAGGTCTGGGTGATTTAGTTTCCCATCCCTGGGGCTCGCAGCATCCCTGGGACTTGCAGCATCCCTGGATCCCACTGTTAGGGCATCCCCAGAGCTCACAACATCCCTAGGTCTGGGTGATTTAGTTTCCCATCCCTGGGGCTTGTACCATTCCCACTCCAGGTGCTGGGACATCCTTGAGTTTTACAGCATTCCTGGGTCCCAATCCCATCCCTAATGTGACCCTAATGGATCCCCATTAGTTCCCCATCCCTGGTGCTTGCAGCATCCCTGGATCCCACTGTTAGGGCATCCCCAGAACTCACAGCATCCCTGGTCCTATTGACCACCCCGGCACCTCCCAGCATCCCCGTATCCCACTGCTTTAATTCACCATCCCCACACCTCCCAGCATCCCTGATCCCAGTTCTTCACCCCCTTCCCAGGACTTCCAGCATCCCAACCTTGCATCCCTAGCAGCAGCCGCACCGAGGCGCTTGCTGCCGCTTCCCTATCGGCTCCTCCTCCCTCCTTGGGAAGCAAAGGAGGAGGGAGGGGGGGGATGTGGGATGGACCGGGATATGGGGAGGCGTCAATGGGGACCACATCCTGCCCTCTTTAGCCTCCCCTTTGCCCTGGCTCCCATCGCCCAGCCATGCTGCGCTGCTTGCTCCAACGTGCCACCCATCTCCCCAACTTGGAGAAAGGGGACAAGCAAAGCGATCCCATAGCCAGCTTGACATTCCGAGGTGAGGAGATCCCAGATGTGGGTTGGGATGGGCAGGAATAGGGTTTTGGAAGGGGTTTGGCTGTTTCCATTCCCAGCAAAGCCTGGGTTCTGTGGGGCGTCCAGCCGGACGCCCCACAGAACCCAAGCTTTGCTAAGCTCCATCCTTACCCTAAATCCATCCAAAATCCTTTCATAGGATCATGGAATGGGTTGGGTTTGAAGGGACCTTAAAGCTCACCCAGTCAGGGACCCCTTCCACTGGAGCAGCTTGCTCCAAGCCCCTGTGTCCAACCTGGCCTTGAGCACTGCCAGGGATGGGGCAATGCTTTCCTGGTGGTGGGAAATGGCCATTTTTAGCCCAAGGGATAAAAAGAAGGGAAGGAAAGGGATGAGTGGCTCCTGACCGGGCTTTTCCTGTGCTGTGGGGTGTGGGGATGGTGCTGCTGCAGCACTGGGATCTCTTGTGGGGCCATCCTGCTGTGGTGCTGGGTGCTTTCCCAGGGTGGCTCCCTCTCTCCCTTCATCCATCCCTTCATCCATCCCTTCATCCATCCATCCATCCGTCATCCATCCATCCATCTATCCATCCATCCATCCATCCTTCCACCTCTCCCACTATTCCTCCATCTTCTCCATCCATCTATACATCCATCCGTTCATCCATCCACCCATCCATCCATTCTTTCACCTGTCCCACTATCCCTCCATCTTCTCTATCCATTTATACATCCCTCCCTCCCTCCCTGCCTCTCTCCCTCCCTCCCTTCATCCATCCCACTATCCCACTATCCCTCCATCTTCTCCATCCATCCATCCATCCATCCATCCATCCATCCATCCATCCCACTATCCCTCCATCTTCTCCATCCATCTACCCATCCATCCATCCATCCATCCATCCACCCATCCATCCATCCATCCATCCATCCATCCATCCATCCATCCATCCCACTATCCCTCCATCAAACTATCCCTCCATCTTCTCCATCCATCCATCCATCCATCCATCCATCCATGCATCCATCCATCATCCATCCATCCATCCATCCCACTATCCCTCCATCTACCCATCCATCCACTTATCCATCTTCCTCCATCCCTCCCTCCCTCCATCAGCCTGTCCCTCCATCCCTCCCTCCATCTATCAGCCTGTCCCTCCATCCATCCCTCCATCCATCCGCAGCCATGGCAGAAAGCATCTCTCATCACCCAAATCACATCCCAAGGGGAATTCCATGGCTCTGCATCCCATGGGATGAGACACAAGCAGGGAGCACACCCTGGACCTGGGGTTGCTGCCCTCAGGCTCAGTGCCTGCTGCACCCAGGCAATGGCAGCTCTGCCTCTGGCCAGCTCCAGCCCTGCTCCTGCTGCTTCAGCTTGGGAGGTTGGGCAGATTCCTTAAAACTGGAATGGGGAAAGAGGGATTTGGGGATGCTGAAGCGAGCAGAGAGAGGAGGATGCTGTGAGCGGGCAGCTTGGGCTCCTGTCAGCCTGGGTGCCATATCCACACCCAGGGGCACCCATATATCCCCTTCTCTATCCCCCTCTATCCATCTCTCTGTATCTATCCTGTCAGTGGATCATATCTCTTCTCGATCGTGTCTCTCTATGTCCTCTCTATCTCTGTATCATCTCATCTCCCTGCCCATCCCTGGCAGTGCTCAAGGCCAGGTTGGACACAGGGGCTTGGAGCAAGCTGCTCCAGTGGAAGGGGTCCCTGCCTGTGGTAGGGTTGGAACTGGAGGAGCTTTAAGGTTCTTTCCAACCTAAACCAATCGGGATTCTATGCTCTCTAGTTATGATATGGTACCATATCATATCATATATCATATATCAATCATCTCTCTATCTCATCTCGCATCCCCATCTCCTCTCCCTGTATCTGTCTCCCTGTCTCCTGCATCCCGCCATGGCCCGGCCTGGCTCCGGCTCCGCTGGCCCTGGGCTCTGAGTCACCGCTATTGTTCACCTCTTCCTCTTCCTCTTCCCCCCTGGTCCCTCCCGTGACGCGGCCCCGGTGGGCTCATGGCCAGAGCTCGCTGTGACCTGAGGGTCGTGGCTTCGGGCTGCTGCTGGTGGGGGGGGGGGATCCTGGGGTACCCCCAGCACTGCAGGGCCTTGGCTTTGGGCTGCAACCAGGGATGGGGCTGCATCGCCACCACTGCATCCCCGTCCCTGCATCCCCATCCCTGCATCCCCGTCCCTGCATCCCTGTCCCTGCATCCCCATCCCTGCATCCCCATCCCTGCATCTCCATCGCTGCATCTCCATCCCTGCATCCCCGTCCCTGCATCCCTGTCCCTGCATCCCCATCCCTGCATCCCCATCCCTGCATCTCCATCGCTGCATCTCCATCCCTGCATCCCCGTCCCTGCATCCCCGTCCCTGCATCCCCGTCCCTGCATCCCTGTCCCTGCATCCCCACCCCTGCATCCCCACCCCTGCATCCCCATTCCTGTATCCCTGTCCCTGCATCCCTGTCCCTGCATCCCCACCGCTGCATCCCCATTCCTCCATCCCCATCCCTGCATCCCCATCCGCATCCACTGGGGTGTGCTTTGGCCAGCCCCATGTTGAAGCACCCAACTGATGATCGCAGGGGCTCTGGGTCCCCTTTGGGGCTGTACTGAGGTTTGGATGGAGGGAGGGGGATGTCTGGGTCCCCCATTGCACCTCCCACCCTGGAAACCCACCCCAGAGCCTTTGGGGGCCTCTTCTGAGCCCTGCTCATGGGGAAACTGAGGCCTGACCCATTGAGGTGCCTTGTCTGGGGGTTTCCAGCAGGGTCTTGGGGCCTGTCTGTGCCCACCACGACCCAACCTATGTGTGAGGAGCAGGGCCTGATCCTGCTCCTGGAGCTGTGGATGCCACTGGAGGCTCTCAACCCCTTCCCATGGGGGACGGAGCTCCGCTTTGGGGTCTGAGCCATGTGTGCTGTTCCCTGCAGGGGTCAAGAAGAGGACTAAAGTCATCAAGAACAATGTGAACCCCGTATGGAACGAGGTGAGTGTGTCCCCATCTCCATCCCCATCCCATCCCCATCCCCATAGGGAGCACCCCATCCCGGGGGATGCTGTGGGCCATGGTGCAAGCCCAACGAGGCGCCCCAAGCTCAAGGGGATGCAGTCATGGAGGGTTTGAGGCTGATCCCGTTCTGGGCAGCTGGACCAGCAGCAGTGGATGGGATGGAGCCAGCTCCAGCCCTTGGCTCCAGCCCCTTCCCCTTCCATCACGATGTTATCGGGGCTGGGCACACACGCTGGGAGAAGCTGTTTAAACACATCTCAGCTCCATGGGAAACCAGGGTTCTCCCCATCAATCCAGTGAGGGGGGGCTTGTTCCAGCACCTCCTTCCTCCCAGCCCTGACCCCTGCTTCCCTGGGGCACAACTGCAGGAAAAGGGGGTTTAGGAGCAAACACTGGGCTCTAACTGGGATGTGCATGGCAGGGCATTGCTCACACTGGGCTCTAACTGGGATGTGCCTGGCAGGGCATTGCTCACACTGGGCTCTAACTGGGATGTGCATGGCAGGGCATTGCTCACACTGGGCTCTAACTGGGATGTGCATGGCAGGGCGTTGCTCACACTGGGGTCTAACTGGGATGTGCAATGGGCAGGGCATTGCTCACACTGGGCTCTAAGTGGGATGTGCATGGCAGGGCATTGCTCACACTGGGCTCTAACTGGGATGTGCATGGCAGGGCATTGCTCACACTGGGCTCTAACTGGGATGTGCATGGCAGGGCATTGCTCACACTGGGCTCTAACTGGGATGTGCATGGCAGGGCATTGCTCACACTGGGCTCTAACTGGGATGTGCACGGCAGGGCATTGCTCACACTGGCTCTACCTGGGATGTGCACGGCAGGGCATTGCTCACACTGGGCTCTAACTGGGATGTGCATGGCAGGGCATTGCTCACACTGGGCTCTAACTGGGATGTGCACGGCAGGGCATTGCTCACACTGGGCTCTAACTGGGATGTGCACTGGGCAGGGCATTGCTCACACTGGGCTCCAAGCCCTGTGTCCAACATGGCCTGAGCTGGTTTCAGCACTGGAGACGTGGGTTTGGGGCTCCTCACCTCTAAGAGCCCCCCCTGTGGTCCCGGAGCTGCTTGATCCGAGCATCATGGCTCTGCCTGGGCGCTGATCCTGGCTCTTTTCTCCTTCCTCCTTCCAGGGCTTCGAGTGGGACCTGAAGGGAGCTCCCCTGGACCCCGGTGCTGAGCTCAGCATCGTTGTGAAAGACCATGAGACCGTGGGGAGAAACAGGTGGGAGCAGCGTCAAGTGCGGGCTGTGAGCAAGAGGGGATCTGTGAGGGCTGGAGCAGCTCTGCTCTGGAGCCAGGCTGAGAGAGCTGGGCTGGGGCAGCCTGGAGAAGAGAAGGCTCCTGAAGGGGAGACCTTAGAGCAGCTCCAGTGCCTAAAGGGGCTGCAGGAAAGCTGGAGAGGGGCTTGGGACAAGGGATGCAGGGATGGGATGAGGAGTTTGGGATCCAGGCTGGAAGAGGGAAGAGTTGGGTGGGATACAGGGAAGTTCTCCCCTATGAGGGTGGTGGGACATGGGAATGGGGTGAAGCTGTGGCTGCCCCATCCCTGGCAGTGTTCAAGGCCAGGTTGGACACAGGGGCTTGGAGCAAGCTGCTCCAGTGGAAGGGGTCGTTGGAGCTGGATGGGCTTTAAGCTCCCTTCATCCCAAACCCTTCCATCATCCTCAGAGCCACACAAGGAGGGTTCAGCCTCTTCCCGGTTTCCCTGTGTTCCTTTGCAGCAGTGGAGGCCGGAGCTGCATTCCCAGGCTCCATGGCCAAGGAACACAGGGCAGGAGGGAAAGGAGCACAAGGACCCTTGTGTCCTGTGCCACCACGGGAGCACCAGCGCCACGATGCCCCAGTGATGGGCGCTTGGCTCCGGAGGGGTGAGGCGGCTCCAGGCTCATTCCCAGTGCTGGGAATGGTGGTGTTGGCACAGCAAACAGCTCCTCACGGATACCCCATGGGATCAGACACCCATCTTGGTGGTGGTTGCACTGGGAAGGAGACTGGGAGCTGATGGTGATGCCGCGGGGCCTCCATCCCTGTTCCGTGCATTGCTCCTCTGACCGGGATCGCTGCTCCCATAGGGAGGGAAGTGCAGGAAGTGGTTTATTTCGGGCTGGAGGAGGGTGGGATTCGCTGTCCTGCTCCGGCGTGAAGGATCCCATTGCCATGCCTGGAGCTGGCGCTGGGTTCGCTCCTGGGCCGGAAGCCAAAGGAGATGGAATTTGGGGCGATTCCAGCTCGGTGGCGTCGGGAGTGTCTATAAATAGAGAGGAGAGGACGGGAAAAGGGAGCGGATCCCAGTGCGGGAGGTTTGAGGGCTCCGTGGGGAGGAGCTGCCCCACTGTGACCCACAGGGACCGGGCCTTGGCCCATCAATGGCACAAGGATGGGGGAGTTTGGCTTCTCCTTCCCTTGGGAGAAGATCCCAGCCCACCTAAAGAGGGCAATGAGCAGTGGCTGGTGGTTAATGCCCTGTCTGGCTGCTGCTCCCATTGGGGATCATGGACTGGTTTGGGTCAAAGGGACTTTCAGATCCCATCTCAGTCTCCCTTCAGGCAGGTTCAAGCCATTCCCCTACAGGCCCTTGTCCCAAGCCCCTCTCCAGGTTTCCTGCAGCCCCTTTAGGCACTGGACCTGCTCTAAGGTCTCCCCTTCAGGAGCCTTCTCTTCTTGGTTCGAACTCTCTGGACAATTCCTTATCCCATAGCGCATCCATCAACCCCTTCCTCTTCCATTCCGAGTCAGGAATGCTGTTGAAGACCCCATGTGAAGAGCATCTGTGCCTCTCCCCTTGCCCACTGCTGCAGTCAATCCATCATAGAAGGCCCCAGCTCCCTGGGGAACCATCCTGCACCCGCTCAGTGCCATAGCCTGCCCAAAGAGAGCATCCTTTGTAACCACAGAGCGTGTCCATCACCCAGAGGTGACGCTGGCTTTAACCAGAGCGTGTCTAGGTGGTGGTACCTCAAACCCTTAGGAGCTGAACCCCAGCCCAGTACTGCAAAGCCCCATTCCTGCTATGTGAAACCAGTGCTGTTTCTCTCCCAAAGGCACGTTGGGTGTCCCAGTCACCTCCCTGCATTCCCTATGTTCAACGTGTGTTCCAGCGGGATCTGCTCCATGATCCCATCCTGCTGTTAGGGCACCACTAAGCAGTTCGAGGGCTTTCCAGGCACTGGTCCATGGGGCAACCACTGGGAAGGGTTTATCCAGAGGCTGAGATGCTGAAACTCCATAGGGGACAATCCGTGGTGTGAAGTGCTCCTGGATGGTGGCACATGGCCATGGAGGTGATCTTCCCACCTCCAGTGCTACCCAACCCCTTGTGTCTTGGTTGTCTCCATCAGCACTTGGCTCTGGGGCCGCTGGTCCCTCAGTGTGGGCCTTGAGGAGCATCCCCTTGATGAGGAAGGGATAAAGCCCTGGAGATGCTGGTTCCGGTTTCCCATCCAGGCTGGGTCTCACCCGGTGCCCATGGGGGCTGCTAGGGGTACCCCAGTGCGCCTCTGCCCATGGATGGGGCCCTGGGGCTGGGTTTGATGCTCAGCCCCTGCTGGTCCCCATGCAGGTTCCTGGGGGAGGCCCGGGTGCCCCTGCGGGATGTGCTCAGCTCGCCCAGCCTGGCTGCATCCTACAACCTGCCCCTGCTGGACACCAAGAAACAGGCAACAGGGGTGAGTGCACAACGGCTGCCCAGTGCGCATCCCAGTTAGAGCCCAGTATGAGCAATGCCCTGCCCAGTGCACATCCCAGTTAGAGCCCAGTGTGAGCAATGCCCTGCCATGCATATCCTAGTTAGAGCCCAGTGTGAGCAATGCCCTGCCATGCACATCCCACTTAGAGCCCAGTGTGAGCAATGCCCTGCCCAGTGCACATCCCAGTTAGAGCCCAGTATGAGCAATCCCCCCACACACCCAAACCCAACAACCCCCACAACCAAACCCAACAACCCCCACACACCCACAACCCAACAACCCCCCACACACCCAAACCCAACAACCCCCCACACACCAAACCCAACAACCCCCCCACACACCCAAACCCAACAACCCCCCAACACCCCCCACCCAAACCCAACAACCCCCAACACCCCCCACACACCCAAACCCAACACACCCCCCAACACCCAAACCCAACAACCCCCACACACCCAAACCAACAACCCCCACACACCCAAACCCAACAACCCCCACACACCCACAACCCAACAACCCCACACACCCAACCCAACAACCCCACACACCCAAACCCAACACCCCCCACACACCCAACCCAACAACCCCACAACCCAAACCCAACACCCCCACACACCCAAACCCAGTGTGAGCATGCCCTGCCATGCATCCCAGTTGACCCAGTGGAGCAATGCCCTGCCATGCACATCCCATTAGAGCCCAGTGTGAGCAACGCCCTGCCCAGTGCAGCTCCCAGTTGGAACCCAGTGGAGCAATGCCCTGCCCATTGCACATCCCGTTAGAGCCCAGTGTGAGCAAGCCCTGCCCAGTGCACATCCCAGTTAGAGCCCAGTGTGAGCAATGTCCTGCCATGAACAGCCCAGCTAGAGCCCAGTGTGAGCAATGCCCTGCCCAGTGCACATCCCAGTTAGAGCCCAGTGTGAGCAATGCCCTGCCATGCACATCCCAGTTAGAGCCCAGTGTGAGCAATGCCCTGCCATGCACATCCCAGTTAGAGCCCAGTGTGAGCAATGCCCTGCCATGCACATGCACATCCCAGTTAGAGCCCAGTGTGACAATGCCCTGCCATGCACAAGAGCCCAGTGTGAGCAATGCCCTGCCATGCACATCCCAGTTAGAGCCCAGTGTGAGCAATGCCCTGCCCAGTGCAGCTCCCAGTTGGATCCCAGTGTGAGCAATGCCCTGCCCATGCACATCCCGTTAGAGCCCAGTTGAGCAAGCCCTCCTGCACATCCCAGTTAGAGCCCAGTGTGAGCAATGCCCTGCCATGCCATCCCAGTTAGAGCCCAGTTGAGCAATCCCTGCATGCACATCCCAGTTAGAGCCCAGTGTGAGCAATGCCCTGCCCAGTGCACATCCCAGTTAGAGCCCAGTGTGAGCAATGCCTGCCATGCACAGCCCAGTAGAGCCCAGTGTGAGCAATGCCCTGCGCCCAGTGTGAGCAATGCCCTGCCCTGCACATCCCAGTTAGAGCCCAGTGTGAGCAATGCCCTGCCATGCACATCCCAGTTAGAGCCCAGTGTGAGCAATGCCCTGCCATGCACATGCCATGCACATCCCAGTTAGAGCCCAGTGTGAGCAATGCCCTGCCCATTGCACATCCCAGTTAGAGCCCAGTGTGAGCAATGCCCTGCCCAGTGCGCATCCCAGTTAGAGCCCAGTATGAGCAGTGCCCTGCCCAGTGCACATCCCAGTTAGAGCCCAGTGTGAGCAATGCCCTGCCCAGTGCGCATCCCAGTTAGAGCCCAGTGTGAGCAATGCCCTGCCATGCACATCCCAGTTAGAGCCCAGTGGGAGCAATGCCCTGCCCAGTGTGAGCAATGCCCTGCCCAGTGCACATCCCAGTTAGAGCCCAGTGGAGCAATGCCCTGCCATGCACATCCCAGTTAGAGCCCAACAACCCCCACACACCCAAACCAACAACCCTGCCATGCACATCCCAGTTAGAGCCCAGTGTGAGCAATGCCCTGCCCAGTGCAGCTCCCAGTTGGATCCCAGTGTGAGCAATGCCCTGCCACACACCCAAACCCAGTGTGAGCAATGCCCTGCCATGCACATCCCAGTTAGAGCCCAGTGTGAGCAATGCCCTGCCATGCACATCCCAGTTAGAGCCCAGTGTGAGCAATGCCCTGCCCAGTGCAGCTCCCAGTTGGATCCCAGTGTTCCTCCCACCCCTTTAACGCTGTTTCCTCTCTTCCAGGCTTTCCTCCTCCTGCAGGTCTCCTACATCCCCCCTCCAGGAGCTCCTCCCCTGTTCCCTCCTCCGGCTGCCCCCGAGCCAGCGCCGGCTGCTGCTGAGCCCGACTCGGTCCCTGGTAACCAGAACCCTTCTGTGCTGCCTTGGCTGGGATGAGCCCCATGGACCGCGTCCTTCCCGCTTGGACCCTTCACCCTCTGCCCCCCCTTAGACCCAGCCAGGCTGGGAGAGCCCTTGCAGCTCACCCGGTCCAACCCTTCCCAGCCCTGCCCAGGCCACCCCTAACCCATGGCACTGAGGATGTGTGAACCCTTGCAGGGCCGGTGCCTGCAGCCCTGCCCTGGGCAGCCTGTTCCAATGCCTGAGCACCCTCTGGGGCAGGAATTGTTCCTCAGCTCCATCTAAACCTGCCCTGGTGCAGCTTGAGGCCGGTTCCTCTTGTCCCATCCCTTGTTCCTTGGGAGCAGAGCCCAGCCCCTCCTGGCTCCATCCTCCTGTCAGGCAGTTGGAGGCAGCCATCAGATCCCCCCTGAGCCTTCTCTTCTCCATCTGAACCCCCCAGGTCCCTCAGCCCTTCCCCATCACACTTGGGCTCCAGGCCCTGCACCAGCTCCAGTGCCCTTCTCTGGCCCTGCTCCATCCCCTCAATGTCTCTCTTGCAGTGAGGGGCCCAGAACTGAACCCAGGATTCAAGGTGCAGCCTCACCAGTGCCCAGTGCAGGGGCACAACCCCTGCCCTGCCCCTGCTGCTGCACTGGTGCTGGTAGAGGCCAGGGTGCTCATCTCCATCAATCACCTTCTCCATCTCCTTCCTCACCCCACCCAGAGACGGCCGGAGAGGAGGAGACAGAGGATCAAGGAGCTACAGGGGATGAGATGGAGCCCTCCTCATCTTTGGGGCCACCCAGCTCTGAGACCCCCTCGCTGCCCCACAAGCCCCCAGTGCACCACGTCCAGGGGGTGAAGAGGAGGAGGAGCTCCCCCAAAAAGCCTTTGTCCAACAAGCCACAGGACTTCCAGGTTGGTTGGGATGAGCTGCTCCTCTTGGACCCCAGCGCATCCTATGCGGGGTTCATCACCTCAGAGGTCCCCATCCCATGCTAGGACCAACCCGGTCACCCTCTGCCCTGTTCTCCCTCTCATCCCAGATCAGGGTGAGGGTCATTGAGGGCAGGCAGCTCCCAGGGGTCAACATCAGGCCCGTGGTGAAGGTGACGGCCGCGGGGCAGACCAAGAGGACGCGGATCCGCAAAGGAAACAGCCCCTTCTTTGATGAGGTGAGGGGGGGACCCTGCTCCGAGCACCAGGAAAGGGTTGGGAATGTCATGGGTTGGGGTCCTGAGTGATGGGAATCCTGGGGAAGTCCAGGGGTTGGGATGTGGCCATGGGGATTGCACAGCCCCTTTGGGAGGATGCTGCTTTTCACGGGCTTGGGTCTCACCTAATGGGAGGGAAGGAGCCTATGGAGCTGGGGGCATGGGATATGCTGGGGCTCACCTTCACTTGCACCCTCGCCCTTCCTTCCTGCAGACCTTCTTCTTCAATGTCTTCGAGTCACCATCCGAGCTGTTTGATGCACCCATCTTCATCACGGTGAGCTCCAGCACCCCTCGGTCCTGCTCTGCATGAGGCTGGGGTAATAGAACCGTAGAGCCATGGGATGGGTTGGGTTGGAAGGGATCCTAAAGCTACTCCAGCTCCAACCCTTGCCATGGGAAGGGACCCCTTGCTCCAAGCCCCTGTGTCCAACCTGAAGCCATCACCCTGTCCCTTTCCCTGCAGCACCCAGGGGATCCCAGCCCCATTCCCCCCTGGGCACGCAGCGGGTGCTCCATCCTGCTGGATTTGGGCTGGATTTGGGCTGGATTCACTGCGTTTCCTCACTTTCACCTGCAGGTCGTGGACTCGCGGTCGTTCCGCACGGATTCGGTGATCGGGGAATTCCGGGTAAGGCCCTGCTGTGCCCTGTGCCCCTGTTCCTCCCTGTCCCACGCTGACCCATGGCTGGACACTGATGTTTCTTCTCTGCTCTATTGCACAGATGGACGTGGAGACCATTTACTCCGAGCCAAGTGAGTCAGATCCAGGCCAGGGTCACCTCCTGCTTTAGGAAGCCTCTTTAGGGGCTAAACATCAGCGCAATGCACACACCCCCCAAAGCTCTCCCATACCTGAACCCGGATGGGTCCTTGTATCCATCATCACCACCCATTCCTCCTCCCTTTCCCAAGATGAACATCACTGAGGCTTTCAAGTCATCGTGCCACCATCAGCCCAATCAGCACAGCCCAGCTCGTTGCATTTTGTCTCAGATCTGGGTCATTATTTTCTCTTTTATCTATCAATTTCTCTCAGAGAAGGTAAACTGATGCTGATAAAGATCTTCCTGCATTAAGCACTGCAGAGAATGTGGTGATTTTGGCTGTAAAGAGTTAAGAATTGTAAGGCAGATCCCTTCATAACGTGCTTGAGCTTTTGGTCAGCCCCAAAGAGGTCAGGCAGTTGGACTGGATGATCATTGGAGGTCCCTTCCAATTGAAGTCTTTTTTCCCTCCCCCCTTCTCTTTCCCCTTTCTCTTTCCCCCCTTCTCTTTCCCCCTTCTCTTTCCCCCTTCTCTTTCCCCCTTCTCTTTCCCCCTCCTCTTTCCCCTTCTCTTTCCTTCTTCCCTTTCCCTCTTCTCTTTCCCCTTTCTCCTTCCCCCCTTCTCTTTCCCCCTTCTCTTTCACCCCTTTTCTTCCCCCTCTTTCCCATTCCCCTTTCTTTCCCCTTTTCCCTCCCCCTTCTCCCCTTTTTCCCCTTTCTCTTCCCCCTTTCTCTTTCCCCCTTCTCTTTCCTTCCTTCCTTTTCTATTTCCCCTTCTCTTTCCCTTCTCTTTTCCCTTTCTCCTTCCCCCTTCTCTTCCCCCCTTCTCTTTCACCCCTTTTCTTCCCCCTTTCGATTTCCCCCTTCTCTTTCACCTTATCTTCCCCCTTCTCTTCCCCCTTCTTTCCCCTTCTCTTTCCCCCTTCTCTTTCCCCCCTTCTCTTTCCCCCCTTCTCGTTCCCCCTTCTATTTCCCCCTTCTTTCTGCTTCCCTTTCCCCCTTCTCTTTCCCGTTCTCTTTTCCCCCTTCTCTTTCCCCCTTCTCTTTCCCCCCTTCTCTTTCCTCCTTCTTTCTGCTTCTCTTTTCCCCCTTCTCTTTCCCCTTCTCTTTTACACTTCTCTTTCCCCCTTCTCTTTCCCCCTTCTCTTTCCCCCTTCTCTTTCCCCTCTCCATTTCCAGTCCTATTCTAACCCATCCTATCTAAAGGGAAATAGCATTTATCATAACCCCGTACCCAAGAGCACCCTTGAAGCCTGAGGAGCAGCCCATGGATCCCAGGCTCTTTCCTCCCCTAGAACACGCTTTCCTCAGGAAGTGGCTGCTGCTCTCGGACCCAGAGGACTTCTCTGCGGGGGCCAAGGGCTACCTCAAGGTCAGCCTCTTCGTGCTGGGGCCTGGAGACGAAGCTCCGGTGAGTCCTGAGCACCCACCGCGATGGAGGTGATTCCAGCTGTGGAACTCCACCATCCTGCTCCATCCAACCCCGGCCTGCTCCCACCTGTGGTCTCCCTCCATTGTGGTGCTGGATGGTGGCCGTTGCCCCTCGTTTTGGGACTCTTGGGGACCTTGGTTGCGTTTTCCTCTTGCCCCGCAGCTGGAGAAGAAAGAGGTCTCTGAAGACAAGGAGGACATCGAGGGCAACCTCCTGCGCCCCACCGGGGTCACCCTGCGAGGGGCCCACTTCTGCCTCAAGATCTTCAAGGCTGAGGATTTGCCCCAGAGTAAGAGAATCCCCCCTTGGCTGGAGCATCCCAGCTCCGGCCCTTTTCCTTGCAGCGGGTTGCAATGTGCTGGAGAGGAATAAGGGCACAGATACATAACCTTATCCATGGCCTTGGTCTAAAGACCTGGTAGATACTGGTCTGTAACATACTGGGGGGTGACTCTCATGGAATCCCAGCCTGGTTTGGGTTGAAGGGACCTTAAAGCTCCTCCAGCTCCAAACCCAACCCCTTCCACTGGAGCAGCTTGCTCCAAGCCCCTGTGTCCAACCTGGCCTTGAGCACTGCCAGGGATGGGGCAGCCACAGCTTCTCTGGGCACCCTGTGCCAGCGCCTCAGCACCCTCACAGGGAAGAGCTTCTGCCTAAGAGCTCAGCTCAGTCTCCCCTTGGGCAGGTTCAAGCCATTCCCCTTGGCCTGGCCCTACAGGCCCTTGTCCCAAGCCCCTCTCCAGCTTTCCTGCAGCCCCTTTAGGCACTGGAGCTGCTCTAAGGTCTCCCCAGAGCCCTCCCTTTTACTGGTGCACACTGGGTTTGCCCACCTGGCTCAACGGAGCAGCGCAGTCCCTGGTGGGACACCCTGCCCGGAAAGCCGGGACCATCGGGACCCCATGCGCTCCCATCAGCTTTCAGCATCTCCTTTCCCCCCAGTGGATGATGCTGTCATGGACAACGTCAGGCAGATCTTTGGCTTCGAGAGCAACAAGAAGAACCTGGTGGATCCCTTTGTGGAAGTCAGCTTTGCAGGCAAGACGGTGAGTGGCTGCAGTGGGGCTGGGATGGCAGCTTTCCATAGGGGAACTTGGTCTTGGCATGGGGAAGTTTGGATCATTTGCTTTGCTGATGTCCCCAGCCCTGTCCCCATCCCTGTGGCATGCTTGGAGCTGAGCGGTGGCACTGGACAGGGTGTGCTGGGCTGTGTTGGGCTCATTTCTTCACTGGGCTCATAGTGGTGCTGCTGCATTAAGGATGGGGATGGAGGAGCTGAGGGTTCTGCTGCTGCTTGGTGCTGTCTGAAGTGAGTGAAGGACTGGTCCCGTGCCACCAAACGTGTCCCCATGACCAGCCAGGGTGTGGAGGTGGCTCTGGTGGCTTTGTAGAGCCCCATCCCAGTCCTTTGCTGCTGTGTCCTTCACTAAGCAACACGTCCATGAGCCACTGCTTGCCTTTTGAGCATCACTGAAAGTCTCCTCTGCCGAAAGGTCTTCCCCTGGGGACAGTGCCTGGGGATGGACAGAGCCTTGGGACATTGTCCTGAGCAACCACAGCGGGAAGGGTGTGAGTTCCAGTGGTCCCAAGGTGGGGAAGTTCCTTGAGCATCCCACAGCATCCTCTGCCTCGTGCACAGCGGGGTTTACCCACGCCATGCAGAGCCCCCTTAGGCCACCCATTGAATGGAGCCAGTGTTTTGGGGCACTGGGGACATTCCAGCTCCTGGCACGCACACATCCATGACCTTCCATCCCCATCTCCACCTCCAGCTCTACTCGAGGATCCTGGAGAAGAACGCCAACCCGCAGTGGAACCAGTGCCTGACACTGCCAGCAATGGTGAGCACGGGGGTCCCTATGGTTCCTACCCCCCGGCCCCACCAGTGCTCACTCCTCCTCTCCCTCTTTTCCCAGTTCCCTTCCATGTGTGAGAAGATGAGGATCCGGGTGACCGACTGGTGAGTGGGGTTTGGAAAACTGAGCTGGAGGAGCGGGGTGGGCAATGGGAGACCCCATGGGCACCCCTCCTGGTCCGTGGTGCGATGGCATCACCGGTTGCGTTGCAGGGACCGTCTGACGCACAACGATGTCATCGGCACTGCCCACCTCTGCATGTCCAAGATCTCGGCCCCCGGCGGGGAGCTGGAGGGTAAGGGGGGGGCAGAAGGATGGGATTTGGATGCATGAGCACTGCATGGTCGTGGCTGATGGTGTTGGCTTGGAGGACATCCCAACGCGATGGTCCCTGCCCTGTTACTGGTGATGGGTGCTGGGGGTTGCTGCTGTGTTGTCTGCATCACCTGGTCCCTCCTGGTTTCTGGTTCTGGAGATGTTCAGGTCCTCCCAGTGGTGCTGGGAGGGGAGGCTGCAGGACCACGGTGTGGGGGGTTTGATTCCTCTTTGCTTTGAGGTGTGAATGGGGCCACGCTCCCCTGTGCGGTTGTGACAAGCACTGGAGTCACCAGTGCCAGAGATCACAGAATCACAGCTGGGTTGGGAAAGCCCTTTAAGCTCACCCAGTCCAACCGTTCCCAGCACTGCCAAGGCCACCACTAACCCATGGCACTGAGGATGTGTGAACCCTTGCAGGGCCGGTGCCTGCAGCCCTGCCCTGGGCAGCCTGTTCCAATGCCTGAGCACCCTCTGGGGCAGGAATTGTTCCTCAGCTCCATCTAAACCTGCCCTGGTGCAGCTTGAGGCCGGTTCCTCTTGTCCCATCCCTTGTTCCTTGGGAGCAGAGCCCAGCCCCTCCTGGCTCCATCCTCCTGTCAGGCAGTTGGAGGCAGCCATCAGGTCCCCCCTGAGCCTTCTCTTCTCCATCTGAACCCCCCAGGTCCCTCAGCCCTTCCCCATCACACTTGGGCTCCAGGCCCTGCACCAGCTCCATTCCCTTCTTTGGCCCCGCTCCATCCCCTCAATGTCTCTCTTGTAGTGAGGGGCCCAGAACTGAACCCAGGATTCAAGGTGCAGCCTCACCAGTGCCCAGTACAGGGGCACAACCCCTGCCCTGCCCCTGCTGCGGCACTGGTGCTGGTAGAGGATGCCTGAAGATGCCGCATCCCACCTGTGTGTGCCCCCACTTGTGGCTCCTCTTTAGGACATTTAGGGGCTGTCAGAGGGTGGGATGAGGGCTCAGGTCCAGCTTGGGCTGAGGGGGCTCTTTCCAGTCCAGGGGCTTTCTGAAGTGAAGGACCAGCACAGAGGCACTAACCTGCATGAGCATCTCCTGCTGCTAACAACCAGGTGGCATCTGCCACCTCACTGGGACTCCTCTCACTCTGCTCCCTTTGCTTTGGGCACCTCTGAGACCCTGCAAAGCCTCATCCCATCCCGAGCATCCCCACTCTGCAGGGGACGTGAGCCAAAACACAAGCATGGTGTGAAGCTGCAGCCACGTGTCCCACTGATGGCTGTGCATGCAGGCATGGAGCTGGGTGCAGCACGGTTCTTGTGTGTCCAGCCCCACACTTCCCAGTTACAATGCAGCTCCTGGGCTGATCTGGAGAGAGACAGAGAGGCCAGGAGGGAGGAAGAGGAGGTTCTGAGGGGTCTACCCAGGACCAGCACATCCCATCCTAGCACTGAGACCTGTTTGGTACCCAGGATGGGCTGGGGAGCTGTGGCTCCATCCGGCCTCTGCAACACATGGAGCATCCTTCAGGGATGCTCAGATCCTGTTTCACACCAGCCCTATAGTTCTGGAAGGGTCACAGGGCTTTGTACCAACCTCCCTTTCCTCTCTCTGTCTGTTTCTGTTGGCACCAAAGCCCATGAGAACATTAACCCTCATCTCCCATACCCCTCCATCCCTCCTCCATGCTCCTCTGCTGCCTTTCCTGACCTCTCTCCCTTTCTTTGTGCCTCAGATGAGTTTCCGGCTCTCGCGAAGCCTCTGAAAGCCTCAGACCGTACGTCCCCCTTAGCCTCTGGGTTTGCAGTAGAGCTTGGTAATGGCTTTGGTTCAGGTGCCACCATGGCTCTGGATGGAGTTAGAGGAGCATTGGCTGTGTTGTGTCCAGACACATGAACGGGACGAAGAGACGGCTCCAGCTCAGCCTCCTCCTGCCCTGTGGGAGCATGGAAAGGGCTCCACTGCCCTTCCCTAGAATCCCAGCCTGGTTTGTGTTGGAAGGGACCTTAAAGCTCCTCCAGCTCCAACCCTACCACAGGCAGGGACCCCTTCCACTGGAGCAGCTTGCTCCAAGCCCCTGTGTCCAACCTGGCCTTGAACACTGCCAGGGATGGGGCAGCCACAGCTTCAACCCATTCCCATGTCCCACCACCCTCATGGGGAAGAACTTCCCTGTATCCCATCCACCTCTTCCCTCTTCCATCTGGAAGCCCAAACTCCTCATCCCATCCCTGCATCCCTTGTCCCAAGCCCCTCTCCAGCTTTCCTGCAGCCCCTTTAGGCACTGGAGCTGCTCTAAGGTCTCCCCTTCAGGAGCCTTCTCTTCTCCAGGCTGCCCCAGCCCAGCTCTCTCAGCCTGGCTCCAGAGCAGAGCTGCTCCAGCCCTCACAGCATCCCCATGGTTCTGGTGGCCTCCAGCCTCACGCACGTGGTCCCTGTGCAGCACAGCCCCAAGGACACATCCCCACGGTGCCTTCAGGACTCTCTAACATCTCTTTCCCCGCAGTGGACGACGGCCTCGGGTTCCTGCCAACGTTTGGTCCCTGCTACATCAACCTCTACGGCAGCCCCCGGGAGTTCACCGGCTTCCCTGACCCTTATGAGACGCTCAACCTGGGCAAGGTGACCCCGGCTTCTCCCAGCACCACCTCAACTAAACCTCTGCTCCTCCTTGCCCAAAGCAGCCGCTTCTAACCCCGACTGGCTTTGTCATTAGGAGCCTGCGCTGCGTTTCCTGCCCTGGCTCTTTCCGCTCTCCAAACACCTCCTGCCATTGCGCCAACTCCGCCTCAGAAGCTCTTGCAGCAGCACCTTGCCTGGTCTTGCTCCTCTGCAGTGAAGCCCATTGAAGGCAAAGGCAGAGCTCGCCCATGGGCAGGGGACACCGGGGTCCTGACACCTTGTCCCTGGTCTACCCCAAGGGCGAGGGTGTTGCGTATCGCGGCAGGATGCTGGTGGAGCTGGAGACCAAGCTGGTGGAGCACGTGGAGCAGAAGGTGGAGGACATCTCTGCGGATGACATCCTGCGTGTGGAGGTAACGGGGCCTCTATGGGGGGGTCTGGGGCCAGCCCCCCAGCAGCACAGTGTGGAAGGTGCTGGTTTGGTGGGGGATGTCCTGGTGGGCTCCTGGAGGGGTTCTTCTGCTGTGTTTCCATCTCAACCTTGCTCCATTGGAGCTGCTGCACGGTAGCGAGCAGACTGTGGTGAACAGCATCGTGGCCTCAGCATGAGGAGGACATGGAGCTGTTGGAACAAGTCCAGAGAAGGGCCACAAGGATGATCAGGGGCTGGAGCAGCTCCTGTATGAAGATAGGCTGAGAACACTGGGGCTGTTCAGCCTGGAGAAGCTGAGAGAGACCTCAGAGCAGCTTCCAGTGTCTGAAGGGTGCTACAAGGATGCTGGAGAGGGGCTCTTCATCAGGGACTGGAGCGACAGGACAAGGGGTGATGGGTTCAGACTGAAACAGGGGAAGTTCAGGTCGGAGATAAGGCAGAAGCTCTTCCCTGTGAGGGTGCTGAGGCGCTGGCACAGGGTGCCCAGAGAAGCTGTGGCTGCTCCATCCCTGGCAGTGCTCAAGGCCAGGTTGGACACAGGGGCTTGGAGCAAGCTGCTCCAGTGGAAGGGGTCCCTGCCCGTGGCAGGGGTTGGGGCTGGAGGAGCTTTAAGGTCCCTTCCAACACAAACCATTCCATTGTTCTCTGACTACCATGGAGGGGTTGGAGATGTTTGGGCTGTTCAGCCTGGAGAAGAGAAGCTGCTTGGAGACCTCATAGCAGCCTTCCAGTATCTGAAGGGGGCTATAGGGATGCTGGGGATGGACTCTTCATTAGGGACTGTAGTGACAGGACAAGGGGTAATGGGTTAAAACTGGAACAGGGGAAGTTTAGATTGGATCTAAGGAGGAAATTCTTTCCTGTGAGGGTGGTGAGGCACTGGAATGGGTGCCCATGGAGGTTGTGAATGCTCCATCCCTGGCAGTGTTCAAGGCCAGGTTGGACAGAGCCTTGGGTGCCATGGTTTAGTGTGAGGTGTCCCTGCCCATGGCAGGGGATTGGAACTGGATGATCTCAAGGTCCTTTCCAACCCGAACTATTCTATGATTCTGTGTGCCCCAGCTCAGGCTGTATCACAGATAACTTGCTCCTTTTGCCCATGTTTCTTCACATTTAAGCTGCATTCCCCATGGGAAGCTCTACCCTTCTCCTCTGTCAGGTTCCTCCTGCACATCTCACCCCAAATTCCCTTTCTCCATCCTCTGTTTTCCTTCCCTGCCATAAACGTTTCCACCTGGGAGCCCTCACCGAGCTGCTGTGCACGAGAGCCCGGTGGTGTCTCCTATGGCCACGGTCCTTTGCCTGTTGCAGAAGTACCTGCGCCGCCGGAAGTACTCCCTGTTTGCTGCCTTCTACTCGGCCACCATGCTGCAGGATGTGGATGATGCCATCCAGTTCGAGGTCAGCATCGGCAACTACGGCAACAAGTTTGACACCACGTGCCTGCCCCTGGCCTCCACCACGCAGTACAGCCGGGCTGTCTTCGATGGTGAGCAGCTCCGGGGTCACCAAGTGATGGATGGGATGCGCAGGGTGGGTTTGGAGGCTCCATCCTTGGACATAGTCAACACCCAAGTGGATGGGGGCAACCTGTGGCCGTGGTTGGAACTGGATGGTGTCAAGGTCCTTTCCAGCTCAAACCGTTTGGTGGTTCTGTGTGATCCTGGGCAACCTGCTCAATGTGATCCTGCCTGAGCAGGGGTTGGATGGGATGGCCTCTTGTCCACCACAACCATGCTGTGATGGGGGAATATGTGGCTGGGGAGGAGTGGGGAATGCAGGATTACTTCTCTCAGTTCTTGAAGTGGCTCTTGGGCAGCATCCAGGCACTAACAGTGCCCATTTCTCTCTAAGGAAGAGGCATGCTTTGGGGTGGCCTTCTCCTGGCTCCTGTGGGACTCTTGCTCTGGAGTGAGATGTTCCCACCACATCGGGGTTGTTCTGTTGGTTTCTGGCCTTGCTGCTCTGCAGGAGCTGCTGTAGCCACGGAGGCTGATGCAGATCCCTTTGGACCTTGGGTTGCTTTGGGGAGCACAATTCCCATCATCTTGCTCCAAAAGAGCTCAAAGATGGGCTTCTATCCGTGATAGATGGTGATGGGTGGGGACCCCATCACCCCACTATGAGGAGCTCACTGATGTGCTGTCTCCTCCAGGCTGTCAGTATTACTACCTGCCCTGGGGCAACGTGAAGCCCGTGGTGGTGCTGTCATCCTACTGGGAGGACATCAGCTACCGGACTGATGCCCAGAACCTGCTCCACCACGCAGCAGACAGGCTGGTGAGTGCTGGTGTAGCAAGGAGCATCGTCCACCTCCATTCCCCATCCTGCTTGAGGGCAGAGGCCATCTCCAGGCTGGGTCAGGGTTGGGTTTGATGGCTCCTGTGCTGTGGAGGGGGAATCTGTTGGTGTCCTGGGTGCTGTGCTCTGCCCATGGAGTGATGGAGGAGAAGGGACCACCTTTGTCTGCACTGGGGTGACAATGGGGTGTGAGCACAGTGCTTTCCCTACTGATGTAGGTGCAGGAGGCAAAGACTTTCCTTCAGCTCCTGGGCTATTGGTGGGATTTCTTGCTGTTGTTTCCCTCTGAAGCTCCAAGAGGAGCAAAACCAGAGGTGCAGAGCACTGGTGGGACCCAGCCTGGGGTTTCCAACCATGGGAGCAGCTCCGAGCACTCACTGGGAGGGTCCATGGAGAGTGTGGAGCCTCCATCCTTGGAGCCAGCACCCAACTGGACATGGTCCTGGCCAACCTGCTCAAGGTGGAGCAGGGATGGGGGGTTCCTTAGTTCCTCCTCTTCCCTCCTTACCATGCAGGAAGCAAACCTGGAGAAGGTCCACCTGGCTCTCAAGGCCAACCGCTCACCGAGTGAGCTGGATGCCCTGTGTGCCCAGCTGCTGGATGACACCATCGCTGACTGCAGGTACGTGCTGCCAGGTTTCAGTGTCAACCTTGGCATGGAATTTACTGCACTTGGCTATCGAGGAAGGGACAAGGTCTTTCTTCCCCTCGGAAAGCTGTGGGTCATTGGCCAATGTTGGCTTCAAAAGCTGCTGAGCCAAGGCATGGGGTTGAAATGGTGACATCCGAGCAGCACGGTGTGGGGCAGGAGCCCAGCCATAGGGGTGGTGGGGCTGGTGGGGTGAGGAGCACTGATGGGGCTTCCTGATTGAGTCTTGTGTGCCCTGCACAGGAGGCACCCACACAGAGGGGTGTTTGGCTGTGCATGGGTGCTGTGTGTCTGATGGCTGGAGCAGGAGATGGGGATGTTCAGCCTGGAGAAGAGAAAGCTCCTTAAGGAGAGACCTTAGAGCAGCTCCAGTGCCTAAAGGGGCTGCAGGAAAGCTGGAGAGGGGCTTGGGACAAGGGCCTGGAGGGCCAGGCCAAGGGGAATGGCATAAACTTGCCCGAGGGGAGACTGAGCTGAGCTCTTAGCCCCCTTCCAACCCAACCCCAAACCCTTCTGTGTTGTGTGGTCTCTGCCCATCCCCACAGCCTGAGCCTGCCGGATGTCCTGGCTAAACCAGCCAGCACCCACCTGGACCAGAACCTGTACCGGTTCCGCAGCAGCAACCTGGAGCAGATCGTGAAGACGGCGCTGAAGCTCAAGCACGAGGACTCGAGCCTCTCGGCAGCCCTGGAGCAGGCAGAGGACTGGCTCTCCAGGCTGAAGGCCATGGCGGAGGAGGTAACGCTGCTGTGATGGTGGCAGGAGCTGCTTTGCACCTTGTGGAGGGTCATGGTCTTCCCAAGGCCTCCATCACCATGGTGTAAGGCCAGGTTGGATGGGGCTCGGAGCAAGCTGCTCCAGTGCAAGGTGTCCCTGCCTGTGGCAGGAGTTGGAGCTGGATGGTCCTTAGGGTCCCTTCCAGCTCAAACCAGTTTGGGATTCTATGTTTCTATGTGAACCGAGTCGAGTGATGTGATGGGGACGTTGGGAAGGCAACAGGTTTGGCCCTCAACAGCTGAGGTTTAGCCTTGTTCATGGCACATCTTTACAGCAAACCCTCAACTAATGCTTTAGTGGAGGCCAGGGCTTGGAGAAACAGGGAGCTGCTCGTCCACGGCCAGACCCAGACGGGATCTGGAGCTGCTGAGCTGGGGTTTGGGTGGGCAGGTCTCATTCCATGGGCTTGGGTTGGCAGCAGGACTCAGGGCCTCCCTCATGCCCCCATGGCTGATGCTCTAGATCATAGAATCATAGAATAGTTAGGGTTGGAAAGGACCTTAAGATCATCCAGTTCCAACCCCCTGCCATGGGCAGGGACACCTCACACTAACCCATGGCACCCAAGGCTCTGTCCAACCTGGCCTTGAACACTGCCAGGGATGGAGCATTCACAACCTCCCTGGGCACCCATTCCAGTGCCTCAGCACCCTAACAGGAAAGAATTTCCTCCTTATATCCAATCTAAACTTCCCCTGTTTCAGCTTGAACCCATTACCCCTTGTCCTATCACTACAGTCCCTAATGAAGAGTCCATCCCCAGCATCCCTATAGCCCCCTTCAGATACTGGAAGCTGCTCTGAGGTCTCCCCACAGCCTTCTCTTCTCCAGTCTGAACACCCCCAACTTTCTCAGCCTGATCAGATCAGAGCCTCAGATCAGAGCCCCAGGTGGACACGATGCCTTCTGTCTTCCAGCCCCAGAACAGCCTCCCCGACATCGTCATCTGGATGCTGCAGGGGGACAAGCGCGTGGCGTACGCCCGCGTGCCCGCCCATGAGGTCCTCTTCTCCAGGAACATCTCCAACTGCTGCGGGAAGCACTGCGGGAAGCTGCAGACCATCTTCCTGAAGGTACCCTCAAGGCTCTTGGGGTGCGCGCACCAGGGATGGGCTTAACCCTAAAACATGAGGGAAAACCAAGCAGGGAAGCCTGAAATCCCAACTCAGCATCAACCCGTGAGCGTGTGGGGCTCCAAGGAGCCCCTAGACCCAGTTCTGACCCTTTGAAAGGAGGTTCTTGCATGGTAAAAGCCTGGTGGTGTTTCTGGAAGAGTCCATCTCCTCTGTGCCATAGCACTGAAGCAGATCCCTGTGGTTATCTCCATATCATAGAATGGTTTGGGTTGGAAAGGACCTGAAGATCATCAAGTTCCAACCCCCAGATTTTCTGCATGTTCCAAGTATCAAACATGGGTGCTCTTTGTCCCAGAATGTGCTTTTTGAAACCAAATCTCGTTTAATTTTTAACTTTTTAACGTTATTTGATGTCTTTGCACATTCCTGCCCCTCTGCCAGCCCAGGAATTCCAAGCTGAGGCCTCCTCTGCCAGGTTCTTGCCGAGCTTCTGCCTTCTCAATTGATGGCTCTTTACCCTTTCCCTCTGTGCCAGTTTGGGAGCAGGGAATCAGTGCTGAACCAGCTCTGAAAACCCAAAATGAAGTAAAATCAATGGAATAAACCCCAAAACCTTGTGCTGGCAGCAAAAGAACCAAAATACATTGGGTTTTCTTCTGTCCTTTAGCTCTGGATGGAAAACCAGCATCACTTGGAGGGGGAAAAGAGTGACAGAAACCAGGGCAGTGAGACATCTCCCTCTTTATTCTGCCTGTTCTTGCTGAAGGTTGGAACTGGGTGATCTCAAGGTCCTTTCCAGCCATTCTATGGTTCTAAGTATGTTGTTGGGCTTGGTGTCCTCACCGTGAGGAGCTTCGAAGCTCCTCCCCAAAGTGCTCTTCATGCTGTTGATGTTGTCCCAGTTCTGGGTCTATGGGGGCTTCACTTCAGCCTCACATCCCGAGCATCCCCTGTTGATATCCCCCTTGGGGGTACTGACGTGGCTCTGCCTTTGGCAGTACCCCCAGGAGGAGGTGATGGGCCCGAAGATCCCGGCGCAGATCCGGGTGCAGCTCTGGTTCGGGCTCTCGGTGGATGAGAAGGAGTTTAACCAGTTCGCCGAGGGCAAGCTCTCCGTCTTTGCCGAAACCGTGAGCATCCAATGGGGAGCACCAGGAAGGGTTTTCTTCTCCTTGATGGGAGCAGCAGCATCACCATGAGGGGACGGGGTGGGCTGGACCACGGGTGATGCCACTGCTAAGTGAGGGTCACATCAGTCCCTACCAGTGGGGAGAAGAAAGAGCCAAAAGGCTGGGGAGAAGGTTGGTGGCTTCACAACTCCTGTAATATGCTTTGAGGGGTAACCTGAGGATGCCCATAGGGTCCGGGGGCTGGTGGGGCGGTTAGGCTCTTCCCAAGAGGTCTGTCCTCAGGTTGGGCTCTGCAGCTCATGGGATGGGGCTTTGTGCCTCCAATGTGGCACTATCTTCTCCCTTTGCTCCCCCAGTATGAGAACCAGACCAAGCTGGCGCTGGTGGGGAACTGGGGCACCACTGGCCTCACCTACCCCAAGTACTCCGATGTCACCGGCAAGATCAAGCTGCCCAAGGACAGCTTCCGCCCCTCCACGGGCTGGACCTGGGCTGGGGACTGGTTCATCTGCCCGGAGAAGACGTGAGTGATGGTGCTCGGGGATGAACAGAGCCTGACGGGCTGGCCTGGGCACCCCAAAGTGATGCTGAGCTGTGTGAGGTCACCCACAAAGCTGGATGGAGGCCTGGGGTGCTGTCAGGGTTCCTCATCACCTTACCCCATCCTTAGGAGGCAGCAGCATTAGTGCAAGATGGACCATTGCTCAGTGACCATGGCACTCATGGTCACGGTTGCCCCAGCTCACTGGGGTCCCTGTGCAAACCCCACATTGAAGAGCTTTGGAGGTGGGATCCCTGTGGGGCACTGATGTGGGTGCTCAGCACAGCTCTGCCAGCTTCTTGCATTGGATTTAGTGGTGGGGTTCACTGAGCCAGGGGGATGAGGTCCCATGGGAGCTCTGCTTGGGGTAGAAGATGTTCAGGATGCAATAGGGGGTTGGACGTGAGGCCAAGGTCCCTATGGGGCAGGAGGGAGCTCCTGATGCTGTGCATGTCTCGGGGGTGCAGGCTGCTGCATGATGTGGATGCCGGGCACCTGAGCTTCGTGGAGGAGGTGTTTGAGAACCAGCTCCGGCTGCCTGGAGGCCAGTGGATCCACATGACCGATGCCTACACTGATGTGGTAAGGGTGAAGTGGGCAGCTCAGGGGGGCACCAATGCGGGGTGCAGTGGTGGGAACCCCCATGGGATCAGGGCATTGCTTGATGGAAAACATCCCTGTATCCTACAGAACGGGGAGAAGGTCCTGCCTAAGGATGAGATCGAGTGTCCTCCAGGCTGGAAATGGGAAGATGTGGAGTGGGACACGGACCTCAACAGAGCTGTGGATGAGAAAGGTATCAGGATCAGTTCTGGGCATCCATCCTGGTTTCATCCCCTTTGGCCCTTGTGGTGTTTCCTTCCATGGTCCCATCCAGCACCAGGGGATGGCAGCATCCCATTTGTGGCTGTGCTGGCTTCAGGAGCAGTCATCTCCCCCTTGCTCTGGCTCATTCTGGGGCTATGGGGTGGGCAGCTGCTGGGGTCCAGGCATCTCACCTGGCTTTGGGTGAAAGAGCAATGGGAAGCATCAGTCAGGGAGCATCCGAGCATGGGCACAAGGGTTGGGGCTGCCTGAGGATGAAGGGCAGAGAGGGAAGTCCCCAGGCTGTGGCTTAGAGCCAAGGGCTGGTGGGACACCATCATTCCATCATCCAGGCATCGCCAGAGACACACCTGCATTGAGCAGCAGCACGAGCAGGCCATTGTCAAACTGGGAATGGGGGCTGCATCTGGACAAACCTTTGCTATTCAAGTTATTCCAGTCGGGATATGTCCACATGTCCCTGCCCATGGCAGAGGATTGGAACGGGTGAGCTTTAAGATCCCTTCCATCCCAACCCGTTCCATGTGTGAATAAGGTTCCTGATTCTGCTCTCGTGAGACCTCACCTGGAGCATTGTGTGCAGTTCTGGTGTCCTCAACATCAAAAGGACATGGAACTGTTGGAACAAGTCCAGAGGAGGCCACGAGGATGCTCAGGGGCTGGAGCAGCTCCTGTATGGAGATAGGCTGAGAAAGTTGGGGCTGTTCAGCCTGGAGAAGAGAAGCTGCATGGAGACCTCAGAGCAGCTTCCAGTGTCTGAAGGGGGCCTATAGGGATGCTGGGGAGGGACTCTTCATTAGGGACTGCAGTGACAGGACAAGGGGTAATGGGTTCAAACTGAAACAGGGGAAGTTTAGATTGGATCTAAGGAGGAAATTCTTTCCTGTGAGGGTGGTGAGGCACTGGAATGGGTGCCCAGGGAGGTTGTGAATGCTCCATCCCTGGCAGTGTTCAAGGCCAGAGCCTTGGGTGCCATGGTTTAGTGTGAGGTGTCCCTGCCCATGGCAGGGGGTTGGAACTGGATGATCTTAAGGTCCTTTCCAACCCAAACTACTCTATGTTTCTATGATTGGAGGGAAGGTTCTGGGGCTCTTCTCCCCCCTTCACCGGCTGCTCCCTTCTCCCCCAGGCTGGGAATACGGCATCACCATCCCTCCGGACCGCAAGCCCAAGGCCTGGGTGCCGGCAGAGAAGATGTACCACACCAACCGGCGCCGGCGCTGGGTGCGCCTGCGCCGCCGGGACCTGGCGCACATGGAGACCATGAGGAAGGTGCGATGGGGCCATGGGAATGAGTCAGGACCGTGTCCTGATGGAGGTCCCTAATGCAGGGCTCTTGGTAGCCGGGGTCTCCCTGCCCTAAGCAGGCAGCAGCCTCTGGTGTCCACCATGGGGGTCAGCACCTCCCAAAGGCGGACCCCCCTGCAGCGGTGCTTGCTGGGGCTGTGGGGTGGGATGGGGACCTCCACCAGCGCAGGAGCTGGGAGAGACCCCCAGTGTCCCTGGTCCCAGTCCTGCTTCCCTCTAGGTGGTGCAATTGGGCTGCAAATGCCGCTGCAGGGTTGGGATATTCCCACCCCAAACCATTTCCCCGGGACACTGGTTCCCTTTCCAGCGGTTTTCCATACAATAGAGGCTGGGAAGCACCGGGAGCCCCTGCCAGCCCGTTTGCCCAAGGGATGCAGGTGTCCCAGGGAGCTGACACAGCTCTGAGGAGATAAAGCCTCTATGGGCTTGTGGTTGATGTCCCTCGGTGGCAGAGCTGTGATGGCCCTGGGGGGGATCAGAGGTGGGAAGGATCAGAAGAGAAGGCTCCTGAAGGGGAGACCTTAGAGCAGCTCCAGTGCCTGAAGGGGCTGCAGGAAAGCTGGAGAGGGGCTTGGGACAAGGGCCTGTAGGGACAGGCCAAGGGGAATGGCTTGAACCTGCCCGAGGGGAGACTGAGCTGAGCTCTTAGGCAGAAGCTCTTCCCTGTGAGGGTGCTGAGGCGCTGGCACAGGGTGCCCAGAGAAGCTGTGGCTGCCCCATCCCTGGCAGTGCTCAAGGCCAGGTTGGACACAGGGGCTTGGAGCAAGCTGCTCCAGTGGAAGGTGTTGGGGTTGGAGCTGGATGGGATTTAAGGTCCCTTCAACCCAAACCATTCCAGGATTCTGTATTAAGGGTCTTTTCCAACCTAAACGGTTCTGTTCCAAGCTGAATGGTTCTACCATGGAGATACAGGAGGAGGACATGGGGTGGGACATCCATAGCAGGCAACAGCTTGAAGAGGCTGGGCCAGGTTTGGGTGGGCTCCATCTCACCCCTGGAGAGCCCCATGCTCAAAGCGCCTTTGCCCTTTGGCTGTGCCGGGGTCTCAGTGCTGTGAACGCAGAGGGGCTGTGGGGTGGTGGGGGCCGATCCCTGCTCTGATTCCCACCCTGTTCCCAGCAGCACAAGCAGGAGGAGCTGGAGGGCGAGGGCTGGGAATACGCCTCGCTCTTCGGTTGGCGCTTCCACCTCAAGCAGCGCCGCACCGACACGTTCCGCCGCCGCCGCTGGAGGCGCAGGATGGAGCCCCTGGAGCGCACCGGGGCTGCCGCCGTCTTTGCCTTGGAGGGGGCCCTGGTGGGTACTCGTCTCCCCCCAGTTCCTGGCGATGGGATGGGATGGTCCCCAGCGACTGCTGGTACAGTGGTACCCAGGGATGCCTGGATGGGATGGTCCCCAGGGACTGCTGATACAATGGTACCCAGGGATACCCGGATGGGATGGTCCCCAGGGACTGCTGATACAATGGTACCCAGGGATACCCGGATGGGATGGTCCCCAGGGACTGCTGATACAATGGTACCTAGGGATACCCGGATGGGATGGTCCCCAGGGACTGCTGGTACAATGGTACCCAGGGATACCCGGATGGGATGGTCCCCAGGGACTGGTGGTACAATGGTACCCAGGGATACCCGGATGGGATGGTCCCCAGGGACTGCTGATACAATGGTACCCCGGGATACCCGGATGGGATGGTCCCCAGGGACTGCTGGTACAATGGTACCCCGGGATACCCGGATGGGATGGTCCCCAGGGACTGCTGGTACAATGGTACCCAGGGATACCCGGATGGGATGGTCCCCAGGGACTGCTGATACAATGGTACCCAGGGATACCCGGATGGGATGGTCCCCAGGGACTGCTGGTACAGTGGTACCCAGGGATACCCGGATGGGATGGTCCCCAGGGACTGCTGATACAATGGTACCCAGGGATACCCGGATGGGATGGTCCCCAGGGACTGCTGATACAATGGTACCAGGATACCCGGATGGGATGGTCCCCAGGGACTGCTGGTACAATGGTACCCAGGGATACCCGGATGGGATGGTCCCCAGGGACTGCTGGTACAATGGTACCCAGGGATACCCGGATGGGATGGTCCCCAGGGACTGCTGGTACAATGGTACCCAGGGATACCCGGATGGGATGGTCCCCAGGGACTGCTGGTACAATGGTACCCAGGGATACCCGGATGGGATGGTCCCCAGGGACTGCTGGTACAATGGTACCCAGGGATACCCGGATGGGATGGTCCCCAGGGACTGCTGATACAGTGGTACCCAGGGATATCCGGATGGGATGGTCCCAGGGACTGCTGGTACAATGGTACCCAGGGATACCCGGATGGGACGGTCCCCAGGGACTGCTGGTACGATGGTACCCAGGGATACCCGGATGGGATGGTCCCCCGGGACTGCTGATACAATGGTATCCAGGGATACCAGGATGGGATGGTCCCCAGGGACTGCTGGTACAATGGTACCCAGGGATACCCGGATGGGATGGTCCCCAGGGACTGCTGATACAATGGTACCCAGGGATACCCAGATGGGATGGTCCCCAGGGACTGCTGATACAATGGTATCCAGGGATACTCAGATGGGATGGTCCCCAGGGACTGCTGGTACAATGGTACCCAGGGATACCGGATGGGATGGTCCCCAGGGACTGCTGGTACAATGGTACCCAGGGATACCCGGATGGGATGGTCCCCAGGGATTTTGGATGGGATGGTCCCCAGGGAGCCCATATGGGATGGTCCCAGGGATCCCTGATATAATGGTCCCCAGGGATCCCAGATGAGATGCTCCCAGGCACCCCAAAGCCCATTATCTGCCCATTGCTATCTGCTGCCTGCGCCACTCTTTGCTTAGCCAATATTCTGGCTTTCTTAATTCCCTGGATTTCATAATCCTTTGCCTTTTCCAATAACTAAATGAGAATCAACCACAACAGCACAAAGCCCCTATTATGGGATGTCTTATCCCCCCCCCCCCCCCATTTGGCTTTATTTCCTCCTCCTCTGCTCTGTCCTTCAACCCTGTCCAGTGTTCACAGGCATCAGCCCTGAGCTCGTGCTTGCCCCATAGATGGGGGTCCCTGCAGCTGCCCACCCCCAGGGCTGTCAGTGGGATCCCATCTTCTCCCCTTCTCCCCTGGGGTCCTTCAGTGGGATCTTCAGCCAGATGCTTCCCCCCTTTGCATCTCAGCAGCGAAAATCAGGGAGGATTTAGCTGGAAAACCCTATGATGTGGGGTGTGTGTCCTTGCACACATATGGGCTCTGCTGGGTTCCCTCATGCCCTTCCCTGGCCCTGGAATTGGATGGAGGGTGTCTGATGGGGCTGTTGGGTCTCTACTTGGTCACACACTTCACCTACAAAATGGGCTTGTGGGTTGGATACTGATGGACCCATCTGGGGTCTGCCATGTGCTGGGGGTACCAGGGGATGTGGGGGAGACCCAAGGGAGGAAAATCCCTTCCCCATGTATGGGGCAGAGGCTGAAGCAAAGGGGAAGAGGAGGAAAAGCCCCATTAAAGCCATGTGGCACCAGTGCTTTGCTCCTAGTGGTGCTGATGTGGTGCTAGGGGGGTCCTGGTTGTTTTGAGCATCCCCTGGTGTCACTGGTGAGCTACTGAGACGAGGCCTCAGTGCAATGGGTTAGCGGTGGCCTTGGCAGGGATGGGAATGGTTGGACCTCTTGGTTCCTCTCTGCTTTCCTGGGGCTGAAGAGCCTGAGGGTCTCCCAATGGGCTTCCAGGAGGCACTGGGAGCCCCACATCCTCTTGGACACCCATGTGGATGCTATCCCGGAGTACCCATCACTGACAGTGCCTTGTTTCCTCCTGCAGGGGGGAGTGACAGACGACAAGAGCGATGATGGCAAATCCATCTCCACCCTCAGTTTCGGTGTCAACAGACCCACCATATCCTGCATATTTGACTGTAAGGCCCCAGGGGATGGAGGGACCCCCAGGATGTTCCCCTGCACTGAGCTCCCCATAGATCAGTGTTCCCATCCGCTTCCTCTCACCCACGTCGAGTGCAGGAGGGTGGGGAAGGATGGGGCATGGTTTGTCCCATTGGGAGCATCAACATGCTCAGGGCTTGATGCTCCCTTGGGGAGCCATAGGGAGGATTAAGCCAAGCTCAGACATCAGCCTGGGGCTGGTTAAACCCCACTGGTGAATGCTCCATCCCTGGCAGTGCTCAAGGCCAGGTTGGACAGAGCCTTGGGTGCCATGGGTTAGTGTGAAGCATCCCTGCCCGTGGCAGGGGGTTGGAACTGGATGAGCTTAAAGTCCTTTCCAACCCAACCCATTCTGGGATTCTATTCCCCTGGTGCCCTGCGTTGCTCCATAGGGAACAGGACATGGGGACAAAATGCATCTCTGAGGTGCTTCTCCCTCCTCTGTGCAGATGGGAACAGGTACCACCTCCGCTGCTACATGTACCAGGCGCGGGACCTGATCGCCATGGACAAGGACAGCTTCTCAGGTAAGCCCAGGTGCTGCCTTCCACTGATTGTGCTTGTAATGAGTGTGGTAATGAATGCTGGGGGTGGTGGGGTCTGTAAAGTAAATCTGGGGGTGGTTCAGCCTGGAGCAGGCTCCTGAAGGGGAGACCTTAGAGCAGCTCCAGTGCCTAAAGGGGCTGCAGGAAAGCTGGAGAGGGGCTTGGGACAAGGGCCTGTAGGGGCAGGCCAAGGGGAATGGCTTGAACCTGCCCGAGGGGAGACTGAGCTGAGCTCTTAGGCAGAAGCTCTTCCCTGTGAGGGTGCTGAGGCGCTGGTGATGTTGGGTGGCAGGAGGTGACGCTGGGTGGCAGGAGGTGATGTTGGGTGGCACAGTTGGATATCAGACAGCTCCAGTGCACCACAAGTAACCCAGGGCAGAGGGCAGGGGTGTTTATAGTGGCACATTGCCCCAAACCTCCCCCCTGTGCAGCAGCATCACGGGGAGGGCTCTGGCTGGTGTCAAGATAGGGATGCTGGGGATGGACTCTTCATTAGGGACTGTAGTGGTAGGACAAGGGGTAATGGGTTAAAACTGAAACAGGGGAAGTTTAGATTGGATCTAAGGAGGAAATTCTTTCCTGTGAGGGTGCTGAGGCACTGGAATGGGTGCCCAGGGAGGTTGTGAATGCTCCATCCCTGGCAGTGTTCAAGGCCAGGTTGTACAGAGCCTTGGGTGCCATGGTTTAGTGTGAGGTGTCCCTGCCCATGGCAGGGGGTTGGAACTGGATGATCTTAAGGTCCTTTCCAACCCCAACTATTGTATGGTTCTATGATTCTAAGATGATGGAGCACAGGGAGAAACCTCCATGAGATGCGCTCAGAGGTGGGAGTTAGGACCTTGGAGCAGACGGGCCCCTTCTTCTCCAGCATCCTCCTGATGTTTGTGTTTGGATTTATGTGCCCTCAGCACCCAGCTGCTTGAATCCTTGCAGGGAATGGGGCCAGCAGTGCCCTGGGTGTGGGGAATGCAGATGGGATTTGTCCTGTGGTTTGGGGAACGTTGGAGAGGGGAACCCCCTTTTATTAGGAATGAAAGAACCGATTGAAAATGCAGTTGGGAAGGAACATACCCAATGGTGGCTGATCCATAAACCAGTCTGGGCTTGTCTGCATGGCTGAACGTTCAATGGAGCTGCTGCCCCTCTGCTCTCCATCCTGGGGATGTTGCAATGGGGCTGGGGGGTTTCCTTGATGGAAAACGGGGCATCCTTCAGATTGGGCTGTAAGAAATGCCCCTTCGTGGGTAAAAGCATGGTCACAGGTGGAGAAGAGGATGTCCTGGGTGTTCTTTGAGCTTTCCATGGGGCATCTTTCCATGTGCTGCTGCTCAGCACGTCCCCAGCACAGCTCCAGGCACTTCTGGACCTGCAGTCCTTGAGCTGCTGTGGTCGGGATGTGCTGCACTCGCGTGTTCTGGCTTAGGAACTGAGGTCAGAGTAAGATGGGTTTTATCTGTTGGGCAGCTCTCGGGGTGCTGGAAGGGGTTTGGGTGTAGGAGGGGTGGGTTTGGGATCATCCTGTTTCAGCAGAGGCTGGAACGTGGCTGTGGATGTGCCAGGAATGGTCTCTTTGTGTTTGAGCCAGGCAGGGACCGGCCCCTGGCAGCCGGATGGTCCCGCATCCCTTCCCCATCCCACTGAGTGGTCCCCATTAATGGTCTGGGATGTCCTCTTGAGGTGGGAAAGCAGGACAGTGGGGATGTTGTTGTGTTGCTGGAGCTGGGGTGGTGCAGAAAGACCCCAGCATAGAATCAGGGAATGGTTTGGGTTGGTAAGGACCTTAAGATCATTCAATTCCAGCCCCTTGCCATGGGCAAGGACACCTCACACTAGCCCGTGTCACCCAAGGCTCTGTCCAAGCTGGCCTTGCTCTGTGATGGGGCCATGTCTCAGATGCGAGCAGGTCCTAGGGCAGGTATCCATGGAGCATCCACCCTCCTCTGCAGTGATGCCCATGAGCAGGATGCATCCAGCATCCCTCCAAGGTGTCCCTGACCATCTGCATGAGGATTTGCACTGGGGCTGGGTGCTAGTGATGGATCTCAAATGGGATTCAGGGACAGTGTGGGGACCCGCAATGCAGAACAGCCCATGGGGACCGTTGGGCATCACCCTGCTGGGCACCAGCACTGCAGTCTCAAGGAGCTCCTGCTTCCCATTGAAGAAGAGGGCCTTGGGGTGGTCAGAAATGCCCTGGGGAGGTGCAGAGCACCCCAACACTCCCCAGTGTCTGCGCCCATGAGGGCCCCATCCCCTCTGCACCTCCACAAAGGGCTGGTTGTTGGGAGCGGGGGGACCGGGGTGATCTCATGGCTCCGATCAGTGGAGCAGGGAGGGGAGTCCCTTCCCTTGGAATAAGCCAGCCAAGGACAACATGAGCAACACGGTGCCACAATGTGGAATTGTGATCTCCGGTGCCTTAACAAAGCATAAAGGAGTTCATTAAGGGGGCTCTACACGGTTCTACAAACAAACCTTCTGTGCACAGCAGGGTCTGAACAAAGGGGCTTTATGGAGGCCTCCTTTAAAAGAAGAAGGGGGATGGGGGGGGAAGGCAAAAATTCCACATCCAAATCCCTGCTTTTCTTGTTTATGGTAACGCGTTTTGCTTTGCTCTGCCTGGAAGAACGTGTGTCAGTGGGGAAGGTTCTTCCCAGTGTGAACAGTGCTCCCTGCAGCCACCACCTGGAGCATCAGCCTCCTGAAACACATCTGCTGATGCCCAGGAAGGGGATACATCCCCCTGGATCTCCTTTACCCTGGGAAGAGGGGAGGGATGCGCATGGGATGCATCCTTGCTCAGCCAGCATCCCAAATTGGTTTGGGTTGGAAGGGACCTTAAAGCTCCTCCAGCTCCAACCCCTGCCACGGGCAGGGACCCCTTCCACTGGAGCAGCTTGCTCCAAGCCCCTGTGTCCAACCTGGCCTTGAGCACCTCCAGGCCAGGTTGGATGGGGCTTGGAGCTCCAAGGGTTGCATGTGTAGGGTCTGCAACGCTCCTGGCCACTGGCAGGGCTCTTGGAACTGGTTTTGGGTTGGGCTGGGTGGTACCCATCTGGATGCTGCTGGACCCCAAACACTGATGTATCCATGTATCGTGCTGGGTGCCACGTGCTGCCTGTGTCCTTCCATAAAGGCCAATGATGCCTCCATTCATTGTAGAGGTTGGGCTTTGCAGGCACCCAGAGCTCAGGGGTTCCCCTGGACCAGTCGGGTGGGATGCTGCAGTTGTGGAGGTCTCATCCCTGACAAGGACCTGTAGGTGCTATCAGGTTATGAAGGGTGTCCAGTCTCAATGGGGCCTTACAACGTGATCCCATGGCATGTTTCAAACATCTCACCCAGCCTTGACCCTTTGTGAGGGGTAATTCCATAGGATGACACTCTTCAGCTTCAGTGTTATGGTTGGCTTGATGGAACCTGCAGAACCCCAAGTGTGAGTGCAGGGGGGCAGAGGGTGACTGCTCCTCCTCTCCTAATGCAAGAACTGGGGGTGCTCAGGGTGTGATGATGGAGGGAGCTGGGTACCACAGAGCTCCATGAGGGGCTCATCCTTCACACAGCTCTGAGACCTCACCAGAGGATGCGGTGGGTTCAAGCAGGAGAAGGCCATGGAAGGCACCCCCTGGAGGTATCCATAGAGACATCACATCCAGCTTGGGAAGTACCTGAGCTGGGAATAACTGGTGTGTAGGGATAAGTGTTGGAGAACTTGGCCTCATCCCCTTCTCAGCTGGAGTTGCCTGGAACATGATGGGAACGTCATTGCTGCCTCTAGAAGACCCCCAGATCCTGTTCTCAGCCCTTGAATGACCACAAATTGCTTTCTCCTCCCTGGTGGCTCCAATTCATCCTTTGCTTCTTGTCCTACATCCCTTGCAGATCCTTACGCCATCGTCTCCTTCCTCCACCAAAGCCAGAAGACGGTGGTGATCAAGAACACCTTGAACCCCACCTGGGACCAGACGCTCATCTTCTATGAGATCGAGATCTTCGGGGACCCCCAGAACGTGGCTGAGTCCCCTCCCAACATCGTGGTGGAACTTTATGACCAAGACACCTATGTAAGTGTGTTGGCACAAGCTGGACCTTCATGGTGTGAGTGTGCTGGGGTGGATGGGACAAACACAGCACCATTCCTGCCCTCTGGAATGCAGTGTAACACCTCTGGGTGGCTCAGGCACTGAGCTGGACACTCAGAAGACATCTCTGCTAGTGATGTCCTTGGTGGCCTTGCTTTAGTCACCAAAGCATCATCTATGCCATGTTTTGCAGAGTGGCCAAATTGACCATGTTTCCTTGTGGGAAAAGCTTGGGATGAGATGTAAAGTGGCCATGCAAGTAGGGGACCAGGCACTGTGGTTTGTTCAGCACCCCAAAGGTATCCAAAGTGCCTTGTAGTGATGGCATTTGGGGGGTGCCACGATAAGCCCCCATGCACTGGTGTGTGCAGTTCTGGTGTCCCCAGCACCAGAGGGACATGGAGCTGTTGGAGTGAGGCCATGGGGATGCTGCGAGGGCTGGAGCAGCTCTGCTCTGGAGCCAGGCTGAGAGAGCTGGGCTGGGGCAGCCTGGAGAAGAGAAGGCTCCTGAAGGGGAGACCTTAGAGCAGCTCCAGTGCCTAAAGGGGCTGCAGGGAAGCTGGAGAGGGGCTTGGGGATGTAGGGACAAGCCAAGGGGAATGGCTTGAGCCTGCCAGGGGGTTGGGACTGGATGATCTTAAGGCCCTTTCCACCCCAGCCCATGGCTCTCAGCAACCTCCTGTGCCTGTTTCCTTCCAGGGAGCAGATGAGTTCATGGGGCGCTGCATTTGCCAGCCCAGCGCATCCCGCTCCCCGCGCCTCTCCTGGTACCCTGTCCTCAAGGCGAACAGGAACGTCGGGGAGCTGCTGGCCGCCTTCGAGCTGATTCAGAGGGAGAAGGTGAGCTCCCATCCACCACCTTGGCAGCACCCAGTGCCTGTGGCTGCCCTTTGCTCACTGCTGATACCCGGAGGGGGTTTGGGAGCCAAAGCGGGTCGTTGCTCTTGCAGTGCTCAGTGCTGGCCATCCATGTAAGGAGACACGGAGGAGGATGCTCTTTGGAGCCAGTCTGGCTGGGGGAGACTCCTCATCATGCCCCATGTGCTCTCATGTGCTTCCCCACCTCCCTGTCACCTGCATGCACCATCCCTTTGCCTCTTTGACCTCCTCCTTTCCACTGGCTGCAGCCCAGGTGTGCCTCTGTGCCAGGGAAAAGGGATACGCTGGGATGCTAAACTCCCTGTCCCATTCCTCCCTCCCATGGGGGTGTTAATTGGGAATGAGGGTCCCACAGCTCCCTCCTTGGTCTCTCTGATGTAGCAGCTCTGCTGCTGGAGGGATGCTGTGCATGATGCTGCTGCATCTGCCGGAGTGGATGTGCTGGGTTGAAGCCTTTAATGCTCCACTGAAGGGCTGCTGGATGGCCATCGGGGCCCATCAGGGGCTTGGAGCAAGCTGCTCCAGTGGAAGGGGTCCCTGCCCGTGGCAGGGGTTGGAGCTGGATGGGATTTAAGGTCCCTTCCAACCCAAACCAGGCTGGGATTGCTGATGTTTCTGTTGGACAGAGCTGTCACCCCATGTGTGAATGGAAACCCTGTGTTTTCTCTCCACAGCCGGCTGTGCACCACATCCCTGGCTTCGAGGTAATGCCCATCTCCTGTCTGCAGATCCCCTGCTCTGCACCCCTCAACCCATCCCCTCCCTTGCCCCTGCCGGGCCCCAGCTCCATCAGTTCTCTGTTTGCAGCCCTCATCCATCCATCCTGTCTTAGGGACTTCTCTTGGGATGAAGGAATTCCCATGTAGAGATGCCAGTTTCCTTCAGGTGATGGTAGAGCTGCAGTGAGGGGGCAGCTCGCTTCTGATCCATGAGACAGGGTAAAAGTGTCCCACCCCAGATATAACCCCTTAGGTGTCACACCACTGCCTCCCCACCCTGGGATCATGTCAGCATTCCCATCACAAGGGCTGTGCTTCCCAACAGCTCCAAGCGTGTGTCTGAGCACAGGCATGAACTGATGCTGGGCTGTAAATGGGTTTAAGCCACCTGCACTGGCTTCTCCTCAAACCTCAGGGTGTTTGGTGTGCAGGAGCTTGGAGAGCATCCTTTGGTATTCAGTTATCAGCTACGGTTATAGGCCTTAGGATGGGATGTGGGTAAGAACTGCACTAATGCTTTACTCTGCTTCTCCTCTCCAGAATGAGCTCTCCTCCACCCTGGATGAGGTGAGTCTACAAAGCTGTACTTGTCTCTTCTGCTTGGGGCTTGTTGAGATTGTGTCTCCATGGGGCAGCCTCTGCTTTTCACATGAGTCAAGCCAAGAGCATCAGGCTTTAGTAGCATGAGTGATGACCAGCAGGACAGGGCAGATGGGCTCCATGCCCAACCCAGGGGTGTTTAACCTCTGTGGGATGTGTGTGCATGAGGTTTCCTCATGTTCAACCCTTCCAAACCAAGCATGCAAGAGCCAAAGTGCCGGGCTGGCCTTTGGTTGGTCCCTGGACAAAATCCCAGTTGAATTTTGTAGCTTTCCATGGGAATTCAGCAGGAATTGGGGCATTTGTGGGACTGTTCCAGCTGCTCTGAAGGAAATGCTCCCATCAGGATCATGAGCCACTGCTTGGGCAACCTGTCAGAGCTGCTACCCAGACCTTGTGCATCCCATAGAGCAGGTCATGGGCTGAACCAAGCCATCTCAGGGTAAGCTGGGAACTGAACTAGGGGTACGTCTATGTGAGTGTTGGCTTGGTCCTAGGATCCAGTTAGCCCCAAGGTGTGGGAGATGAGCTGGGAGGGATGTGGGGCGTGCACAGAGCCTGGCCACAGTTCCATGGGAAGCTGGATGGGATAACCACGCTTTGGTTTCTTCCACCCAAGCAGCATTTGCTGATGCTGTGGGGCTCATCTCTGTGCTCCCTATGGGCTGAGGTGGATGAGCTCGGGTAATCATAACCATCTCTCTGCTCTTTCTCCCCCATTGCTTCTCACTGCCATTTCCGGATGGGGCCCTCCACAGCTCTGCACCCCTGCCTTGTTCTCCGAGGGGCTCCTCCAATGGGTACCTTCCATGTCCAAACACTTCCCTCTCCTCTCCTCTCCTCCTCTGCCCTTGCCCACAGACCAAGCAAAGTCCCAACAGAGACCCTGAGCTCCTTCAACCCCACCTTTCCTGCAGGAGCCCCATCTGCACCACCTCGCCAAGGCTGCATCCCAAGGAATGATGCCAGCCTGAGGTCTCCATGCCCTCAGCAATAAATAAGAAGCCTCATGGGGAATCTGGTTCCTAAATACATCATTTGGGCTCATGATACACCTGAACAGCCTGGCACCAGACCTCCTTCTCCTGCCTTTCTGTTTAGTACAAGCAGGAGCAGCCTTTGGGGGCTGCATCCCCTCCAAGCACTGGGATTTGAGTCCCTTTTGAAACAACATGGCCCAGCTCCATACTCACCCTGGGAGATGCTTCCAGCCTGTTTTGACTGGGCTGCTCTGTGCTGACTTTGCTCATCTCTCTTCCAACCCTGTATCAGAGGCAGGGTTGGATTAGATGATCCCCAGAGCTCCCTCCTTCCACCCTCATTCCCTCTGGCGTGTCCTTGTTCCAACCATCCCAGCTGCAGCAGACCCTTTTCATGGATGGCTCCTCCATCCAACCTGCTGTGTCTGGGAATTGCTTGTTCCCTTCTATCACCCCCAGGCCTCACTGCTCATTTCTGGCCCATCTGGTGGAACACTCAGTGCTGGAGCGTTCAGCTCAGGCCCAGAGGGATCACTCCTGTTGTTGGCAAAGCAAGAGGGGAGCAGCAGGGATTGGGAAGGGTTTAGAAGTGGCAGTGCCCAAGGCCAGGTTGGACACAGGGGCTTGAAGCAAGATGCTCCAGTGAAAGGGGTCCCTGCCCGTGGCAGGGGCTGGAGCTGGAGGAGCTTTAAGATCCCTCCCAAACCAAACTATTCCATGATTCTATGACCTCTATTATGCAACTTAAAGACAACTTCAGCACATTTCAAGTGAGAAATCAAGATCGGTCACTGTACAAGGAGAAACTGAGGCTCCTCTTGGTTCAGTCCGTGCTTGATGTGCTCTAAGTGCTATGGGCCACAAGCAAAAGCTCTTCAAGGGCCGTTAGGTCTGTTCCTCTACCCCGGGGAAGCATCAGTGTTGGTGATGCAGTGTCTGGGCAGCCTGGAATTAGGGCTCTGGGTAAGCAGCTGGGATACCAGGAGTGCTGAGCACCCAAGTGATGCTGGGGATGCTCTGCACCTCTCCCTTCTCCTGCTTGCTTCCCACATTGCCCTTTCCCTGCTGGCACTAACCATTGCTGTGAGCATGTGGACCATGGGAGGGAGGATTCCCTGCCCCAGATTTACCATCTTCCCTATGTAGAAACCCAGATACCGGCCCTCAAATGGAGTTACCAACTACAGCTACCAAGCACCTCAATTCAGCAGCCACCAGCCACTGCCAATGCAAATCTAAGCTTAGCATGTGGCATATCTAACATGCCACCATGAAACATCCCTTTGTAGAGCATTATATGCATACAAATACAAACCTGAGCCAATCCCATAATTGGGATATGTATATACACTGGATTTAATGCAATAATGCAAAGAATGCTGGTTCCTGAACTGGTTCCAACTGCCCTTGGTTGGGTGCTGCGTTCTTAGAGGTTTTGCTTTCATTCCTGCCTTTTTGGTGAGCCTGAACTTGAAGATGCAGATCGAGGTGAAGGTGAATTGCGAATCCCTCAGCTGCTGACCAGCTTCGGGCTCACCCTGAAGGAAACCTGTATGTGTGTGCACAGATGGGTTTGTGCAGCCTGGAGAAGAGAAGGCTCCTGAAGGGGAGCCCTTAGAGCAGCTCCAGTGCCTAAAGGGGCTGCAGGAAAGCTGGAGAGGGGCTTGGGACAAGGGATGCAGGGATGGGATGAGGAGTTTGGGCTTCAGGCTGGAAGAGGGAAGAGTTGGATGGGATACAGGGAAGTTCTTCCCTATGAGGGTGGTGGGACATGGGAATGGGTTGAAGCTGTGGCTGCCCCATCCCTGGCAGTGCTCAAGGCCAGGTTGGACACAGGGGCTTGGAGCAAGCTGCCCAGTGGAAGGGGTCCCTGCCTGCGGCAGGGGTTGGAGCTGGAGGAGCTTTAAGCTCCCTTCAACCCAACCCATTCCATGATTCTTTATCCGAGGTCTCTCCTGTGCCCATCATCTTGGTGGCTGCCAGTTATGGTTCATAGCTGAGCTGTGGTACAAACAACAGCCCCTCCTTCATCCACAGGCAATGCCCACCTCCATCCCATGGTGCTGCCCACACTAAATCACTGCTTTGGGGGAGCTGGTTGCAGCATCTCACTGTGCCCAGCTCAAGGAGCTCTATTCCACTAATGAACCCCTGCTGCTGCTTCCTCCCCTCTCCTCATCCCTTGGTCCCTGTCTCACCATGGTCCTGGTGTGGGATTGATGTTGTTCCACCCCTTCCTCATCTAAAGGAGCTGAACCCCAATGGAGGGCAGATCCTCTTAGTCCCCTGGGAATGCTCATGGGTCGATCTCAGCAGTAGATGTTTGATATTTCCAGGGTCAGATTCAATGGGGAGAAGCCGTTTGAAGCACATTCATGCCCCAACCCTCATCTCCCCCTGGACTGCTGGGGGGAGATGAGTTCTGCAGGGGAGGAGAGCGGTGGGACCCAGCCTCGGGAGGGGTTGGTGTCCCCTGGCATGCCCTCATGCGTCCTTTGCCTCTCTGCTCCTGCAGTCTGAGGACTCGGACCTGCCGTACCCCCCACCCCAGCGAGAGCCCAACATCTACATGGTCCCCCAGGGCATCAAACCGGTCCTGCAGCGCACGGCTGTCGAGGTGAGTGATGGGGAGCACAGGTGTGTGTCCCTGATGGGGAGATGGGATCCAGGCTGGTCCCTGTGGATGCAGAGTGCCACCAGAGCTGGGAGCTGGTTCTGCTCGTGGATTGTCTGTCAGAACAATGTTATCTCACTGGGGAGATGTCTCACCAAGCAGTCAAGTTCTACAGCCTGCGCCACACGTGCTCTTTAGGACAGGCTGGCTCACACCAGGGTGATGCTTGCCCAAGGCAGAGATGCTCCATTAGGAGATGAGCGGTTGTGGACCTGTTGTATTGCAAGCATAGGAACAGTTGCTGTGTGACCTGGTTCCTCCCAGCACCGCTGTCCTACATGATTGATTCCCCTCTCCTTCATGGTCGGGTTTACCTCCATTGCTGAGGAGCTCCATGAGGGACCTGGAACTGGATCTTTGGCTCAGTCTTTGCTGTCTGTTCCCCTCAGATCCTGGCCTGGGGGCTGAGGAACCTCAAGAGCTACCAGCTGGCCAGTGTCACCTCGCCCAGCCTGCTGGTGGAGTGTGGGGGCCAGTTCGTGCAGTCCTGTGTCATCAAGAACATCAAGAAGAACCCCAACTTCGATGTCTCTGTGCTCTTCATGGAAGTGGTGAGCGCCCTGCGGTGATGGGGTCACAGCAGAGCTGCTTGGGAAGGACCTCTGAGGGCCCATAGCAAATGCATCTTGTGGTGAAGATGCACTCATGAGATGAACCTCGAATCCTGTGTTCAGTTCTGGGCCCCTCACTGCAAGAGAGACATTGAGGGGCTGGAGTGGGGCCAGAGAAGGGCACTGGAGCTGGTGCAGGGCCTGGAGCCCAAGTGTGATGGGGAAGGGCTGAGGGACCTGGGGGGTTCAGATGGAGAAGAGAAGGCTCAGGGGGGACCTGATGGCTGCCTCCAACTGCCTGAGAGGAGGATGGAGACAGGAGGGGCTGGGCTCTGCTCCCAAGGAACAAGGGATGGGACAAGAGGAACCGGCCTCAAGCTGCACCAGGGCAGGGTTAGATGGAGCTGAGGAACAATTCCTGCCCCAGAGGGTGCTCAGGCATTGGAACAGGCTGCCCAGGGCAGGGCTGCAGGCACCATCCATGTAGACGAGGCCTCAGTGCCATGGGTCCATGGTGGCCTTGGGAGCATTGGGAACAGTTGGACTGGATGAGCTTGAAGGGGTTTTCCAACCTGGTTGTTCCTATGGTGAAGCTGATTGTGCCCTGCTCAGCCTGGGATCCCTTTGGTGCTGTGCAGAGCAGCTGCTGTCCCCATCCTATGCAGTGACGTTTCCTGCTCTCTGCCCACAGCGTCTGCCCAAGGAGAGCCTCTACAGCCCCCCCATCGTGCTCAAGATCATCGACAACCGCCCGTTCGGCCGCCGGCCCGTGGTGGGGCAGTGCAGCATCCGCGCCCTGGGGGACTTCTACTGTGACCCCTACCAGGAGGACAGCCACAGTCCCCAGGAGCACACAGGTACAGGCTGGCAATGGGACCACACTGGAGGAGCTGGGGGATGCTCTATGGGATGCTTCTTGCTCACCCCAGCTGCAGTCTGGTTCTGAAAGCCCGGGAGATGCCAAGGAGGAGTTTAGCGCTGGGTTGGCTGTGAGATGGGCTCAGTGTCCCTTGGCCAAGCTGCTCAATGTGCATTAACATGTGCTTTGGGTGGGGTGAAGGCTCTGGGCAAGGTTGATGCAGTGATTTGGGGTGTCTGTCAGCTGGATGAACTGGTCATGCTCGTGCTCGCTCTGGTTGCAGATGATGTGAGCCTCACGCCCAGGGATGACGTCCTCATTGACATCGATGACAAAGAGCCTCTTATTCCTGTCCAGGTATGGAGACTATCCCACCAATAGGAAATGGGTTTCTTATTTCATGTGATGAGATGTGCAGATGTGAAGCCATGTCTGGGTGTAACCTTCCCTTTGCTGCTTCCACCTCTGTTTCCATCCCTTCTCCTCCACCATGCCACAACCACCAACCTCCACCTCTACCCTTAGTATGAGATGTCTTTGCTTCTATAGGGAGAGACAACAGACTCTCCATGCCAGGCTCTTCCCTTCACACACACACTGTGTGTATTGGATGCTGCAGCCTCTGCCCAGCTTTCAGGCTTTGGGCTGAGGAAGAACCAGGGTTTTGGGCAGTTCTCAGCCAGAGAACTGTGGGACTCAGCCTGTTGTGGGCTTGACTGCAGCTGGGCCTGCTCGTGCCTCCCTATCCCAAGCACTGATGAGATCCAGGTTGGTGACCCCATGGTGAGGCACATGGAATGGGCTGGCTTCTCAGGTTCCCCACCAGCCAAGAGGTGGGATGTCCACCTCGGCTCCCTGGCATCTTGTTTGGGATGCTTCAGGATCCAATAGGAACTGGGGAGTGGAGCTGGAAAACCTTGGCCCAAGTGAGCAAGTGTCATTGGAAGGAAGAAGCAGCTTCAGGACCAAACCCCTCCTGGCAGCCCACTTGGCTTCCTGTTACCTTGGCATTTGTCCTCGTGGTTTACCATAGTGCTTCAGGTTCTATCAGTGAAGTAACTGGAGCATGTCTAAAACCCACACTGAAACCAGGCACCTTCACTTCTGCAAGTGAGGAAAAGCCCTTTTCCTAGTCTAGTGTAGAGAAAAGAGAGGGAGACATGGAATAACGCACACAGGAGGGATGGGATGCAGGACCTGCCTTTACCTCTGATGAGCTGCTTGATGCTGTTGCAGGTGATGTCCCTTTGCTGCACCCAGGAAGCTGGTGGCACCCAGAGCCTCCCCCATGCATTGGGCATAATTTCTTCTGTGTTAATAGAACCTACCCAGCTTTCAGTTGATTTGACTGAATTTGGGGGGTACATATTCACAGAATCATCATGGAATGGTTTGGGTGGAAGGGACCTTAAAGCTCATCCAGCTCCAACGCCTGCCATGGGCACCTTCCACTACAGAAGCTTGCTCCAAGCCCCAAGTTACAGTTTAAACTCTCCCTTTTCCATTTTTTGGGTCGATTTTCAGTAAAGCTGCTGTTTTGCAGCCATATACCAACCTGCAGCACTTCCACGGTGCTGTGTTGCTCTTTGAGAGCATCAGAATGACTGTCTCCATGCATTCCTCTGCTGCCTTTTCTGGTGGAAAACCCCAGTGTTAAACACAACTGATTTTCCAAGCCATTTCCTTCCCTCCAGCCTTCCTCTTCCAGCACCATTTCCCACCCCTGGTGTTTCTATGTCTGCTCTGGGGTTGCTCCTGCTCCTTGAATGACTTTGGTGGAGGTGACAAGAGGGAAACGCAATTCCCTTTGGGAACATGGGGGTTTATAAAGGTAATTCATGGGATGCTCTCTGGGGAGGTGAGAAGAGGAAAATGTCCTTCCATGAATTCCCTTTATAAAGGCCACACAAGTGAAGGTTCTGCTTGGGGCAGAGGGGGATGTGGCCACTCTGAAGGGTGCCTATAGGGATGCTGGGGAGGGACTCTTCATTAGGGACTGTAGTGATAGGACAAGGGGTAATGGGTTAAAACTGAAACGGGAAGTTTAGATTGGATCTAAGGAGGAAATTCTTTCCTGTGAGGGTGCTGAGGCACTGGAATGGGTGCCCAGGGAGGTTGTGAATGCTCCATCCCTGGCAGTGTTCAAGGCCAGGTTGGACGAGGCCTTGGGTGAGATGGTTTAATGTGAGTTGTCCCTGCCCATGGCAGGGGGTTGGAACTGGGTGATCTTAAGGTCCTTTCCAACCCAAACTATTCTATGATTCTATGGGGTCCTCTGATCCGATGCTGAAGGTGCCTGGCCAAGGCTGTGCTGGATGTTCACACTCTATGGGGCTGGTGGGACCCTCAGTTTACGTCTACAAACCTTGGATTAAACCTGAGGAGAGTTTAAATGGGAGGTGAAAAGGTGGGAAGGGGGAGAGGGAAGTGGCAGAGCCAGAGCCCTGCAGCAGAGGTTCCACAGGGAAAGACTTGGCCATTTCTTGGCAGCACCAGAACACACTGCAGTAGATGGAATTCTCCCCTCTGACCCCAGATCCATCCCTCTCTGTTTGTTTGCCTTTCTCTTTTGGGCTTTGTGTGTGGAGCAGAGGAGGAGGGAATGTGTTCCTGGAAAGCCAAAGCATCATTCCCATCATCACCCTCCCTAACCTCTCCATCCTGGCTCAGTGCTGTTCCTCCCATGCCCTCCCTCCCCTGGTGATGGCCATGGGTTGGGGTGGGCTTTGCTTAGTGGGGGTCCCTCCATCCCTCTCTGCTCCTCTTTGGGGCCAGGTTTGATGGTGAGGGAGGAGTTCCAGTCTCCAGAGGCCACCTGATTCCTTCTCCTTGGGAAGGAGGCGGATGCAGGGCTAGGAGCCATGCCCAGGGCTGCAGCCTCAGCACCGTGTGCTCTTCCAGTGGTGACCTTGGAATCAGGAGCCAGGATTGTTCCTGCCGTGCGTGTTCGCATGGGTGTTTCATTGCGTTGCTCCAACGCCTTTCTCCCTCCTTGCCAAGCCTGGCTTGGCTCCCTCCCCGATGGATGCCTGGAACAAAGGATCACTTTGTTGTCCTCATCCGAAACAGGGAAAACAAACACGACCCCCCCTGCTCCGAGCTTGCTGAGTGTTGTCCACCAAGTGGGGTGAGAAGTTCAGCCTGAGGTCTGCTTGAAACCAATCCACGTGCACATGGACCGTGGAAGCATCATGGGGGCTGAATGTGGAGGAAAGAAGCTCCTAGGACTTATAGGAAGGCATTTTTCCTATAGCAAGGTCTCCTGACCAGGCCCTTCTTGTTTGCTTCTCTGGGAGATGCCCATGGAGTGGGGTTTTGCATAAGCCAAGTGGCTGCTGGATCAGTTCTTATTCCTTATATCTTGTAGCCTCCCCTTGTTCTCTAAAGCCTTTCCTTGGTTCTCATCCCCTTGGGAAGCAGTTGAGGAAGGAGAATCACCTGCAGCCCAAGGGATGAGCAGACATTTGTTCCTTCTGCTCCCTCATAAAGCAGTCACAGAGGAACCATCTCCATCGGATGCCGAGAGTGACAGGGGTGTCCTGGAGGGCAGGGACCCCTTCCACTGGAGCAGCTTGCTCCAAGCCCCTGTGTCCAACCTGGCCTTGAGCACTGCCAGGGATGGGGCAGCCACAGCTTCTCTGGGCACCCTGTGCCAGCACCTCAGCACCCTCACAGGGAAGAGCTCAGTCTATTTAACAGCTCTTCTGTAACACGGGTTTTACTCCAGTTTAACACCCCATTTAACCTCTGCACCCCTTCAAACCCAGTCCCACTCGATGAACATCAATAAGAACCCAGCTGCCATTCTCAGGGATACCTCAACCTTACAACCAGGGGGAGGGGGAAGGTGGCACCACTCAGGTTCCTTCATTTGGTTGCTCCTAAACTGGGCTTTTGCTGATGTTTAATCTTTGTTTCTCTAACCCTCATTTGAATTTGTAGCTTGCAGAAGGTCTGACCAGCTCAGCTTTAATTAACACGCCAGCTTCTTGGGCCCAACCTCATGTATGTATTGCTTACGTTCTAACTTACTTGCTTAATGGTGTTCATGAATGATCGATGTGCATATATATATATTTAAAAGTGTGTTAAAATTGAGGCATTTTGTGAGAGATCCCCTTGAAAATGGCCATTTCATCTTGCTCAGGTCCATGTGCACTGCAGCCATCGCTTTGCCTTCATGCCAAAGCCATGAGGTGGGTTTGGGGATGGGGATGAGGACGTTTCCTCCCTCTTGTGCTTGTGGAGCGGGCAGAATTACACATGTGCTCCAGGTCAGATGTATTCCGAGAGGTTGTGGCTTCTCTGTGCATGCAGCTCCCTCCAACTGCCTGACAGGAGGATGGAGCCAGGAGGGGCTGGGCTCTGCTCCCAAGGAACAAGGGATGGGACAAGAGGAACCGGCCTCAAGCTGCACCAGGGCAGGTTTAGATGGAGCTGAGGACCAATTCCTGCCCCAGAGGGTGCTCAGGCATTGGAACAGGCTGCCCAGGGCAGGGCTGCAGGCACCGTGAAGACGAGGCCTCAGTGCCATGGGTTCATGGTGGCCTTGGCAGCATTGGGAACGATTGGACTGGGTGAGCTTGAAGCTCTTTTCCACCCTGGCTGATTCCGTGGTACACTGCATTTTGCAAAGCACCAGTGTGCCACCGAGGGGCTTTGAGGTCCCTCATCCCCTTTGGCAGCGCATCCTTGTCCATGTCTCCTGCAGGCTCAGGATGGAAGGGGCAGACAGGCTCCTTTGAGAAGCCCAAATGAGCTTTTGAGTCCTGGTGGGTGAAAACCTGCCTTTAGAAACCCAGGGCGGGAGTGGAGGGACCCATGTTTTAGGGGAGCTGTCCCTTGGCAGAGGAACCCCCATGGTCAATGCCCAAGTAGCTCCTGCATTCCCAGATGTGAAATGGTACGGAACGACCTCCTCAGGATGCTCCTTGGGAGCATCTCCCAGAGGAGAGAAGCTTGTGAGGAGCTCTCAGATGCTTCTGAGCTATGAAACTGCAGTGAGAAGGCTCCTTTCTCCCCTGAGGAGCACTATGAGGTGCTTTCTATTCACTCACCCCATTATTTTGGCTAGCCGTGCTTTGGTTGTAGGGAATACAAACAACCCATCAAGTGACAAGTGAGAGGAGCTGACCCAGGCCAAAAGCAAGAGGTCACAATCTGGGAACCATTTGGAGTAATTGGTTGTTTGCTGTGTTTGCTGCTTCAAATCAGAGCACGGATTTCACGGCTTATCCCATTACTGTGAGCTGGAAGAGCTCTTGGGGTTGGATATCTCCTGCTGACACCGGTGCCCAAGCCACCCCGCAGCCCAGCATTGCCCTCAGTGCATTCCCCATGCCTTGTTTTCTCCCGCTGTTTAATCCATGTTTGAGGAATGGTCCATGGCACTGCCCCCCTAGAGCAGCCTGCATGGCAAGCTGGCTTCCCAACAGGTTTATGGGGGCAAACCCCCCCCCCATTTGAAGCCAAGGCCCTCAGTGCCATGGGTTAGTGGTGGCCTTGGCAGTGCTGGGGTAAGGGTTGGACTTGATCTTAAAGGTCTCTTCCAATGTGGTTGATTCTGTGATTCTATGATAGAGGAAAACCGGTGGCAAGAAGGTGCCTGGGGGCTGCCTTTGGCTACAGGGAGGCTGATTAAACAGGATGGACAAAACCCCACTAAAACCGAACAGTTTTGTCCTCTTCTGAGCAGAATTATCAGTACGGTGGGGAAAAAAGGGTGAAACAGCCATAAATGGATGATTTGTCTTTATGAGGGTTCACACCTTGAGGGTTAAGGGAAGGCTAAGGAAGCCCTCTTGTAGCCTCCCTGTGTGGATGCAAGTGGTTTTCATGGAACCCTGGTTTGTGTTGAAGGGAGCTTAAAGCTGATCCAGTCCCACAGGCAGGGACCCCTTCCACTGGAGCAGCTTGCTCCAAGCCCCTGTGTCCAACCTGGCCTTGAGCACTGCCAGGGATGGGGCAGCCACAGCTTCTCTGGGCACCCTGTGCCAGCGCCTCAGCACCCTCACAGGGAAGAGCTTCTGCCTAAGAGCTCAGCTCAGTCTCCCCTCGGGCAGGTTCAAGCCATTCCCATCTGCACCCAAGGCTGACACGGTCCCGCTGTGGGCATAGCCTTGCTTGGGTGGTGGGTGGCTGATGGCCCTCGTCACATCCCTTCCATTGCAGAACCATCCCAAACCAAGCTCGGTTTCCTGCCCGGGCTTGCTGACCTTTGGAGCTGTGTAGACGGAGACGCAGAGGGATTTAGGATGTGGTTGGAAAACCCCAAGGAGCTCGGCTGTGTTGGTTAAAGCCCTTTTTGTGTTCCCAGGTGTTTGCTATGGCCTCTCCATGGAGTTTTCTGCCCCATAGAATCACAGAATAGTTCGGGTTGGAAAGGGCCTTAAGATTATCCAGTTCCAACCCCTTGCCATGGGCAGGGACACCTCGCCCTAAACCATCTCACCCAAGGCCTCGTCCAACCTGGCCTTGAACACTGCCAGGGATGGAGCATTCACAACCTCGCTGGGCACCCATTCCAGTGCCTCACCACCCTCACAGGAAAGAACTTCCTCCTTATAACCAATCTAAGAGGATATATCCATCAGGAGGACAGGGCTGGGCTGGGTTAGTTTGGTTTGGTGTTGAGCTGAGCTGAGCAGGCTGCCTTTGACTGGAGCGGAGGATGCTGACACCACCCTCTCCAGGAGATGCAGGGCTGTCATCTCCTCAACAAACACTCATGTCTATGAATGTCCAAGCTGTTTCCAGGGGGATCTTCTCATCCCAGCTGCAGAGCTTCCCCACAGCAGGAAATCTGCCTCCCAGATGTGAGGTGTGGGTCTATTTGGGACTGAGCAACTCAGCTTCTTTAGAGGCAGGATTCAGTACCCATATTCCCCCAGGGAATGGTGTGGGATCACAGGGAGAGCAAGCAGAAGCATTCAGACTCCAGTTAGCTCCTGCTCTGCTCCTGGCTTTGCTGTCTGTCCATGCCTCAGTTTCCCCCACCTCAAAGGTGATGATAAGGACTAAGTTCCACCAGAAGCTGATATATCCATTGCGTGGGAATTCCTCAGCTTTCAACACCTTTTGCTCCAGATGGGAATGACCATTTGACATATGGACAAGCCCAGACTCCTGCTATCCCCATATGGGAATGCATCCAATGGGATGGGTTTGCAGTCACAGGAAACCCTGGGTAATGAGGAAAACCTTGCTCTGGCTCAGCCTCCCTGGCCAGAATGAGGTTAAAACCAATGTATTCCCTCTGGATAAAGCAAAATAGGATTGGAAACGTCTGGAGAGCTTCTGGGGTGACACAGGTCTGGATGCTGGGATCCAGGGAAGGGAAGGATCTCAATACCCTCAACAGCAAGTGCATAGCCCTGGGTAAAAGGCCTCCATGAATGTGGTTCCAGCTCACATTACAGTGGTCCCTACTCTATGGGAGCAGTGGTTGAGGGAAGAGGGATGAATGGTGATGGAGAGACAGCAAACCTTCTGGTACCCATGCCAAACCTTCTGGTACCCATGCCAAACCTTCTGGTACCCATGCCAAACCTTCTGATAGCCATGCCAAACCTTCTGATAGCCATGCCAAACCTTCTGATAGCCATGCCAGCAGCTTCTGTCATGTGGATAACCTGATAACCATGAGTAAGCTTCTCTCCAAGCTGAAATTGGAGGCTCCATTCACTTGACGTTGAATTTATCCACAAGTGATGCTCAGCCAGGCGTGTGTGTCCCATTGGAGCTCCATAGGGTTCATGCAGAAGGTTGAAGAGGACATGCAGGATGCTGGAGGTCCTTCAGCCACCCACGGCAGGGCTGAAGGATGTCCTAACTGAGAAGCCTCCTTTCCATGCCCGAGATAAAACACTGGAGGTGCTCTATTGCCTGATTGCAGAATGAAACCCCTCAATCCACGTGCTTGTGCGGTGGAGCCATTGCTTTCCCTGGCTTTCCCATTTCCAGGCAAACGGATTCATGTCCTTTGCTATTAACATTTCAACTGCTTCCATTGCCTTCTCCTTTTTTAACCCCCCTTTGTTTTTGGTAACATTGGTAGAAATCAGTAAAACCTAACCAATTCCTTTGTCTTGGGGCTGCAGAAGAGCCTGTGGGTAAGTCATCGGCTCAGTTTCAATGCTTCCCTTGTAGCTCGATACCTGTGGAATGTCATAATGGAACCACACTGGGCAGAGAGCAGCTTCTGACCCACTAACACAAGGGAAGTGATGAAATCCAACTTTTATTCCCGTTTTCCTCAAGAAACAAGGAGGCAGCAGAGGCCTCCAAGTGAATTTCTGTCCTATTCAAGCCAATGTCTGTTCAAGGCAGCAATTTAAATCTGCACCCTTGGCTTAGAACAGAAACCCAATAAACCCCTGTTATGGTTCCTCCATGAGGTCAGCGTGATGGAATTCTGTGGCCTTCTAAAATAAGACATCATCATTTGTCAGGAATGCTTCATGGATCACAATCACAGCCCCTTCATCCTCCCTTGTATCAGTGTCAGAGCTGGGGCTCTTATAATATACATGTATTTGCTGAGGCCAGCCTCTGGCTTTCCTCTTGGAATAGCATCTTCAGGCCTACTCCCAGCACCCAGGATGTGCAGTCTGAATGGGAGATGAGGCAAATGCTCCTCAGTGGCACTGGGGCATTGTGAGGTTGAGGTTGTGTGGGATTTGCCCCTTTCTTTGTATAGCATCCAGAAGAATGGGCTCTGTTCTGCCTGAGAGAGGGGCAGCACCTGAGGACCTCATTCTTAGTGGAAATTCATGCATTTAATGGATTTATTCATTCCCCATGGGCTTTGTTTGGGTGGGGAGGTTGGATGGTGCTGGGACACAAACCACAGAGTCAATCCCCATCCCAGAGACTCCAAACCCTCCAGGCAAAGCCTAAAGCAGGGAATGCGTTTAAGAGCAGTCCCAAATCCTCCCTGTATTCCAGGCTGCGAGGACCATCTGAGCACAAGGGTCTCATCCCCCTGGGGTCCTGCACTGAGGTCCTCAAATGACCATCACCCATATGGCCAAAATCTGCCTCTGGCCTGCTCTCCTGTGAGCTCTACCTCATCCTCCCATGTAGCATCCTCCTCTCTGCTGATGGGTCCATGGGGTTGCTGTGGCTGGAATAGCTGGATTTGGGTGGAAGCATCCCCAAACCACTTTGAAACCAGGGAGTGAGGAGCTGCAGGTTGGGCTCACAATAGCTTCATCCCCCACCACACCCACAGGGACGGTGCCCAGGGCTGGAGTTCACCTCTAGCAGGTATGGGAGATGCTGCTGTGGTTGATCACTGGGGTTTGCTCATGGGGATGTGTAACCCTGGTATCTGCTGCTGCAGGAGGAAGAGTTCATTGACTGGTGGAGCAAGTTCTATGCTTCCACAGGAGAGAGGGAGAAATGTGGCTGCTATTTGGAGAAGGGCTTCGACACCCTCAAGGTAAGTGGTGTTGGTTGGTCCTGGCTCATTGGACCCTCACTCTCCATGATGCTTTTCCGCCAGCTTTGATATTTTTTTGCATGTTGAAGCTGTTCTTTCTTCCAGGTAAAAAATAATCCATAATTTTCCCCAGAAATCAGATCTTTCTGTTTAAAAAGAATGATTTTGAAACTCAGTTTTCTGTACAAAACCCTTTCTGGTAACTTCCCACTCTGCAGCCTTCAGGAATTGTCACTGAAGAGGCAGAGATGGGAAACTGGAAAGTATTTGGGAACAACAAGGAAAACCCGATTCCTTAGGGAAGGGGGAGATTTAGGTACCCTGTTACTACAGGTGCTAAATTAACATAGAGGCCAAATAGGACTAAATGGAGAAGACCTTGCCTGGTCTTAGTGAAAACATTCCCAGTGGGAAGGTCTGTTCTTCATCCATCCTAAGGGAGGAACAAGGGGGACAGAGCCCAGTCTCCATCCTTGTCACCAGGACCAAGGAGCTTGGGTCAGGTCATGTCCCACATTGGTGGGGACCTGCTGCTGGTCCCAGTCCTCACCTCCCGTCTCTCCCTCCCCAGGTCTATGAGACGGAGCTGGAGAACGTGGAGGACTTTGAGCATCTCTCTGACTTCTGCCACACCTTCAAGCTCTATCGTGGCCGCTCACAGGACTCAAACGATGACCCCTCGGTCGTGGGGGAGTTCAAGGTGAGATGGGCTCTTTCTGCCTCCAAGTGGAAGGTCTTGCTGCTGAGCGGGGTGATGCCAACTCATCGTTTTGGGTACGAGTTCAGAGAGAAATGGGCCATAGAAGTAGAACACTGGCCCCAGCCAGAACAGATTGATTCCTCCATCCATGGCAGTGCTCAAGGCCAGGTTGGACACAGGGGCTTGGAGCAAGCTGCTCCAGTGGAAGGCGTCCCTGCCCATGGCAGTGGGTTGGAACTGGAGGAGCTTTACCCCAAACCATTGTTTGAACCTGCCTGTCCGGGTCTGGCTGCTGTATTCCCAGATACATTAAAGCTAGCCTAGGTTGTGCTGTCATCCTGGAGCAAAACCCATCTGAAACCAAAGCTGGATGTAAGCAGTGGAGCATTTTCTTTGTCTGGGGTGGTAATGGGAGCATGTGTGAGTATTCGTGGTCTCACCACACTGGTGCTGAGCTCTCCCTTTGGAGATGTACCCTTAGAGCAGCTCCACTGCCTAAAGGGGCTCCAGGAAAGCTGGAGAGGGGCTTGGGACAAGGGCCTGTAGGGACAGGCCAAGGGGAATGGCTTGAACCTGCCCGAGGGGAGACTGAGCTGAGCTCTTAGGCAGAAGCTCTTCCCTGTGAGGGTGCTGAGGCGCTGGCACAGGGTGCCCAGAGAAGCTGTGGCTGCCCCATCCCTGGCAGTGTTCAAGGCCAGGTTGGACACAGGGGCTTGGAGCAAGCTGCTCCAGTGGAAGGGGTCCCTGCCTGTGGCAGGGGTTGGAGCTGGAGGAGCTTTGAGCTCCCTTCACCCCAGCCATGCCATGAGTCTGTGCACCACCCATTCACAGCCCAACGCTTGGTGTCCTTGGCAGGGCTCATTCAAGATCTACCCTCTCCCGGACGACCCGCGGGTCCCGATGCCCCCGAGGCAGTTCCACCAGCTGCCGGCCAGGGGACCCCAGGAATGCCTTGTCCGGGTCTACATCATCCGAGCCTTCGGCCTGCAGCCCAAGGACACCAATGGGAAGGTATCCTGCTGGGGATGCTCAGGGCTGGCTTGGCGGGTGGGTTCCTTGGGCAGGTCAGCCCTGATCCATCAATTGGAGGTAATGGTGACAGCAGAAAGGAAGTCTTTCTACCTCCATCACCCATCTGGGAATAGCAGGAGCCAACTCTTCCTCCATCCCAAGGGGTTTTCCTGTAGTTAAAGTAGCGAAATGAGATGGTTTTGATTCATTTTGATGCTCAAGGAGAAAAAAACATGTCTTTCACATGACTTTTTGCAAGGTTTTGTCTGTCAGGAAGGAAAAATCAGGGCAAAAAAAGAAAATTGTGTCAGTTCAGAAGGAAAAATGTTCATTTTAATTGGACATGGACAAACCAAACCGTCTTTTTAATCTCCCCTGGGTTTGGGAATGGATTTGGGATGAAATTTTTCAATGTCTTAGAAATCTCCTGTAGAAAACCCCTGAAGAGCAAAAGAGAGGAGTAGGAAAAGGCTTTTTTCACACTGAAAGCCAAAACCAAGGATCCAAGCTTGACTCCACAGTCTATGCCCTTAGGCTGTGGTGTCTCCTGAAGCTCATCCCAGTCAATGGGAAGTAAAAGGCCTGGATGCTCCATTCATAATCACACTGAGGACCTTCCCCAAGTACTGCTTTTCCATCCTTCCTTTGAAGAACATAAAGCTCAGGGGGGACCTGATGGCTGCCTCCAACTGCCTGACAGGAGGATGGAGCCAGGAGGGGCTGGGCTCTGCTCCCAAGGAACAAGGGATGGGACAAGAGGAACCGGCCTCAAGCTGCACCAGGGCAGGTTTAGATGGAGCTGAGGAACAATTCCTGCCCCAGAGGGTGCTCAGACATTGGAACAGGCTGCCCAGGGCAGGGCTGCAGGCACCGGCCCTGCAAGTGTTCACACACCATGGAGACAAGGCCTCAGTGCCATGGGTTAGTGGTGGCCTTGGCAGTGCTGGGAACGGTTGGACTGGATGAGCTTAAAGGGCTTTTCCACCCTGGTGGATTCCATGATTCTGTGATCCTTTGCTTCTTAAAAGGATCTGCAGGTGAAGGAACAGTGACAAGGAGCTTGCCCTGGGGGGTTTCTGGCCAGCATCTTTGCCTTTTCAGATGCTCCGAAGTGGTGGGTCCCTGTAGGCACGGGGTTCAAGCTGGGTGGCATCTTTTAGGTGAAGTTGTTCTTTTCTTCCCCTAGTAAAGATGCTGACTCGAGTGAATCCCACCACGTCCCAAGTTAAGGCAGCTCTCCCAGGAGAGGTTTGCTTGGGAGAGGAAAGCTTAAACACTGACTAAATAGGTAAAAGTATCTGATAGAGGGTTTAGATGCACAACGAGGCTTTATGTGATGCTGCTGCCATTAGTTTTCCATTAATTTCCTGCAGCCTCTTGGCAGTAAATGGGTTTGAGCCACACTTTTGGAAACAAAATGGTTTTCCTTTGATATTTTAGGCCCCTGCATCTATTTCTGAGTAGACCTCACACTTGAATAAATGATGACCTCAATGGAACCTCCAGATCAGTGACTCAGATGAGAACAGGAACATCCTGAGCAAGCTCATCCATCAGAGAAGCTATAAATAGGGTTCTATTCATGCTCTTTCATTCCTTTTCCATCCCATTGACCTCAGATGAGCTTGGACTTTTGTCCCACACTTCTAACTGGTCCTTTGGTCATCCTCAAAAGGGAATTGTAAAGCAGGTAGATCTTAGTGATGGTGATGGATTTGTAGTTAATGGTCAGAATGGTCCTGCCCTTGAAAGTAGGCATTAGCCTTCCATGAATGGTGGAAGATGCTGCTTGCTGGGACAAGGAGAAGCAGAGTTATACCTTTGTCATGAGCATTGCTGTGCAATGACTCTTACATTTGCTTTCGTGCCTGTCTTTAGTGTGATCCCTACGTGAAGATTTCAGTGGGGAAGAAATCCATAAATGACCAAGAAAATTACCTGCCCTGTACGCTGGAGCCCGTCTTTGGGAAGTGAGTTTGGATTCGGTTCGGAGTGCGTGTGATTCTTCATGTTATATTGAGGGAATAGGGATGGGCCAGCCAGAGCTTCCCATTCCAGCCTAGATTCCAGGCCAGGTTGGATGGGCTCGGAGTGACCTGACCTATTGGAAGGTGTCCCTCCATGAGGGACTGGGTGAGCTTTGAAGGTCCCTTCCAGCCCAAGTTCTATGATCTGCAAGGATGGAGAGGAAGGAAGAAGGATGGTGAGGGTGATACTGGTGAGACCTTAGAGGACAGTGTGCATTAGACAAGGCCTATACTCCCATTATGAGGAGAGGATAAGAAGGCTTCAAGGGTCAATCTCTGACCACAGGCTGGACCCAGGCAGGCTTGAGCTCTGATTTGGACATTCGCCTACAAGAAGCCTTTGTGCGTTTGGACAAGGGACTGTAGGGCCAGGCCAAGGGGAATGGCTTGAACCTGCCTGAGGGGAGACTGAGCTGAGCTCTTAGGCAGAAGCTCTTCCCTGTGAGGGTGCTGAGGCGCTGGCACAGGGTGCCCAGAGAAGCTGTGGCTGCCCCATCCCTGGCAGTGTTCAAGGCCAGGTTGGACACAGGGGCTTGGAGCAAGCTGCTCCAGTGGAAGGGGTCCCTGCCCGTGGCAGGGGTTGGGGCTGGGGGAGCTTTAAGGTCCCTTCAACCCAAACCATGCCAAGATCCTATGATTATTGCTTTAGGGAGGCTTTGCCCATCCTCAGGCGAAGCCAGTACAACACAGCACTGATAGTACTGGGCCAGTGTGACAGTGATGTGCAGTGGGTGTGCACTGGGATGGGCTATGTGTCTGCTTCCCATGGGGCTCTCAGCACCATCAACCTCCACCTCCTGGGTGTCTCTGCTCTCCCATTTACAGGATGTTCGAGCTGAGCTGCACTCTGCCCCTGGAGAAGGACCTGAAGATCACGCTCTACGACTACGACCTCCTCTCAAAGGATGAGAAGATCGGGGAGACCATCATAGACCTGGAGAACCGCTTCCTGTCCAAATACGGGGCGCGCTGTGGCCTCCCCCAGACCTACTGCGTGTGGGTACCTCTGGGGGCTTGGGGTCTCTGTCACTGCTTGGTGGGGCTGAGATGGCCATGGGATCAGGATGTCTGCTCTGCTGTCCCAGGGCTGTCCCAAGGGGACCAAGCCAGTGCCTTGAGATAGATTCACAACAGAGAAGCCCCTCATCTGAGGACCTTCCCTGTGCCGTGGCTCTCATCCAGAAGCCTGCAAAGCTTCAAGTGACATTAATGTCCTTGGGGACACCCTTCTATATCCCTGATGCCTCTTGGGCACACCATGGTGAGGACACCTCCATGCACAGGGCCAGCTGGACGGTGATATGGTGGGTCTAGGGGGGATATCAGGGCACCCCAGCCCTGCAAGCTGGGGCTGCGTGTCCCACATAGAGCCCCATTCACCAGTGAACACCCACCTAGGGTGAGCTGCCCCTTCATCACCACCCCTTGTAGTGTTATCACAGGATCCCAGAGGGATTTGGGTTGGAAGATACCTTAAGGACCATCCAGTTCCAACCCCCTGCCACAGGCAGGGATACCTTCCACTAGAGCACTTGCTCCAAGCCCCAGTGCTGGTGCTGCCCCTTGTTGGGGCTGGAGGATGCTCCATCACGTGCTGAGCTGCTGTTTCCCTCCTGTTTGGTTTCAGCTCTGGACCCAACCAGTGGCGGGACCAGCTCCGTCCTTCCCAGCTGCTCCACCTCTTCTCCCTGCAGCACAACTACAAGGCTCCCACCTACAAGTCCGACCGGGTCATCTTCAGGGAGCAGGAATACATCCTCTCTGAGCTGGGTAAGGCGATGGGGATGCTTTGGGTTGAGTGTTTGGCCCTAAGTAGGGCCACAGAGGTGACAAAAGGCAGAAGACAATGTTGCTTTCAAAGGGTGTCCATCCAAGCTGGGAAGCACCAAAGGGACCAGGGAAAGTGGAGATAAGGAAGAGGAATACCTGATGCTCAGCCTCCACATGTCAATAGGACTTTGGTCTCCCAGACAAACTGGGATTAGATGTAGGGGGTTCTGCTTCAGCACAAACAGGGGTCAAGATGGAGATGGAGATCCAGCATCTGCAAGGATGGATGAAAAGGGAGTGTCCAAGGCCAGGTTGGACACAGGGGCTTGGAGCAAGCTTCTCCAGTGGAAGGGGTCCCTGCCCGTGGCAGGGGTTGAAACTGGAGGAGCTTTAAGGTCCTTTTCAACCCACCCCATTCTATGGTTCCATGAGACCCACACAGGCTGGGAGCAGCAGGGTCCATCACAGCTGAGAGGCTCCATCCTGATGCCCCAGCTGCTGGAGGAGCACTGGTGTTTGCATCTCTGCGTTGTGGGGCTGGAGTCACTAGAGGGAGACAGTATCATGCACAAGGTGCCCAGCCTCGGGGGTGTGTGGGGGTGTGTGTGTGTGTGTGATGCTCTCCAGCTGGAAACCCCAAATCGGCCTCTGCCAGGGAGGAGAGAACATCCCCCAGTGCTGGGAGGCACATTCGGGTTCACACTAAATATATATTTAGTGTATATAAATATATAAAGGGGGAGTGTCCCGAGGATGGAGCCAGGCTCTTCTCAGTGGCAAACAATGACAGGACAAGGGGCAATGGGTGCAAACTGGAACACAAGAGGTTCCACTTCAACTTCTTCTCAGTGAGGGTGACAGAACACTGGACCAGGCTGCCCAGGGAGGTTGTGGAGTCTCCTTCTCTGGAGACATTCAAAACCCATTCCTGTGTAACCTTATCTAGGTGTTCCTGCTCCGGCAGGGGGATTGGACTGGATGATCTTTTGAGGTCCCTTCCAATCTCTAACATACTGTGATACTGTGTGTGACACACAGAACCCACCTGCAGTAGCCAGGGCACCAGCTCGGACATCCCTAGGGCAGGAGCTGCCTTTTAGAGACACCTCTGCTTTAAAGCGTGGGAGGGGTGGTTTGGTGCAAGGAGGAGATGAACCCCCTGCCCATGGCCTTGATTAAGGTGACCACACCATTGCAGAGCCATCGAGGGGCGCGCACGGTGCAACCCAGGAGTGATCCCCCTGCCTGGGAATCGAGGTGTTTGGAATCAAATCCCTGGGCCTTGACTTCAGTTTGGACCTGGATTCTCCCTGGGAATCAAGGCACAAAGTCATGGTTCTCCCCTTGGGAGGAGGAGGATGGGGAAGCAATGGCTCCTCTGCAGCCTCTCGCTATGGGAAAGGGGCTGCAAGGTGTGAAGGCGAGCGGGGTGCTCCCCCCTCTGCCTCTCACCTTCCTCTGCTTTCATGGCAATCAGTTCAAACCAGAACAAAGCCTGATGCTCGACCTGCAGGAGATCTGGAAAGCAGCTGCTTCGCAGAGCAGCCTCAGATCTGAACCTGGCCATATAAAGTGGAGCTGTTAAACACGAGAGCAGGGCTTTTACAAGCCCTGCACCCGGCCGTTGTTCCATAACCTCCACGTTTGTTGTGTTCTGAGCGGGGCTCTTGCTTCTTCCTGCACATAAACACACACACGCAGAGCCAGGTTTCCACTTGGGGTATAGCCCGTGTGTCTGGAGTTAACCACTTCAAGGCACAGCCAAGGAAGGAGCTGGGCTGGATCACCTGAACGCTGCCGCGCTGGGATAACGTTTATGGAGCACATTGGGCTTCCGAGGTGCTTGGAGGTACACGGCTTGTGATGCTGTGGTTGTCTCGGGGGTGATGTCCTCCACCAGCCCCAGTGTGGGACCTGGGGTGGGGAGGAGGAGCAGGCTCAGCTAAGGCTGAGTTATAGAATCATAGAATTATGGAATAGTTCGGGTTGGAAAGGACCTTAAGATCATCCAGTTCCAACCCCCTGCCATGGGCAGGGACACCTCACACTAAACCATGGCACCCAAGGCTCTGCCCAACCTGGCCTTGAACACTGCCAGGGATGGAGCATTCACAACCTCCCTGGGCAACCCATTCCAGTGCCTCACCACCCTAACAGGAAAGAATTTCCTCCTTATATCCAATCTAAACTTCCCCTGTTCCAGTTTGAACCCATTACCCCTTGTCCTGTCACTACAGTCCCTAATGAAGAGTCCATCCCCACCATCCCTATAGGCCCCCTTCAGATACTGGAAGCTGCTCTGAGGTCTCCATCAGCTTCTCTTCTCCAGGCTGAACAGCCCCAACTTTCTCAGCCTATCTCCATACAGGAGGTGCTCCAGCCCCTGAGCATCCTCGTGGCCTCCTCTGGACTTGTTCCAACAGTTCCATGTCCTTTTTATGTTGAGGACACCAGAATTGCACACAATGCTCCAAGTGAGGTCTCACAAGAGCAGAGAGTTGGCCATGATCCGTACCGGGATGGCTGTAAGGGATCCCAAATGCTGGGGCAGAGAAGGCAGAAATGCCCATTATTGATAGGATCCATCTGTGGGGGGATTGGGGTTTGGTGTGGAGCGGGTGGGGGTTGCTCATGGATGGCTCAGAGTTTGCTGTGGGTGCTCTGTGCTGGCCTGTTCTGATGATGTACCGCAAGTAGAATCCTAGCATCCCAGACTGGGTTGTGCTTAAGGGACCTCAGAGCTCCTCCAGCTCCAGCCCCTGCCATGGGCAGGGACCCCTTCCACTGGAGCAGCTTGCTCCAAGCCCGTGTCCAACCTGGCCTTGAACACTGCCAGCTTCTCTCACTCTCCCACTGGGTATAAAAGGATGAGAGGTGATGGGTTCAAACTGAAACAGGGGAAGTTTAGATTGGATCTAACGAAGAAGTTATTTACTGTTAGGCTGGTGAGGCACTGGAATGGGTGCCCAGGGAGGTTGTGAATGCACCATCCCTGGCAGTGTTCAAGGCCAGGTTGGACAGAGCCTTGGGTGATATGGTTTAGTGTGAGGTGTCCCTGCCCATGGCAGGGGTTGGAACTGGATGATCTTAAGGTCCTTTCCAACCCGAACCATTCCATGATTCTGTGATATTGGGGGTGGGGAACTTGCACAGGGATTGTCCCATTGCGCAATGCTTTGTCCCCACCTCCCACTGGGCTGCCCTGTGCCCAGGAGGGTTTGTGGCGATGGTGGGTTTGCAGATGGAAGCAGTGGGCTCATGTTTGGTCCCATGGGGTGGTGGGGTCCAGCCCCTCACACCCATGGCACAGTCTAACAGCGCTCTATGCTCTGTGCAGAGGATGGCAAAGCCCCCAACCCTCACCTGGGGCCGGTGGAGGAGCGGCTCGCGCTGTACGTGCTGCGCAAGCAGGGGCTGGTGCCCGAGCACGTGGAGACCAGGCCTCTCTACAGCCCTCTGCAGCCAGAGATCGAGCAGGTGAGTGGGGAGATGTGTCCAGGGCACGGCCGAGAGCATCATCTCCTCGTGATCCAACCCAAGCCCTGGGGATGGGCTTCTCCCATAGAAGGGAGTCATCATATGGGACGGAGCCCTGGCCATCAAATACAGCTCCATGGCCTGCTCAGGGTGTTTGGGGGGGTCAGTTCCAGCCTCCTGGGCTCATTTTCTGCAGCATTTGCTCACAATCTTTTATTTCTTTTTCTTATTGAGGGGTTTAAAAGCCACTTCTGATCTTAAGCCTTAGTGCACAGTTCCCCTATAGTGATAACAACACCATGGGCTGCTTTGGCAAAGCAGCAGCGTGATTTCTGCAGCATGAACCCGCCCTTGGAGGGGTTACATTCCCTTCTCCTTGTCCCATCCTCCATTCCCATGCTCAGAAAGCCATAAATCAGCATCCAAGCTGGTGACAGCGTGGAAAACAAGTGAGCCAACACCTGCCATGGACCCAGTCTTTACTCTGCCCCTATCCAAAGGTAGTCAACCATGGAAAGCAAAGCTGGTTGCACCTTCAGCTCATCCAGACCAACTGCTTATATATGGGAAGCCATGAACATCGAACCGCCTATCACTGAAATAGTTTGAATATAACATTTAATGGCACTTTTCCATTAAGGAAACCTTAGTTTTCAGCTAAGGAACACTGAAGAACTTCGTATTGTCTCTCTCCACTCTTAGGTCTTACTTACTAACCCTAGCAGGAGGCTCACCAGTTTCATGTGTCTCTTTCCATACAGGGGAAGCTGCAGATGTGGGTGGACCTGTTTCCCAAATCCCTGGGTCAGCCTGGCCCCCCGTTCAACGTCACACCACGCAAAGCCAAGAGGTAACGGGCTTCTCAATGCTTACTCGTTGCAATACTGGTTCCAGCACCACTGTTTGAGAGGGGAGAGGTGGGGGCTTGGAGATGTCAGGTGGGGAGGGATTCACCTGCCAAGCTGAGAACCATCTCTGTGGGCTCATCTTCAGGGAAAGATAACTCATTGAATGGTTTGGGTTGTGAAGGGACCTTAAAGCTCCTCCAGTTCCAACCCCCTGCCACGGGTAGGGACAGGTTGCTCAAAGCCCCATGCCTTAGCTCGTTCAGCTGAACAGCAGAGTAGCAGCTGTCTATGGGAGCTCCAGACCAAGGTTTACACCTTCTTATGTCCAGGTTCTACTTGCGCTGCATCATCTGGAACACCAAGGATGTCATCCTCGATGACCTCAGCATCACCGGGGAGAAGATGAGTGATATCTACGTCAAAGGGTGAGCCACCCCTCTTCTGTACCTCCAGCTACCATAGGCTGATGGTGCCAGAGCAGGAGGGAAGTAGTTAACATGGCCCCTGCATCAACATTGATGTTGTAGACATAGAACCATGGAATGGTTTGGATTGGAAGGGACCTTAAAGCTCCTCCAGCTCCAACCCCGTGCCATGGGCATGGACCCCTTCCACTGGAGCAGCTTGCTCCAAGCCCCTGTGTCCAACCTGGCCTTGAGCACTGCCAGGGATGGGGCAGCCACAGCTTCTCTGGGCACCCTGTGCCAGCGCCTCAGCACCCTCACAGCAAAGAGCCTCTTCCTTATCTCCAACCTGAACTTCCCCTGTTTCAGTTTGAAGCCATCACCCCTGGTCCTACATGACCCTCCCTGGGATCAAGGGGCCTTCACCCCTCCCCACTATGCACCCAGCATATAGGCGGACATCTCTCTGCTGGGCTCAACTAATTCATGATGTCGAGTTTTGATCTGCAGCTCTAGGATGCTCACATGATGGTATTCACAGTTAGAGAGATAAGATATGGGGAGGCAGGAGAGCCACTGAAGAGAGGAGCGCACAGGCTGCATCTCCAGTGCCATCTCCTTCCCACCTCCTCTCCCAGAAGAGCCGTGGGCTCATTCCATACGTAGAGGTCGGCTGGTTTGCATAGCTCCTTTCTTTGGAATTCCCTTTTATTCCTTGAAACACACCAAAACGTGACAAGCAGCAGTACCTCCTCTGGCACCTTCCCTTCTCTGCTGCCTTCATTTGTGTTTTATCTTGTGTAGAATGGTGCAATCCCAGCCAAGGGAATTACTGATTTTGTGCGTTCCTTGGATTTATGGACAGGAAGAGGTAGGATTTGGAAACAGACTGTAAATCCCTCTTTTACAGTCCCAATTTTCCTCCTGTAAATCCAGCATGCGCGCTGCTTACCTGCTATTCCCATCAAGTGCATTGTTATCAGCCCCAGCTCAGCTGCTCTGTGCACTTCAGGGCTCTGAAATAGTGCTTGCAGGCTGTTATGGGGAAAGCAAGAGCACCCAGCACTTGGTGATGTCCTTCTCCTGGTTCTCAGCATCCCCAGTGACCAAGCAAACCTCACAGTGCTGGAAATGAGTTAAAGACCTTGCTCACCTTCCTCACCTTCCCCCCCAAATGACTGGATAAGGCTTCCATAATCCTAGTGTGAAGGAGACAATCGTCCTTTTTGTGTCTAAACATCTCCCCTACAGATGGGATCCAGTGGGCAAAGGGAGCTTCATCACCATGGTGTGGTGCTGCTTTGGTGGGGACCACTTCATCCATCCACTGCTGCCTCCTGAGCAAGGGCTGGAGCCTGCTTTAGGGTGAACTCAACTCCTAATGGAGCTTCTACTTCTGGCTGCCCTTCAGAAGGGCTTCTCTGAGGCTATTGCCAGCTTATCCTCCACCCACCAGACAAGGGCAGGGCTGGAATCTCTTGGACATCATCTTCTACATTATATGTCAACTATCATTGAATCAGGCAGGCAGGTAATTGGAATAGGAGCTTTGCTGTTCAGGCTGAGGCAGAACTCAGTTACAGAATCATAGTCACATGGAATGGTTTGGGTTGAAGGGAGCTTAAAGCTCCTCCAGCTCCAACCCGTGCCATGGGCAGGGACCCCTTCCACTGGAGCAGCTTGCTCCAAGCCCCTGTGTCCAACCTGGCCTTGAGCACTGCCAGGGATGGGGCAGCCACAGCTTCTCTGGGCACCCTGTGCCAGCGCCTCAGCACCCCCACAGGGAAGAGCTTCTGCCTAAGAGCTCAGCTCAGTCTCCCCTCGGGCAGGTTCAAGCCATTCCCCTTGGCCTGTCCCTACAGGCCCTTGTCCCAAGCCCCTCTCCAGCTTTCCTGCAGCCCCTTTAGGCACTGGAGCTGCTCTAAGGTCTCCCCTTATGGGGTCTTCTCTTCTCCAGGCTGCCCCAGCCCAGCTCTCTCAGCCTGGCTCCAGAACAAGTCTCCAGCTCCCCCTTCCAACCAACCACCACTGCTAAGATCCATGTGATTTTATGGGGCATCTTTAAAAGTCACCTGCATCCCTTTTGGGTTCCTAAGTAAAAGGATGACCTCGGTCCTCCAACACCTTGCAATGTGCTGAGCAGAGAAGGAGGTTTGTGAGTTTTGAGAACAAAGTCACATCTTAGATTCAAGACGTTGCCTTTGAATATTACAAATAGCTTAAGCCACGAGGATTTGGAAAAGAATGGATGAAGTGTTGGCCAAAAATCCATCCAGTTCTTGACAGATGATGGACATCAGTTAAGCACAAAACTATTGTCTATAGTTTAGGAAATGTCTGAGCTGTGAATTACTGGAGGTTGGAGAAGCGTGTTGTGCTGGGCAAGATGGGTCTTTGGTTGGTCCCGGTGGTCATCCCTATGTTAGGCTTTTAATTCTGGGGCACCATGACTTGAATTCTGCATCTCCTTCCTGCAGTGGGAAGGGTACAGCAAATTCTGCAATCAGAACCCAACTCTTGCCAAAGAAGCCTCCAAATGTGCTGGAGCAGGGCCAGAGCAGGGCAATGGAGCTGGAGCAGGGCTTGGAGCCCAAGTGTGATGGGGAAGGGCTAAGGGACCTGGGGGGTTCAGTCTGGAGAAGAGAAGGCTCAGGGGGGACCTGATGGCTGCCTCCAACTGCCTGAGAGGAGGATGGAGCCAGGAGGGGCTGGGCTCTGCTCCCAAGGAACAAGGGATGGGACAAGAGGAACCGGCCTCAAGCTGCACCAGGGCAGGGTTAGATAGAGCTGAGGAACAATTCCTGCCCCAGAGGGTGCTCAGGCATTGGAACAGGCTGCCCAGGGCAGGGCTGCAGGCACCGTCCCTGCAAGTGTTCATACCCCATGGAGACGAGGCCTCAGTGCCATGGGTTAGGGGTGGCCTTGGCAGTGCTGGGAATGGTTGGACTTGAGGATCTTGAAGCTCTTTTCCACCCTGGTTGATCCCATGATTCTCAATCAAAGCATTTCTTTGTCCCCGTGTTTGCTGCAAGGAGAGGGTGCTCACACCGCATCCTCCAAGGGTTCTCGCTGTGCTTGGGGTGGTGTGGATGAACACAGCCCTCCCATTCACATCCTTTCACATCACATCACACAACCCAGCCACAGTTGAAGGATTAGTGTAACCTCCTCACACAATTCCCACCGCCACCAAGTCTGTGCAGCACATGTGCATGGGATGTGTCGCGTTAGGATGAACTCGAGTACACCTCCCTTCCCCATTCCCCATTACACATTTGCTCCTCTCAAGCACTGGAGAGGAGGGAATCATAGAGCTGGGAAAAAAACCTTTATTTTCAATGTAAGTGGCAAACAGTAGAGCAAGGTAATGGTTTTCAGTAGAGTCTCAATCTGGATCTCCCGGATTGCCTCCAGAAAGGCTCTAAATACACAGGGATGTGTTCTGGTGTTTAGTTTTGCTGATTGCTGAACACTGAGCCATCCTGGACAGGGGAATGGGGCAGAATGAAACCCTGGCAGCTGCAGAAAAGGAGTTGTTATGGAAAGGTCTCAGCTTGCCCCTGGGATGGTCATGGATTGACCACAGCAAGTTCCTATACACCAGAAAGGGAGCTGTGCCGTGAGGAGCTGTCTCCAATGGGAGCGGCTGGGGACCTCCATGGCCACGTCAGGCTCTGGCCACTGGGATTTGCTGGGGAACAACTTCTTGCCCATTTAGGGCTTTCAAAGAACAATCTTTGGGAAATCAGCTGGGAAAATGTGTCTTTGGTGCTTTAGTGTGGCTGCATCCTCACCAGCAGGGCTGGCTTTAGGGATAATGACAGGATCAGTTTGTTGGGGTGGCTGCAGAGGGGAAGGGAGCTCCCACCAGGCAGGTTAGAAGCTGATGTGGGCTTATGGATGGGTAAGTGACACCTTTAAACCAGAGCTTAAGGCAGTGTTGAGTCTTTAAACCATCCATAAAGCTCAGGGGAAGGGGCAGAAGACATTGGAGAGCTCCCTGGGCTGCTATTACCAGCTTTGGTTCACCTCCCAGCACTGCAGGGACTATCGTATCCCCTCCTACAAGCTCCAGGTTACCCCTGCAGATACCAGCAACAGGGATAAGAAATGTTTCTTATTGCCTGCTCATGGCTTCTGTGATGTTGAGTGAGCTCCAAACCCCTTGGTGTGGTTCTGGCTCTTGATGCAATGTGTTTGCCCTTTGCAGCTGGCTGGTTGGCCACGAGGAGAACAAGCAGAAGACAGATGTGCACTACAGGTCAATGGGAGGAGAGGGCAACTTCAACTGGAGATTCGTCTTCCCCTTTGACTACCTCCCCGCTGAGCAGATGTGTTACATTGCCAAAAAGGTGAGTGGCCCTGGAGAGATGTTCCTGTCTTCTCATGGAGTGAAATGTGCTGCATGATCCAAGACCTGCCCAGCTGTTGGAGCTGTGCAAGGCTCAGCATTCCCCTTGTGTTATCTGAAACACAGAGTTGTGGATTGATGGGGAAATGGATCCATGTTCTGAATGCAACCTTTGTGGGGTCAGAATGAGAGGTGGCTTTGGGTAGAGACTGGAGACTGACCCCTCAATGAACAGCTCCCTCTGAACCGGAGGCAGTTGAATGCTGGTGCATGGGACTTCCAAGATGCCTGCTCAACAACAGGGTTACTCCAAAGGTGGAGGTGGCGTCTATATGGGGATGGTTGGGTGTGCACCTCTGGTCCCCAGCATGGCATAATGGACATTGTGCTGTACAATGGCTTCACAGAAGGGCTAAAGAGGGTGAAAGGATGAAGTTCTTTACTATGAGGGTGGTGAGGTGCTGGAACAGGTTGTTCAGGTGGTAAATGCCTCATCCCTGGCAGTGTTCAAGGCCAGGTTGGATGGGGCTTAGAGCAATCTGCTCTAGTGGAAGAAGTCCTTGCTTGTGGCAGGGGTGATCTTAAGGTCCTTTCCAATCCAAACCATTCCATGATTCTATGGTCCTATGAAGGATCTGTTTCCAAACTGCCTGAAGGGGTAAGCAGGAGGACATGCACGAGTGTGCCGTTGATGCAGAGATGTGAAGAAAAGCTTTGGTTTGGGATTCAGGGTGAAGATGCTCTTGGTCTAAAAGAGAGCTGTGTGCTCAGCTGGGGAGTTAAAAGTGGGTGTGATATTGGCCCCCTCATTCCTACATCTGTAGCTTGCTATTGCTTGTGGTGTCCTTAGACAAGTTACTGCATGTGATGATCAAATGTGGACTGGGAGTTGCACAGAGGGAAGGAAACGGGGACGGAGTTGGGTGCATACATGGCATAACGCTGGTGAAAACTGTCTCTTGTGATGCTTTAGGGGAGGGAGATCTGTTCACTTACATTTCCTGCTCATCATGCAGAGATTCAGAGGAGTATTATTGGGTCTGTGTGGACAGCAGGGACAGTTTGTTCTGTGACACCTCCCTGCAAGCTCAGACCCCTTCAGCCACCTTCAATCTTCATCCCTTCTCCCTGCCTTGATGTTGGGAGCACGACCATGAACAGTCAATGTTCACTGAACACAGGGTGCCCAAAGACACCTCATTGCAGTGGCACCATCTGCAGCCCCATCTGGGCCCCCCATCCCAGCTGGTTCTGTGGGGGCAGCAAGGTCCCAGCATGGCCTGGGTTGGAGCTGGGGTGTTTGCAGGGAAGATGCTGAGCAAATTCCCCATCCCTGGAGCCAGATGATCCCTGCGAGCTTCCAACTGGCTGGCTGGGTAGTTAAAGTGATGGACAGGATCCGAGCTGGGCCCATTTCATGCTTCATGTTAAACAAATCAAAAGTACAGTGTGTACTACATTCAATTATCCCCCTTTGAAAAAGCAGAGACCCCCCTATAAACCGCTTCGGAAACTCCATCCCACTGTGCTGATATTGCTTCTCCTCCGACCACATGTCTGCCAACACTGTACCAGAAAATAAACAGCTTGTAAAAGCTCTCTGTAAAGGCAAAACTAATGAATGGGAAAGCCATGCTCTGTGTTTGTGGGACGCATTCCTCGCTGGCAATATTTGATCTCGCCATGTGCTGTTTGAACTCCAGGTTCATTACTGCTGCTGTAAAAGCCCATGCGCCCGACTTGAAACGCAGGCGAGGGAAAGTGGGGCTTAAATCAAACCGCTCCGATGGCAAAGGCTGAGCTGCTAAAAGCCACCTGCACCCGGTGGAGTTCCCTGCAGCAGCTCCCATTTGCCCTCCTTTGTTTGCTCCACTCGCTCCTCAGACTGGAGCTCCCTTTAGCACTGCAGGAAAGGGTCCCCCCAAAACAGGCAGCAGATATGCTCCCTAAAGTCTGAGGATGCCCCTGGTTTAGATGAGCTCTTAGGCAGAAGCTCTTCTCTGTGAGGGTGCTGAGGCGCTGGCACAGGGTGCCCAGAGAAGCTGTGGCTGCCCCATCCCTGGCAGTGCTCAAGGCCAGGTTGGACACAGGGGCTTGGAGCAAGCTGCTCCAGTGGAAGGGGTCCCTGTTCATGGCAATGGGTTGGAACTGGTTGAACTTAAAGGTCCCTTCAACCCAAACCATTCCATGATGATCCTATGATTCCCTACCACTCAGCATTTATTCCTCCTTCTGTTCTCACTTCTTCTTGTGCCACCTTTCTCCAGCAGCCATGGCCAAGTCAAGCCATGTCATTTGTGTGGCCACAGCACCCTTGTAGCTTGCCAAGTCCTCCAAGAAGACAGTCCTTAGGTTGCAAATCACAGTCAGTTTGGTGAAAGGGTCAATCCACATTGCATGTTGGAGTGCTCTTCGTTCACAGGGGGAGCTGGGGTATGTCATGGTCTGCATGACACTGTGTGTTGACTTAAATAGGGGAAGAACAGGCGGGTCCAGGGCCGGGATGAATGCAATGCTTTACTGACAACCAGCAGAGAGAAGAGCAGGGTTTAAACTTGAGATCCCCAGGTATAAGTCTGGTGGGTGTTGGTGTGCAGATAGCGTTATCAGACGGTCATGGTCCAACCAGGGAGCATCTCATGGGCACTTTGTAGGGGCAAAATGCATGACATTGCATTTGCAATGTTCAGCTTCAAGGGCCCGTTGCAGCAGTAGCTGGATGGAGCTGCCAAAGCTTCATTCTGGCTGTCCTGTGGGGCAGAAAAAGCCTACCAGTGGGTGTCTGAACAAATGCCATAATGAACATTCAGGGTAGAATTTCAATGGGCAAGTTAAACACCAGTGGTGCTTGAGCAGAGCTGGCAATCAACCACTAGGCTGGAGCTTCCAAGACCTGGCCGGGTTGTTCATATGATAGCATCTGAGAAATGCTGCCTAAAAGCAATTGCAAGAGATGAACATAATGAGTTCGAATGAGAGCTTTGTTGGCAACTTCAGATCCATGTCATGCCATGGCAGTGGCAGAAACCAGACCACGGAACAGAGCTGTTGTCTTTGGGCTTGTTCTGCTGCTAAGACTATGGTGTTAGGTGTCAACAAGAAAATGAAGTAGTGATGCCAGGACACAAAATACTCTGTTTTGTGGAGACAAAGAGAGCTGTTGGAAGAGGACCCATCCCACTACTGTAGATGATACTGCCTGCTTTATTCAGTGGGAAGGTTGGGGTGGTTATGGTGAGGCTCTTCAAGGAGCTCTTGCAATCATTCCATTTCTTCCACTGTGTGCTCTCAACTAAAGGGGACCATCAGTGTTTCAAGCAGATGAATTACAACCTATCAGGGCACAAAACCACACTGACTTCCAGTTGGAGCCCTTTGGATAGCTGGCATTTGGCATGGCTAGAAGGATGGTTCTATAGGATAATCCCTGGAATGTGGCAGTGAGATACCATAATGATGCTTGCACATATCTCTTTGAGTAACTGAGCCCCTCTTTCTGCAAGGTGAAGCTGAAGTCTCCAAGTTTGCTGGTTTGGGCATTGAATGTAACAGCAAACCTGACATGTGGAAGGGGTTTTTCTATAATCAATCAGCTGGTGGCATCTCAGAAACCATAGAATCATAGAATGGTTTGGGTTGGAAAGAACCTTAAGATCATGCATTTCCAACCCCTGCCATGGGCAGGGACATTCACACTAGACTAACCCCCTGCCATAGGGCTTGAACACTGCCAGGGATGGAGCATTCACCACTTCTAAATCATACTAGAGGTAGGTCTTGGTATGAGAAAGAGGGAGGTTTGGGGTCTTAAACCCACCTAGAGGGACAAGTGTAAATGCATTTACTGAGGGAAGACAAGGGGCTGTAACTCAGAGCTTGTTTTGTTCTGCTGCTGAGTGGAGAAGAAATCCCCCCATTCCTGGCACTGAGGCTTTCCCAGCTCCATCTGCTTCCATCTATTCTGGTTACTGTGTCTGCAGATTCCTTCCACTGTCCTGACATCTTCCTGGTACTGACAGGTCTGACCGGCGGGCCGGGCTGGATGAGGCAATCTCTGTGCTCCAGTTGGTTTTAGTTTGAAATCTTGATGTTAAGCACTGATTTTTGTTAGAAACAGTTCCTATTTCATTAGATTGAAATACTCATTCTCTTTGGGGTCAGAAAGCGATAAGAAAAGGTTATTGTCTTTTAATGCTGGGCTTCTCCCTCTCCTGTGCCCTGTCCTTTATCCCTGTTTTCCTCAGTGACATCAGAAAGCAAAGTGAAACACAAAGTGTTCCTTTTGCTTCCTCTTTTGGCCAAAATGCAATGTTTTGAATGGACTTCAAGTGGTTTTTCTAGAGGAAGGTGGAGTTGGACACGGCTGTCACGTATTCTGTATTTTAATGGCACTGCAGCAAGGAGATGGTGCCTCCTGTAACAGGACAGGGGCAGCAGCTGTGACCTGGGATGCACCAGCATCCTCTGATGTTCAGGCAGGAGCTACTGCTGTGAACGTTGCTTTCCAATGGGTGTATGGAGAGGGATGAGCAAAGCTTGGCTCTATCTAGAACTGAAGGTGCAACAGCGTGGGTCCTAAACTGACAAGGACTGGGAGCCTGGAGCTCCCTGCTTGGCAATGAGATTGCCCAGAGGAGATGTGGCTGCCCCATCCCTGGCAGTGCTCAAGGCCAGGTTGGACACAGGGGTTTGGAGCAAGCTGCTCCAGTGGAATGGGTCCCTGCCCGTGGCAGGGGTTGGAGCTGGAGGAGCTTTAAGCTCCCTTCCAACCCAAACCATTCCATGATTCTATGATCCTGGCAAAGCCTGATAAACCCTGCCAGAAGGAAGGCATGGGAGGCGGAGAAAATAGCATTGCAGTGAGTGAGTGATTCCAGGGACTGGAATGTGACTGTGTGCCCCGAGGTGAATGTTATGGATATTTCACACTGAGTTGTGGTGGTGCCTGGAGTCTTCCTGCAGCTATTGCCAAGGTTGTGCCTGGATGTTGAGCACATGCTGTATGCTTGGGATCTGCCATCCTGATGATGGGAGGATGCAGAAAGCCAAGTGCCATGAGACCTGTGATGCCATTGTTGTTAACAACCACAGGGAAATCAAAGAGATGAGTTAGTGCAGTAGGAGTGCAATAATGAGTGCTATGGGCTGTCTGCTTGTAATGAGTACATGAAGTATCCCAATGGGATGAGGGTCAGAGGAGCAGTTTCTCAACACTTCGAAGGAATGGCCCTGCAGGATTGTCCTTGCTCTTCTTGGCCATCCTATGAAAGGGGTCTCCTGTGTGGTTTGGGATCCCCAACTGCTGTGGGATGGGGGACCTTATGCTCTCCCACATGCCCATGGGATGGGACCCACTTCCTTGGATGTGAACACGTTGGGGTCTCCCCACCTCCAAGTTCCTCCGTACTTTTGTATTCCATGGCATTCCAGAGGAAATGCAGCCCTGTCAGCACATCCTGGTGCTGTGAGCTTGTTTCTTCCCTGCCTCCCCTGCTGCATTATTCACACCCATAAAATACCCCCCAGCCTTCCCTCTCCCCCCAGCCCTGCAAAGCAAAACCCCAACAATAACTCAAGCCCTGTCCTTCCCATTCCATGCTAAAGGCTGGGAAATAAATTCCTTGCCCTGGGCTGTTCTTACAGTGAACTCTTGTAGGTAGATTTAATCCTTAGGCCAAGTTCACACTGCCTGAAACGGACCCATAAACTTAGCTCAGCATCGAATTCCTCCTTCCCTGCCTGCCCTTCCAGCTCTGCCCGGTCCCCAGCTCCTGGGGGCTCTGAGGAAGGAACTTCACCACCAGCCAAACCACATGCACAGGGGTTTTCCACAGGGAAGGCCAACAAGTTCCATGTTACCACCTGGAAAGGGTCGAAGCCTGCCTGAGTCATCCTTCACCAGGCAGGGAGTCCCCAGCTAAGGGGTTGTTGCTCCAGGGGTAGCAGCGGTGCTGGGGAAGCCAGGGGATGCAGTGAGCATCTGCTTGGCCAAGGGTATGGGGTTTGTTTGCTTTGAGTGCAGGCACATCCTTCATAGTCACATGGAATGGTTTGGGTTGGAAGGGACCTTAAAGCTCCTCCAGCTCCAAACCCTGCTATGGGCAGGGACACCTTCCACTGGAGCAGGGTGCTCCAAGCCCCGTCCTGCTCCATCCCTGGCAGTGTTCAAGGCCTATGGCAGGGGTTGGGACTGGAGGAGCTTTAAGGTCCCTTCCAACCCAAAGGAGGCTGGGATTCTATGATAACCCATGGTAGGATCATCCAACCAGCTGCTTCTTTAGGCATGGGCACATGGTTCTAGGGTTTTTCTCCTCTGGATGACTAGCAACCCCTCTGCAGTGCAGGACCCAGCCATCACCACAAGCTCTTTCTCTTTTTAGCTCTTTTAATTTAGGATGACTTATTACCTGGGAAATCATCCCCCCCTCCTTTGCATAAACACACACTCTAATACACTGCAATGGGCAGAGGGGGAGAGATGGACGCTTTCATTGACTTGATTTTCTTTCTGTAGCTAAAATGCATAAATAAAAAGCTCTGTTGCAAGAATCATAGAATCATAGAATAGTTTGGGTTGGAAAGGACCTTAAGATCTTCCAGTTCCAACCCCCCTGCCATGGGCAGGGACACCTCACACTAAACCATATCACCCAAGGCCTCATCCAACCTGGCCTTGAACACTGCCAGGGATGGAGCATTCACAACCTCCCTGGGCACCCATTCCAGTGCCTCACCACCCTAACAGGAAAGAATTTCCTCCTTATATCCAATCTAAACTTCCCCTGTTTAAGTTTTAACCCATCACCCCTTGTCTGGCACATTGTCCCAGAGCAGGGCAGGGAATGGAGCTGGACTGAAATACAGCCATCCGGAGTGATCTCTTCCAGTGAACCCAGTCTCAAGGGGCTTTAAGTGCTCACAGCCTCAATGGGCTTTAAGTTACCACAGTCTCTCTGCTTGGGTATTTATGTTGCTATGGAGTGTGACCCAGTCTTTTCCCCCCTGGTTTTTATTGACTATAGAATGAATCCAGGTCCTGCAGCCACCTTGGTGAATTTATGGAGCTCCAAATGTGTGGTGGATAATGCTGCATTTCCTGGGTTTAATGAAACGTGCTCCATTTATGATGGTGCCATGTGGCAGGACCCATGGTGCACAGGACACACCTCTGAGCTGTCAGGAGACCCCGGTCATGCCTCTGCCTCCTCTTTGCAAGCCTTGGCTGGAGCCAGGAATAACAAGACCTTGGCTTTGTGCAACTCTCTCCTTCTGTCCTCACACCCCTTACCCCTAACTCTAAGGCATCTTGTGGCATCCCCAAAGTGGTGTTAGATCCTGGTGGGAAATATCACAGCCTGCAGCTACAGAAATAGCAGGTTCTGGGGCAGTGGCAAGAATCCACCCTAGGTTACAGTGATGTGACCACAAGATCATTGTCACAGTGGTGGGATTCAAACCTTCCTTTTGAGATACATCTGATTTAAATCCATGTTTAACTTTTAATCCCCCTTAACTGGCTTCTGAGGAACGTTGGTGTGACCATCCCAAAGGCAGAGCATCTGCTTTGCTGTTCACCTGCTCACTGGAGTAACCTGGCCACTGCAGCTGCAGACTTCTCATGAGTGCTTTGTAAATCATCTCCATCCCAGGAAGCAGAAAATGCTGCCTCATCCTGTTGCTGAGCTCCCACAGGGATGCTGTCTCCCAGTCAGTTCATACTACTACTAAAGAATAAGAATTCTTCATATATAATGATAATTAATATATTATAATAATTCCTATATAATAATAATTCCTTAGTACTGTGGCAAGGTTGCAGAATGGATGCATGATGGCTCCTGCACTGCACAAGGGCCCGGTCAATGGTGACAATCAGAGGGGATGCTTATGGTGTAATTTTCATTCCAGGTGCTTTGCCAATAGGCTCCTGGAGCTGCTCCAAAACTTTTCCAAAGGGATGATAGACAAACAACTGCCCATTTAATAGGAATGAGAAGGATATAGAGACAGTGACAGATCTCACATGGTGAGGGTTGAAATCAGGTGTCACACTGCCACTGCTTCATCTGTTGGACCAGAGTCATGACTCTCCATGCTCTGAATCTCTCCTTTCTTGAACTTAGATGTGGTAGTAACTATGACAAGTGTGTGCACCTTGGCAGCACCCAGGTAATGCTAACAGCAGATTAATTGGGATATCATGTCCAACTCCAGCATTCACCTGTCCTGAGGGTGAAAACCTGAGGGATGTGCAGGAAAGATGAACAAGGTCATTTGAGGAACCATAGGACCATGGAATGGTTTGGGTTGGAAGGGATCTTAAAGCACAACCCCTGCCATGGAGAGTGACACCTTCCACTGGAGCAGCTTGCTCCAAGTCCCTGTGTCCAACCTGGCCTTGAAAGCTGTGCTCTCTTTTGTTACATGTTCATGTTTAGTAAGTCAACTTGGAGCCACAGGTACTACAAGTAGTAGAGGTGTTTGTTGGGCTGGAGCTGACCAACTGCACACAAGCCACTTACAATAGACCTGGCAGCAGATCAGACCAGAGATGGATTCAGATTTGTGTAGGGCTCTGGCTAGCAGAGGTGGGCTTAGAGATGGGCAGGAGGGCAAGGGATGTGTCTGAATTGCTTACTACAAGTGCTAATTTGAGTGTTATTCCTGTATTTCCCAGAGGAAGGCGAAGTTGGGCAGCGTTCTCACTCAACACCCATTGCTCTCTTTACCTTAGAGAGTCACCCTTATCTGATACGATGCTCTCACTCTGAAAGCTCCTATTTGCAAGCTCATGGTGCCTGTCTGCCCAAGTATTGTCCTATATTAAGGCACAGATTGATACCAGCTCACCTCCAGAAGCATCTTGAGTATTCCACTGAGCAGCCGTGTCCAAGAACTGGCCGGACCCAATGTTGTCCCCCCGTGTGGCTCTGGACCTGCAGAAACATAGCAGGACACATGAGAGCATTATCCCACAGGACTTCTGCTGCTGTGGGGTAGGAATAACCGGGCTCTGCCCACTTCTATTTATGAGCCTTTTATTTGTCCTTGTTTTCTTGTCGGGTGTGATTTTAGGAGCACTTCTGGAGCTTGGACAAGACAGAAAACAAGATTCCACCACAGCTCATCTTCCAGATCTGGGACAACGACAAGTTCTCTTTTGATGACTATTTGGGTAAGTTTGGAGCATTTTTTATCTCCCTCCTCATTGATGCAGACAGGGATGAAATAACTGTGGAGTCCTTTCAGGATATGAAGGAAGTGTAACAAGTCCAGTTTACGCCCCTGAAGAGGATTCAGTGTTGAGATGCATTCAGGACTGATGATAAGTGGTTTGTACTAGGCAGATTTCCAGTCTCAGCCTGCAGCAGCTTGTTCCTAGGCTGACATAATGTTGAGAGCATCACTGACTCCAACAGAGCCATCACCTTCCAGGAACACCCTCATTCTCCATGACTTGTCTGAATCTGTGCTGAAATGTGCTCAAGAGGGCTACATGTATGTGGGCTGAGGCCATTGACCTGATTTGAGGATCATTGACCTGGATGTCCAGACATGAACACAACTCAGTCCAATGCTTGCCTCTTTCAGTGCTAGTAGACTTAAGAGATCTAGGTTTAGGGTTAGGGTTCCTCCAGTCCCACAGGCAGGGACCCCTTCCACTGGAGCAGCTTGCTCCAAGCCCCTGTGTCCAACCTGGCCTTGAGCACTGCCAGGGATGGGGCAGCCACAGCTTCTCTGGGCACCCTGTGCCAGCGCCTCAGCACCCTCACAGGGAAGAGCTTCTGCCTAAGAGCTCAGCTCAGTCTCCCCTCGGGCAGGTTCAAGCCATTCCCCTTGGCCTGGCCCTACAGGCCCTTGTCCCAAGCCCCTCTCCAGCTTTCCTGCAGCCCCTTTAGGCACTGGAGCTGCTCTAAGGTCTCCCTTTAAGGAGCCTTCTCTTCTCCAGGCTGAACAAGCCCAGCTCTCTCAGGGAAATGCCAAGTGCTTAATTCCTAGGAAGAGCCACTGGCTAGAACTAGCCCTATGCTTGGAAATAGGGGCACACGTAATCCTCTCCCCCTTGCTATGAGGGCATCTTCCCAACCTCCCTGAGGTCAGGAGGATGCCACAGGGAATATTTCTTTTGGGAAAGAATCCACATTTTAAGGACTCATTGCATTGAGGTGTCTACCCAGTAACATTCCTCCTTGCAGGCTCCATTCAGATGGATCTCAACAGGATGCCCAAACCTGCCAAGACCGCTGAGAAGTGCTCCTTGGACCTAGTAGATGACACCTGGCCTTCAAGTCGCTTTGTGTCACTCTTTGAGCAGAAAACAGTCAAGGGATGGTGGCCCTGTGTTGCTGAGCAGGATCAGAAGAAGATCCTGGCGGTAAGGTGGTCTCTTGACATGTTCTCCTAGGGGCACTCACTCAAAGCATTGAGAAGGGATGCAGCCAGGCCAAGCACGTGCAGGATGCCATGGCCAGGGCAAGAAACACAGTGATGGATGCACCTTTTACAGACTGGACCAGCTTTTGCCACTTGGATGTTCTCCAGGACTTGTCCTGCACCATGCAAAAGCATCAGAAGAAATGGTTTCTTCTGTGGGTTTTTTGCTGTGGTTTTTGGAACTTGCCATCTAATTTGACTCCGTATCTCATCTATTCTTAATGATATTGTGTTGTGACAAGTAGCGTGGAAAGGTTCCAGCTGGCAAACTGATCTATTTAAGTGCAAGTATCTGGACTCCCGTTCAACACTTTGGCAAGTGTTCAATACAGGTAAGGGTGTCCAGGCAGTGAGTTCAGTCATTCAACATAAGATCATGGACTTGGTTGCCTGAACTTGGGTGTTGGTGACATTTGAGATGTTCTGGAGCATCTGAAAATGTTGTAGTGAGCAGTGGAGGATCTGTATGAAATCTGCCTTACTGGGCTCCTCGTGGTCCTCGTTGGTAGTGGTTGGGTTATGCTCAAGGTAGTTTTTCTTTCTCCAATGAGTGTTTTTCATTGTACTTTGTTCATTTCTCACCTCTCCCTTTTCTTCCTGGTTTGGTTTTGTTCCTAAGTTTGGTTTTTGTTTAACCCACACAGGGCAAATTGGAAATGACTTTGGAAATCGTGGCAGAACAAGAGCATGAGGAGCGGCCAGCTGGCATGGGTCGGGATGAGCCGAATATGAACCCCAAGCTGGAGGACCCTAAGTAAGAGCAGCTTGAATGGAAAAGTAACCACCAGGGCTCAGAGTTCTCAAGGAGCAATTGAAAACCTGGGTTCCCAGTTTGGGGTCTGCAATGGGTTTGCTCCTGTGTAGGCTCCATTACTGAACTGCTGATGCTTAGATTCTATGAGCTGAGACAATCCAGGGTGGCTGGGAGCGGAGGTTTGACATAGTCCACCCAAAGGGATCCCAGACTGGTTTGGGTGGGAAGGGACCTTAAAGCTGATCCAGCTCCAACCCCTGCCATGGGCAGAGACACCTGCCACTAGAGAAGGTTGCTACAAGCTCCTGCGTCCAACCTGGCCTTGGATGTGGGTTTGCAGGATGAGCAGCCAGCACGTTACAACAGGTCATGCTCATGGGGTTGGGGGTCCAGGAGGGTGAAGCTCAGAAGTGACCTTAACTTTGTTTGGTTCCAGGCGCCCGGAAACCTCCTTCCTCTGGTTCACCTCCCCATACAAGACCCTGAAGTACATCCTGTGGCGGCGGTACAAGTGGGTGCTTATCCTGGCCATCGTGCTCTTCATCTTGCTGCTCTTCCTGGGAATCTTCATCTACGCCTTCCCGGTACGATGCGGGTGGGAGAGGACAGAGGGGTTGACCAAGGTTGGCTCTGTGGTGACAGAGATGGTCCCTGTGCAGGCGGCTGCAAGATGCCATGGTGGTCTCTGATGGGCAACGTGATGGGCCATGATGGGTCAAAAAGAGAGTTTGTGTTCTGGGCTCTGCTGCAGACCCACTGCAAGGTGCTAACCTCCTTGTGCCCATGTTTCAATTCATGTGTAATGATGCTGAGGTTTAATTAATGGTCTTCAATGAGGTTCCAGCAACTGATACTGGGAAAATCCCTGACAAACACAGAGCCTAGTTAAGAATTAAGAGAATTCCTAATTAGAATCATAGAGTTCCAGCCTGGTTTTGGTTGAGGGGACCTTAAAGCTCCTCCAGCTCCAGCCCCGGCCATGGGCAGGGACCCCTTCCACTGGAGCAGCTTGCTCCAAGCCCCTGTGTCCAACCTGGCCTTGAGCACTGCCAGGGATGGGGCAGCCACAGCTTCCCTGGGCACCCTGTGCTAGCGGCTCAGCACCCTCACAGGGAAGAGCTTCTGCCTAAGAGCTCAGCTCAGTCTCCCCTCAGGCAGGTTCAAGCCATTCCCCTTGGCCTGGCCCTACAGGCCCTTGTCCCAAGCCCCTCTGTAGGTTTCCTGTAGTTCCTTTGGATATTGCATTTTCAGGTTTTATTGCTATTATTATGCATTAGGAATGAAACTGAGCATTTTACAGGGCTGAGCAGTGGCAAACCCCACATTGGTCTGTAAGAGCTTAAAGATGCAGATTTAAACACCTTAAAGTCTGTAGATGTTGGGGCAGCCCCTCTCTCACTCTCAAGGCTTGGAGCACATTACACCAATGCAGTGTCTGAAACAAGGGGAAGAGTTTTCACCTCGTTCATCACTAAAGTGGCTTTTTCTTGCCTTGATGAAACTGGCAAGCCAAAGTAGATAAATAACAGAGCCCTCTGCCTTCCACTTTGGCCGTGGATGGGGGTTTGTATCCTCCTCTGTTTCGACCACAATGGAATAATTCATATTGGCTCTTGGATGCCATTTCCCCTCCTCTCAGACTGATAAGAAAAACAACCCGTTTCTCTCCTTCCAGCACTTAACAAATTCTCCTCCTTGTATAGGATTTCTTTATATATATATGTATATGTATATATCTAAAGGAGCTCATTGGGGTAATTTATAACTACATGTGCAGATGCCTTTGTGTGCTTGCAATGTGCAAGCAAAGAGCGAGGTGTGGAATTTCTGCTCACTGTCATAATCACTTTCAGATGATCTGAAGTCGTGCATGTTCCATTGTTCCCATTGAGAAAATAGGCATTGGGATTAGATCAAGCCTTTCCCTACCTCCGGATCCTTGTATCCATGGGAAAAGCTGGGGTACTTCTACTGGAGAAATGGTTCTGGAGGTGCTAAAGAGTACAAAGGAGGAAATAATTGTGCATGTGCTGTGCTTGGAGCCCTTCCTAGAGACTCCCTCCATGTCAAGTGGCAGAAACCAAGACTTTTTGACCCAGAACTCGGTGTTTCCCTGCAGATGCAAGTGGCTTTGCAGCCATTCCAGTGGGATCACATAAAACCAGCGTCGAGGGGAGAAAACTTTGCAAAGTCTGCATACTGATTTACACTCATTATCGCTTGGGATGGGTCCCTCTTTCCAGCTCAGTGTTGCTGTATTCAGTTTCAGTTTGGTCGGGTCAGGTTTTAGTTGTGTTTTGACAAAGTCAGGCCGTGCTTCATGGAATTTCCCTGCGTTTATGTCTATTTGGCTGCTTCCCCTGGATTTTTGAGGTCACTGGTTCTGCATCGGCTTGGAGATTCAGTTCCTTTCCTGCTCCATCAGGCGCTAAGTTCGGCTGTCGCGCTGGTGATGTTTGCTATGAGGATGCCCCTGGCATCCTGACCTTTGGCAGGGCTCACTGTCACATCCCTGATTGAATGCATGGAAAACCAACCCCCCCTCACTTCTGTGCTGATCTGTGTTGTGGGAGCACCATCAGATCATGTTTAAAGTAAGGACCTCACTGCTTTTGGCACTGTAGATGTAATCCTGCCACTTTACGTGCAGTTTTGAAGTCCCACACTGCAAGTAGAGGGTTCTGTGTTCATCCTGCCCCTCTCATCCTGGCAAAGGGGTGGGCGATGGGAGGGAAACCTCAAGGGAATCCTCTTAGGACACATGGACCATCAGTGTGAGCAGGCAGAGGGCAAGGAACAGGGATACAGGGATGCTAAGGGTCATATACAGAAGTGAGGTTACTATTCTTCTGCTTTTATTGCCCTTTTTGCTGTGGCCTTGCATGAAGAGCTCTTCCACAGCTTTCTACTTGCTGGGACCTTCACTAGGACCTCCAGAGTCATTCCTGCACATTGAATCCCTGACGCAGATTGAATCCTTGCTGCAGAACAAATCCCTGCCTGCACATTGAATCCCTGCTGCACATTGAATCCCTGCTGCAAACTGAGCCCCTAATGCAGACTGAATCCCTGCTGCAAATTGAACCCCTAATGCAGACTGAATCCCTGCTGCAGATCAAATCCCTGCCCGCAAATTGAATCCCTGCCTGCACATTCAATCCCTGCTGCACATTGAATCCCTGCCTGCAGATTGAATCCCTGCCTGCAGGTTGAATCCCTGATGCAGATTGAATCCCTGATGCAGATCAAATCCCTGCCTGCACATTGAATTCCTGCTGCAGATTGAATCCCTGCCTGCACATTGAATCCCTGCTGCAGATTGAATCCCTGCTGCAGATTGAATCCCTGCTGCAGATCGAATCCCTGCCGCAGATCAAACCATCCCTGCCTACAACCTCTCCTCCTTGAACCGCCGTGTCCCAAATCTGGCTCCAAATCTTGTCCTGTTTGGACCCTGCCTGAAGACACCATCAGCTAAGCTAACCCTGGATAGGTCGTCTTGACCCCACGCAGATGGGAATCTCCCCTGAACACAAACCCAGGGCATTTTCATTGGCTCTTAGTATAAAAATGGGATTTTCTTATTATTCATTCCTATTCCCCATGCAGTGCTGAAAGCTTCCAACCACAGTCCCAGCTTTGTGGTCAGGGAGTAAGAGCAAACGTCCCATTTGGAAGTTGTGTGCTTGCACTGGGAATGGCAAAGGGCTTCTGTGGCTCCCAAAACCACCTATTCCCTTCAGAAGCTCAGGCTTTTCAGTGCATGATGAAGCTGATGCCTTGGTCTTGTTCAAATACCCATCAAGAGATGCTTTACACCCCAGGGGAGTACTTCCTAAAGGCTGTATTCCAGGTTATTCCACAAATAGCCTTTACATGGAACTAGAAACCTCTGAAGATGTGGTGCCTTTGTGCTTCTGCTGTCCTCAGGACACAGAGTACGTGTGATGGATCCTGGGCTGGAATAAAGATCTTCCCATTCCTCATCCCAGCTCCTCTCCAAAGCCTCTGTTCTAGGGGAGCTTTGTGCCACCAGCAGTTGTCTTCCAGCCAGGGAATGTGCATTGGCTGCATTGGTGGGATCCAGAAGGAACAGGGAGACCTGCAGGAGTGGGGAAGGGTCTGGGAGTGCTTTGGGATGAAGAGGAGGTGATCAGGATCCATGGGGAGCTAGGAGTACAGCACTATGGGAAACTTAGAAATCAGTCATCATCAGCACAGCTGTTTACAGAGCAACTCCCTTGAGTGGCTGAGAGGCCATTTCCAACTGGAAAAACCTTTGGGTTTGGGTGGAAAACTGCTTGGTATTGCAAATTCCCATTATAAATGTTGTCTGCTTCTACGAAAATGGGAAAAAATGTTGAAAATTGGATATTCTGAGGTTCCTCATAGTTTCACTTGGGCTCTTCCACCCAGTCTTCGTGTCAGGTTACTCCTGGCCTGCTTTGCAGAGTGGTTGTCATTCTGGTCTACACAATCTAGGACTCTGGGAACAGTGATCCCTGGATATTTCCTATATGAATTCCTTATCCTTAGATTTAACTTGACATCAGAACACTCCTTAACCAACAGATGAACGTCTAATGAGCTCCAGTAGCTGGATGGTGAAGTGGGGGGAACTCTTCCAGTGGAAATAGGATGCTGATTTGGCACATGAAGGTTAATGAACCATTGGAACAATGTGCTGTAGGCTGTGGTTAATTCATTGTTGCTTGAGGCATACATGTACGGGGATTGAATGCTCTCCTGCAAGATATGGTCCAATTCCACCCCATGCTCCTGTTCCTCAGTGCTCATTTATGGCTCATTGCAGGGCTTTTTGGGAAGGGCCAATGGATTTGATGGACCTTGCATCCAACATTGCCATAGATGAGAAGAGCTTTGCCTCCTGCTGTGGGGATGGTTGAGTTAAAGCCTTGGGTTGCACAAGGTCAGGAGAAAAGGTTGTAAAACTCCTGGGTCTGGAATCATGGAACCATGGAATGGTTTGGGTTGGAAGGGAGCTTAGAGCTCCTCCAGCTCCAACCCCTGCCACAGGCAGGGACCCCTTCCACTGGAGCAGCTTGCTCCAAGCCCCTGTGTCCAACCTGGCCTTGAGCACTGCCAGGGATGGGGCAGCCACAGCTTCTCTGGGCACCCTGTGCCAGCGCCTCAGCACCCTCACAGGGAAGAGCTTGTCCTTCTATCCCACCTAAATCTGCCCTCGTTGAATCTGAAGCAGTTTCTGCCTCTGTAACATGCAGGGAACGCGACAGCAAAGTCTTGTCCCCAAGCAGTGCTTACTGTAAGGGTGTTGGTGGCTATGACCATAGGGATAAACTGCTCCTTCCCACTGGAGCCAGCTCTGCCTTGCAGCACTGTGCACATGTTTACTGCCTTTGAAAGCTCTGTGGTTATATGAAGTGGTGTTAGGTTGCCCAGGGGGGTTGTGGAGTCTCCCACATTGGAGATATTCAAGGCCCGCCTGGACAAGTTCCTGTGTGATGTACTCTAGGTTACCCTGCTTTTGCAGGGGGGTTGGACCAGATGATCACTTGAGGTCCCTTCCAACCCTTGGGATTCTGTGATTCTGTGATTCTGTGTTCTGCAAGCCCAGTCCTGCTTCCTTTGCCATCAGTTCCAATGACAGCCCGTGCCCTGTGCTGATGGATAATCCTGCTTGGCTTTCGTAGAATCATAGAATAGTTAGGGTTGGAAAGGACCTTAAGATCATCAAGTTCCAACCCCCCTGCCATGGGCAGGGACACCTCACACTAAACCATGGCACCCAAGGCCTCATCCAACCTGGCCTTGAACACTGCCAGGGATGGAGCATTCACAACCTCCCTGGGCAACCCATTCCAGTGCCTCACCACCCTAACGGTAAAGAACTTCCTCCTTATATCCAGTCTAAACTTCCCCTGTTCCAGTTTTAACCCATTACCCCTTGTCCTGTCACTACAGTCCCTAATGAAGAGTCCATCCCCAGCATCCCTGTAGGCCCCCTTCAGATACTGGAAGCTGCTCTGAGGTCTCCATCAGCTTCTCTTCTCCAGGCTGAACAGCCCCAACTTTCTCAGCCTATCTCCATACAGGAGGTGCTCCAGCCCCTGATCATCCTTGTGGCCTCCTCTGGACTTGTTCCAACAGTTCCATGTCCTTCAGCACGTTGTTAACACAGAGCCCAAGCTGGACACACAACTTGCTGCCCCCCATTATACCCCCAGTGCCAGCATCCAACGAGGAGTGCTTTGGTGGATAGGCTCTGCGAGACAAATGGATGGATAATGAATCTGAAGGTTATATGTCACTGGAGGCCTTTTTAATGCCTTCTGGTACAGTGCCCTTATGCTGCTTGCTTGATTTATGGCGTTACTAGAAGTCCTCATTGGCAAACTGCCTCCTCATTCGCTACACGTTGTAATTTATCAAGATGCCTTTGGTCAGGCTTGACTTTTGTTGTGTTTTTGGGGCTTTTTCCCTTCTGTTTCCCCCCTGTTCCTCCAAAGATCTTGTGGGTAGCAAGCATGATGTGCTGTTTCCAAAGCTGTTTTGCTTTCAAGTGACAGGGTGCTAGAACATCCTGTACCAATTAAACTCAGTGGGCTGAGGAGGGACTTCCAAACTGGCTGGGTTGTGCTTGTGGGGCTTTGAATCAGAGCTGCTTCAAATAGAGCTCTTTCCAAATGACCTAAGCAGGAGTCTTTGTATTTCATTGTGGTCTTGATAAGCAGAGTTTACACAGCTTATTCTTTATCCCAGGGCTGTCATCTCCTCTCAAGGAAGGAATTGCACGTTCCATAGGCTAAAATGCTGTGACACCTCATTTTCCATGAGCCCCATAGTTCACCAGGCACTGACAGGGACAGTAGATCCCAGAAGGTCTTGCTGCAGGGTCTGCTCTGAGGAGCAAACCCCACACCCAATGTTGCTGCTGAAGGAGATGCTTGAGGCATTGAGGGATGCAGGCAAGGCAGAGAACAAGGGTTCAGCAATAGGTTTGCTGGTCTTGGTTGCCTGCTTTGGAGATAGTCCATGGACCTGCGGGCTAGGTCTGTACTGCACCAGGATGGGGCAGGGATCAAGAACCATCCTCTTGTTGTTCCGACCCAGCTGGTGGGATCCTGGGTGCAGGATTTGGCTCGTGGGAAGCAGCGCTCTGCAGAGACCATCCTTGCTTTGGGCAAGGGCCTGCAGGGCCAGGCCAAGGGGAATGGCTTGAACCTGCCCGAGGGGAGACTGAGCTGAGCTCTTAGGCAGAAGCTCTTCCCTGTGAGGGTGCTGAGGCGCTGGCACAGGGTGCCCAGAGAAGCTGTGGCTGCCCCATCCCTGGCAGTGCTCAAGGCCAGGTTGGACACAGGGGCTTGGAGCAAGCTGCTCCAGTGGAAGGGGTCCCTGCCCAGGGCAGGGGTTGGAGCTGGAGGAGCTTTAAGGTCCTTTCAACACAAACCAGGCTGGGATTCTATTCTATGAGGTTACCCATTTTGGGGGGATTGTGGGGAGATGGAGCCATAAGGATGTGAGGCCAGGGCTTGGATAGAGAACCACAGGGTCTGGGGGAGCTGCAGAAGGAGACATTGGAGGCAAAGGGGCACCAGGAGCAGCGCAGCAATGAGCTGGATGTTCTCTCCTCACCTGTGTGTGCATTGGGATGGAGCTGATGGGGAGGTGCCACATTCCTTATGGGGGGATGAAGAGGGCGGAATTTATCTTCAAAGCATGTGGAAGGAGGAAACAAAACCCAGGAGTGACTCCTGGTGCTTGCTGCTTGGGGCTTGTGACAGCAAGCCTCTATTAGAAGAAGGCAAGACCTGTTTTGTGCCATGTATTACCCTTTTTACCACCCTTGCTCATAGCAATGCACTGCTACTTGCTTGTCTCTGGGCTGGGAGCTCAGCATCACTCCTGCCCTGAAGGCAGCTCCACCTGCACTTCTGTGCCCCCCAAAATGCTTTAACCTCCACAGCCGCCGTGCTGTACCTGCTGCAGCTCACTTCTCTCCCTTGTTCTTCCATCCCTGCAGAACTATGCTGCTATGAAACTGGTGAAGCCTTTCAACTGAAGCTGTGCTGGGAAGAGCCTGGGGGTTTTGGAAGGACTCCGTGCCTCTGCATAGAATCCCATCTGCAGATGGAGATAGAGAAGGAACAGCTTCACTCAGGCCCTAAGCTGCTGCCCAAATGAAGATCCAACCGATGCTGATGCAACACGAGGAATCCCACCTCCAGCACCCGCCTCGGAAGCGCATCCCAACCATACCTGCTCTCAAACACTTCTTGTTTTCCTTCCCTGTCTGTCCTCTCTTTGGGGTTGGTTTTGGTCAAGCAGAGCTGAAGGGGTGGGGGACAAAAAGACCTTTTCACATGGAGCCTGCATGGAGCTGTGTTACAGAGCTTAGAGGAGATGTGGGCTGCTGCTGTGCCCAGCACGTGCAAGCCAGACCCTCTCAACGTCTGAGCACTATTCTCTTTGCACCCTCCCCGTGCACTGTGTATCACCTGGTTTATGGATGTGTAAAGCCTACTGAAGGCAAGATGTGCTGCACGGCCCGAAAGCCTGGGCTGCCACCTTGCCTTTCCAAAGGGAGAGCAAACACTGTGGGTACAGGGCCCAGGGAAAAGGCTGAGACACAGAACGCAGGCAGGAGCTGGTGGGAATCGCTAAATCAGAGCTCCCATTGAATTCTGTGCTCAGGAAGGACCTCACAGTCTGGCCCATGGGGTTTGTTTCCCTCTGATCCCTCACCTCTGCTGGCATCATGGAATCAAGGCATGGTTTGGGTTGGAAGGGACCTTAAAGCTCCCACAGCTCCAACCCCTGCCATGGGCAGGGACCCCTTCCACTGGAGCAGCTTGCTCCAAGCCCCTGGGTCCAACCTGGCCTTGAGCACTGCCAGGGAATGGGGCAGCCACAGCTTCTCTGGGCACCCTGTGCCAGCGCCTCAGCACCCTCACAGGGAAGGATTTCTTCCTCAAGGTCTTTCCCTCCCATCCTTCAGCAGGATGAGAGGAGTCTCCCTTGGTTCCATTTGCCCCCTGGAGCTGTTGCTGCTCAGTGTGACGTGAGAGCAGTAGCAGTGGGAAATGATCCCGAGGGATCAGAGTTTCTCAGGACAAACCGTGCTAATGTGAGCTCCTGCCCTGCTCCAGCGAGGCACTTAAGCCTGGGCTTAGTGGAAGGCAGGGAGAAAAGCCAGGCACACATCTAATTGCTTTGCTGGATTGGGATGTCTTATGTTGAGCATGAAATCCCTCGTTGCTCAGTACTGTAACAGCACCCAGCTTGCACAGGGCAGCTCACAGCCGTGCCAGATCACGGTGTCTTTGCCATGGACAACATGCAGCTATAGAGACCTGTCCTTGCTGCTGAGGCCTGGCTGATCCAGCATCCCTATCCCAAGAGCTTGAGAGGTGCAGTTGGCTCTGGGCTTGCACACCCCAGGGAGGGTGTTCCATTTGTTGTGCAGTTACATGCTCCATTCCCAACCTCATTCCCATCCGTTTATTAACCACTGTCAAACTACCAGGTCTTGGTAGAGCTTTCCCTGATGCTTTCTCCCTGAGGGCCTGATGGGCCAAGGACAAGGGTTGCCTGTGTTGGCACCTTGGTGTGGTTGATCCTGCACTAATCCCACTATGACCAGCTCTGCTGGTGAGCACGGGCACCCCTTGCTCTCCTATCCACAGGGGGAGGTCAGGCCCATGATTCCACTCCTTGCTTTGGTTTGCAGCGACTGTGACATTTCCCACCCTGGCATTATTGCTCTGGGACCCCATCCTATTTCAGGAGCAAAATCCTGGTGCCAAGAGCCCCAAAGAGGTGAGTGCCTCGATGCACAACACTGCTTATACCTGGATGCTCACCACCCATCCTATCACAGCAACCACCCTCTACCCCAGCTGAGACAAGCAACCCTACCAAAACACATCAGTGAGTTACCTCTCCAAGCCTCTCCCAGCGAGAAACCATGTTTATCCCCCAGCACTTACCAACAGGTCTCCCCTGATAAACCAGAATGGGTCATTGATGATGGGAGAGCAGGATCCAGGGAACCCAACTCCATAAGGATAATGAAAGGGTTACATCTCTCCATAGAATAGAATAGTTTGGGATGGAAGGGACCTTCAAAGGTCGTAGTCCAAATGTGATGCAATCCTCTGTGCTCCCAGTCCAGGCTGCAGGGCCAAGAAGACTCCATGGGTCTGTGGTGGGTAAAAGCAGGCTGGAAACACCAACTTGATCCCATTGGCATTGAACAGCCGCATCCATCTCTTTGCCAGACTGTGGGCCCTCTGTAGCTTGGTTACATCTCTCCATCAAAGCCAACCAGGAGGTAGGACCTGATTGAAGTATTCCCTATGGCTCTCTGTTCTGGGGTTTGAAATGGCTCAAAGATGTTCGTATCACCTCTCTCTGCCTTATATGCAGTAATGCAGAATGCACTGTGGTTACAAATGAAATGCTCTGAAACCTTCTCGTCTCTGGTGTGTTTTATTGTTTGCATGGGATTCCAGCACCTTCCCTCTTTGTGAGTGCTGCCCTGACCTGGGACACGGTGCAGGATTTATGTGGGGTCACACAACTCATCCCAGGAGCTGCTTGACCACATCTGGTGGCTCACAAGGCTCACCTGTGACCTGGAGCATCCTTTAGGGCGGGAGGAGGTACAAGCATGCGAGCGGCGTGGGTGAAGGAGCCATGGGAAGCTTGTGCTGCCTTTGGATTTGGGAGCCAACTTCCAGCATCTTCCTGGAAGAAGCTGATGCCCATTTTGCTTATAAACCTGAACACCCAAAATGCACCCATGGGCGGCTGGAGAGGAGGTGAGTGAATGGGAATGGGACAGGGCTAAAGAATCCCATAGGTTTCACCCTCCTGCTGCAGCGGGGAGGGCAGGAGTTCACCCCATCCCTCTTCTCTGTGCGTGTGCACACATCCCTGTGCAGATGTGCATTAGGATGGGTTTGAGCTGCTGGAATGTGAATATCCAGACTTAGCCCCAGCAGCTCCCAGCCCAAGGAAAGGCACTTCCCCTGCTTGTCTCTGTTCCTCGAAAACCATGCAGATGAGGCTCTCAGTGCCATGGGTTAGTGCTGGGAACAGTTGGACTGGATGAGCTTAAAGGGCTTTTCCAGCCTGGTTGATTCAATGGTCCTATGGTTTCTGGGCTTGGCTCAAAGAGCAGCAAATCCCTTTGGGTCTGGGTCTGTTTCTTCCCTGGACAGAAGGACTTACGGAGCCATCACCCAGAGTGAGCTGAGGATTAATTCTCTGACACCTTTTTGGAGCTGTTCACCATCAAGGGGCTGTGTCCAGGAGATGCTCCAGTTATGCAAGGAGATTTGCTGGTGGGATTGGGGCTGTTTGTGCCTGGATCCTCAGATGCCTTCCCACTGCTTCAGCACAGGAGACCCCCTCCACTGCATCACGTTTTGGGATGGTGCCTGGCATTGGAACACAGGGAATGAGGGGACCTGAGTGTCCTAGGCTTCATCTGAGGGTTCAAGCATGCACCCTGAGCTGGCATTGTCCAAACCCAGCCTGTCCAGCCCCACTGCAGCCTCTCATACCCACACATCAATGGGGAGTCCCAACCATATCATGAAGGCATGGATAAAGATGGTCCTTGTTGAGGAGGAAGGGGCAGATGGGACGAGGGGACAGGGCTTGCCTGTGCATGGGGATGCACTAAAGTTGACTGCAAAACGTTCCCCTGCTCCAGCACCCCTGTGATGGTTTTCCTATCATTTCCCAGCCTCCAAGCTCGTCTCTGTGTGTGACTCCAGGCTGGGGTTAGTTATGAAGTGTGTTATGGAGCTCCTTTGGGGACACCCTGACAACACCCCGTTGTGTTTCCCATCGCCTGGGCTCAGCCCCGCAAGCCGGAGGGCAGTGAGATGAGGAGCTGGAACGCTGCCACCGCAGAGGGGCTGAACTCCCTTAACCTCGCACAAAACAAAGCCCAGTGAAAGGAGCTGACCTGATTTTCCTCTTCAGTAACAACCGTTTTCTGTTCATTTGCTCAGAAGCGAGAGGTTTCCACCCAAAAAGGTGGCTTGAAATGAAGTGACTCAAGGGGAGGGGGATGAGGGTGGGAATGGGGTCAAGGCACTGCCATAAACCTGCTTTGTGGAGCCACTTGGAGCTGTGGTTGTTGGTTTAACCCCTGCGGAGGGGGCCTGCGGTTGGTTTTGCTCATTGCCTGCTGACAGGACGGGAACACGCCTGGTACATGGCGCTGACATAATGGGATGCTCTGTAAAGAAGGACGCTGTGGCCTCCTGGCCCCCAAGTCCATCAATCTTCCGATGGGAAGGTGGGGACAGGCCTGGCCACAAGTGACACAACTCATTTCAGTCTTTCACTTGAGGTCTGACCCTTTAAAACACTCCCAGACTCAGAATGGTGATTGCTGGAACGGCCTCCCTGGTACAGAGGGTTAGGATGAGTATAAAGGCTGCTCCATTGGCTCTGGAGCTCCTGGCCTGATAGCCTGAGCTTCCTATCAGCTCCTCCACGGATAGCCCCATGCCATCACTGCCAGGACAGCCACCAGCCTCACCCCTGTTGCTGCAGCCTCTCTTCCTCCCAGACAAGCCCAACTCCATGGAGTTAGGGGGTGATTTGAGCTGATCTGTGCATGGCTCTGCTCTGCACTGAGTGAGGATGGAGACACCCAACCAATGGGGCGTGAAACTACCGTGTCCTCACCTTCAACATGCATGAGCTTCCAGAAGGAAAACGAGCTTTTCTTGCCCCATCTGCTTTTCCCATTCACATCCCAGCTCCTCAAATAACCAATGCTTTAAACACACTTTGCTGCAGAGCAAACACTTCTGCCTTTGAGTGCATCTTGGTCTCTGCTTTGGCCTTTGGGCTGACTTCAGGGGGATCCCCAGGCTGCTCAGCTCCTTGGCACTAGGTGACAGCAGGCATCTCTTGTGCTGTGCATGGATTAACTCTGCCCTGGGCTCAAGTTTAGGCTGTGAGAGTCTGTTTCTACCGAAACCTTTGGGTCCTGTACAAGCCCCTGGTAGGAAGTGAACCTTAACCAGGGTTTCTGCTGGAGAGATCTGCATCAGA